AAATTTTGAAACATAAAAACTTATTTCTATATGTGTAACTTCATCTACTTATTACTCTACACATTAAAATTCAGAATGTATAAAGTCACTTGCATTAACTACACTTACTTATTACTTTGTGCATTAAAATTTGAAACGTATAACTTACAAATTAAAATTATATTCTATTCACACTTATTATGTTTGAATTGTATTTAAAAAATATTTATTAGTATTGTATATCTATATCTATACATATGTGTAAAATTGACTACACCTACTTATTACTAAGTGTATTCAATTTTAAAACGTAACTTCATCTACTGATTATTCTATACATTAAAATTCAGAATGTATAGAGTCATTTCTATTGACTCCACTTACTTATTACTCTGTACATTAAAATTCAAAACGTATAACTTACGAATTAAAATTATATTTTATTCACACTTATTATGTTTGAATTGTATTTAAATAATATTTATTAGTATTGATTGTTATATTATGTTAAAAATGGAAACATAAATATTTATACTATAAATTAACTTAAATTACCGTTATTAAAATTAATTATAATATTTTTCATAATTTACGAATTAAAATTATTATTTTATTTTAATATAATCTATATTTTATTATGTACTTCAAATACTAAAATATATTTTTAATTAAAAAAATTAAACTTACAAAATTATTAGTTTATAGTATATGTTGTTAAATTAAATTTATAATAAAAGATAAATTTACATATTTAAATTATTTTATTAATTCATTAAAATAATCTACATTTCAATATGTACTTCAAATATTAAAATGTCATTTGAACTTCAAATATTAAAATGTAATTTGAATAAAAAATACACATTTAAAAAATTATTTGTTTATATTATATATTGTTAAATTAAACTTCTAAAGAAAATATAATTCTACATGTTTAAATTATTTTATTAAATATTTTAATATAATCCATATTTTAATATTTACTAATAATACTAAATTGTAATTTAGTTTAAAAATACTACATTTATCAAATTATTAGCTTATAATATATATTGTTAAAATAAATATCTAATGAAAAGACAAGTTTACAAATTTAAATTATTTTATTAATTATTTTAATATAATATATAGTTTAATATATATTTCAAAAACTAAAACTTACATTAAAATTAAATAAATTATACTTACCTAATTATTAGTTTATATTATATATTGTTAAGATCAAATAAAATAATTTAAAATTATTTTTATAATTTGCATAATTTGTTTATTATTTTTGAATTGTATTTAAGAAAAATTTATTAGAATTGATAATTATATAATGTTAAAAATATCAATAACAAAACTACTGTAATTAATATTTAATAAAAAATATTATAATTTATTATAAATAATTTAAACGAATTTCAAAATTTTCTATATTAAATGTTGAAATTAGAAAAAAGAATATTGATTAAATTGTACAAAAATACTTTTAAAAAAATTTCATAAAGTTCTCGATTTATCTTTTAATTATAAATAAAAATGTATTTTTATTTTTAACTTCTATTTAACATTTGAATGTTAATTATTGTTTTATATTATATATTATTAAATTAAATTTTCAATGAAAAGATAAGTAAACTATCATACAAACAAAAAGATAACTTTTATTATATTAATTTTTTATTTTCTGACTTTTCATATATCATTGAGTAGGACTTCATCTGTACTTATATAAGTCATGTTTACACAAATTTTAAAAACTTGGCTCACAGTTCTTTCTATTGTCATATTTTTTCTTTGTATTTTGCAATCAGGTCAGCTGTCAAGAATTACCTACTCACGTAAGTACGTGCATTTTCAAGTTTGATATTTTTTATTTTATTTCACTAAATTGTGTTATATATTTTAATTTAATTTTTTAAGTAAGCATAAAGATGTATTTTTTTTAAATGATATCATGTATTGAATTTTATTGTTAACTGATTAATTTGTATCAAATTTATTACTATTTTTCATGCTTTTGTAGGAGAACAACAAGTTGCAATGAAGATAAATGAACTTTTCTTAATGATTTGAATTCAACAACAGATGATTGTATCAAACCTATATCTCCAACTGTGGAAACAATAAACCAAAAAAAAAAAGAGAAAATTAATGTATAAATTATAAATTTATAATGTATTGTTCAAATTTTTTAGATAATATAGTAATTTATGTTTGATATTTTCTTTTAGGTTATAACTTGAAGAAGATGAAGTAAAAAATGAAAAATAAAAGGCAACAATAGAAGATTTAGAAGATTGAACCATTTTTATTGCAATATTATATAAATATTTTTAATATTATGTAGAATTTGAAAAGTAAAATGTCATCAAACATTTAAATTTTTTATAAAATAATTTTATTATCTTATTATATATATTTCTCTTACTTTATTATTATTATGTATTGACTTTATTTTTAACATAAAATTTGTCTAAATTTTATATGTGACTCATAAACTTTTTATTATATCAACTTCTATAATTTTAATTTATATAAAGATTAATATTTATATAAAATAAAATAATTTTTCTCTTTTAGTTTCTACCTAAATCTTAATTGAAATTTTTTTAACTATTATCTTTTTCTCTTCTTCTATTATTTTTATTTTTTACAACTAATTTTATTTTAAAATAAATTAATTTAACAAAAAATAAAATAATCGGGCATATTTACAGGTTATATATTAAAATTTGTAAACATGTTACTCATCGAAATTTACGCCCGTTAAACTCTGGTACACGTAAACACACGGAAACAAATAAAAAAACACATTTTGAAAGGCATGTTGTGACTGCACATCTTCAGCGTAAATAAAGAAGATTTCGAGCAACTTTTTAACAGCATAAAGATTTTCCCTAGTTCCTAAAATTAATGTTTAAAAGTAGGTGGCCGGCAAAAATTAAAAGATTAATTTAATTTGGCTATAGGAAAAATTTTTACACTGTTACTCACTTTATTCGATTCATGCATGTAATGTATTGTCATTTTCAGCTTTACTCTGTGGTGCCAAAGTTGATGGACCCATGATCATATACACAGATTAGAGAATGATAACTCAGACAGATTAGACTAGAGAATGTTAAAAAGCATTCTTTTAAAAAAAAAATATTAATTTGGTTATTAAAATTAATATTCAGTTAATTTAACTTTTCAGTTAATTTATAAAATAATAAAAAACAAAAAGTAAGAAATTATAAACAAAAAACTAAAACATTTATTTTATTTAATTTCATATAACATTTTAAATTCATACTTTATAACGCCAATATCAATAAAATTAATCTAAAATGCTTTATTAGATAGAATGCTAAATGGATTAAAAGTTTTTTTTTTTCTAAATGAATCAAATTTTATTTTATCGTTCGGGACATTTAAATAGGTTGTTTTGGATGTTTATTAGGTCAAGTGAATTTTTTATTGTCAGCGTAATCGACCGTGTAATGTTTTTTTGCTTTTTGTTTTTTAAAGGGATTTAGTTATAGAAAATATTTACTGTTTTTATTAATTCTATTTCTTATTTTAGTTTTAGAAAATATTTTTGTTTTTTATTATGTTACTTATTTTTTAAATTTGTACAGAGAATATTTGAAGTAATACTTTTTTATAAATCTTTAAAGAAAGAATAAAAACAAGATAATACTTTAATAAATAAAAATGAAAACAAAAAATTACAGGATCTACACAACTTCTTAAATTTACAGCATAATTAAGGATGGGTATGGATTGAATTTACACAAAATCAAACTAAATCTATTTTAAATTCAATTATATGTATTGAAGTTTAAATCAATCTAATTTATTTTATTTGAAATCAGTTTAAAATTGATTTTAAAAGATAGATTTGGTTTAAAATTAGTTTTAAATTCAATAAAATATACTATAAATTTTTTTAATACTATTATTGAATTATTATACTTAAAAAATAAATTTCATAATAATTAATATAAAATTATATTTGCATATATTTTAATAAATTAATAATATAATTTTTTACATTCATATTATATTAAAATTAAATTTATATTTTTTACTTTTCATCATTTATCTACCGCACAAAAATTAATTATATAGATTAAATTTTAAATTATTTTTTTAAACTAGTTTTAAATTTTAAATTTAATTTAAAATCAATTTAAAATTTAGTTTTGGTTGAAACCAAATTTAAATTCAATGATTTGTGTTAAGGTAATTTTAAATCTATTTTTCCTTTAAATTAGTTTTAAATTTAATTTTTAAAGTAAAATTAATTTTTGATATATTTGTAAATTTAGTTTTTAATGTAAAATTACTTTATTGTACCGCATCGTTGTATTAAATTACTGTATTTTAAAAGAAAATAGTAATCTTTATTAATTACATTATAAAATATATTATTTTTAAAACTTATTTTCATTAAGAAGAGTTGATGATAAAAATTTAAATTTTAAAAATATTATTTTAAATATTTAGTCGTAATTATAAGAATTAAAGTTAAAAAAATTAATTATAAAATGTAGTTATGGAAAAATTTTGTGAGATATTTAGTTGTAAATTTTTTGTAAAATATAAAAAATATCACTCTTAAAATATATACAAAGTCTAACAAGTTAGGACATAAAATAATGCATAATACAGATTTGAATAAAAAAGCCTAACTTAAAATAATATATCTATGCACAATGGATTTAGATAAAAAAAAGATTTTAGAAAATAAATTGAAAATATTAAATCAATTACAAAAAGTAATTGAAAATATGGTGAATAAAAAAATAGTTTAATATAAATTCATTCTTTTAAAATTAATTTAACATTAACTAGTTATGGATGAGGCTTGTATTACTGAATATATTTAGCTAGCACTGAGCATAATGCACAAAAACAGCCTTGGATTCACGCAAACGCAGATTAAAATTTGAAGTGTTACACCCGAATGTGAAGAACAAAATGATGGGAGCTTGGATTCACGCGCAGGTGGGAGCATTGCTCATCTTATCATACATTTTTTCCCTCCTTATTTCACTTTTAATTACAGAGATGACTAAACAAAACATGAACAAGATAGAATTTTGTGATCAATTTATTAGGCTACATTGACTAGTCCCGTATTCAACTGGCATTCTACTGGATTGTCCTTGCATATTTCTTCGAGAAATTTGACAAGTGCTTCCAAAGCCTCGTTGGGATCCTCACTTCTCATTAGATGCTCTGCTACAACAGCAGGGGTGGCTTGTATTTTGTCCAATAGTCCTTCAATTTGTTCAAAGAGAGGATGATCTCCTTCAATACCCAAATAATTTGAAGCCAATATTCTAAATGCCTTGCCTTTGAGGAAGGATAAATTAATGTGCATGTCCATACGACCGGGACGCAGCAACGCTGGGTCTATTTTCTCTTTGTGGTTAGTAGTGAATATTATAATTCTCTCCTCTCCACAGCTTGACCACAACCCATCCATGTAGTTAAGCAGACCCGACAGAGTAAACCTCCCAGGCTTAACCTACGCGTTTATTTTGAGAAAATCACTGTCATTACTTGGATACTCACAAACATTAATCAAGCAGTAACACATAATGTTAACATGGTCTTTTAAGCACAAACATTTTAAGCACGTGTTTGATGAATAGAAGTTGTGTTAATAAAACGGTATAGCATGATATAAAACAAACCTTGGCATTGGCACCCTCGTCGTCAGAGGAATCTTGGTCTGGAAGATCGTCTGCTTTTGATCGAGCATGCACCTCTTTGTTGCAATCTATGTCTTCAATGACAACGATGGAACGATTGGTTGTTTCCCTCATGGCTCGCATAAGTTCAGAGTTGGAAAACACAGAACTAAGCTCCAAATCATAGACATCAAATTTCAAATAGTTAGCAATAGCTGCAATGAGGCTAGATTTTCCGGTTCCGGGAGGCCCATACAATAGGTAGCCACGCTTCCAAGGCTTACCCACTTTCTTGTAAAGTTCCTTCCTCCTTAGAAACCGATCCAAATCATCAATGATAGCTTGCTTCAACTCAGGGGCCAAGGCTAGTGTGTCAAACGTGGCAGGGTGTGATAACTCACTTTCGTTCCAATAATCAAATAACCTTGAATAGATTTTCACAATTTTTTGCTCAGCTTTCATGGCTTCGTATGTTTTAAGCACGTGGGGTATATACCTATCCAACACTCTCTCTCTGTGCTTCTCATTGAAGGTTAATATGAAGGTAAACTTCTTGTTGCTACTAGACTCCTTTTCGGATCCTTCATCAAGCATCCAAGTGAATTTGGTGCCTTCAAATTCGTCCACCACTTCTTCACTTCCATCCACTGCGAGCTCAAGATGTTTGTGGTTTTCTAATTTGCCAACTTTGAGGCTTTTGTAGGTGCGGGTTATTCTAGAGGGAAGGTACTCATGGGCAGCATAGAACAGGTCATTGCGTTCTCCAACAGATTCATCCCAAAATTGGTTAATTTTGAGAGAGATTTGGCTGTTTGACTGACATTTGGAGAAGAAAGCTTCTAGCTTTGAGGCTATGAAGGACCGAATTGGTTGGGGTATTAGGTCATTGATTGCTGTTCTTAGGAGCATCATGAATGTGGAGAAGGCAGCATACACCTCGAACCATGATGATGTCGATCTAAAAGAGGAAGATAGATTTTGCATATACGAACCCATGGTGTTTCTATGCTATGCAATATGGATTGAAATTGTTGTGTTTTTGCCTGCAGCTTTGAGATTGTTTCGAACTCATTTATGCTGATTTCAATCCTTGCAGGGTAAGATATCCATTTTCGTCTTTTTGTTTTAAATTATTGATGCTTGTCAGCGGAACATGATTTATTTACCATAAAATAAAAAAATTAATTCTTAAAATAATATTAAATTTAAACTATTTTTTTATCAGGCCATTGTAAAGTATGCACTTAACAGATGTGATAATTTTTTTGAAAAATAAATATCGCCTCTAACGTATGTTATATTTAATTTTCTATTATTACTTTTTAAAGTATCGTTTCTACAGAAGTATTATTTTAATATCGTCTTACTTTTTTTAAAAAATATATTGTTGTTGATAGACAAGCAGTTTGGATTTAGTATTTTTAAGAATTATTGTTTTAATTTTTTTGGTAAATAGAAACTTGCCGTGCACATATTTCAAATTTGGTCATGTGTTTTATACATGTAAGAAAGTCAAAGTCATCACTAATTTGTAATTTTTGAGATTAAATTTGAATAAAAATTTTCACGGAAGCAAGGCGCCGACATTACCTTAGTGAGGGTTTATGAAAAAGTGATGGGACCTTAATCTTCTTATTTTGATGTCTGTGGAATCTTGGCTGAGTCGTCGACAGGCCATTCATGGAATTCCTCCATTCACACATCTTTAGATAGGCGACAGCACATACACCATAACTTCTCAGCCAAGCAGGGTAACAACGGGAAAGCATTAATCTTTTAAAATTTTTAATTAAGAAATACAAACATCTTTATAATCAAATATTATTAATGCATCTTCATTTTTAAAAAGTTATTTATTTGTTAATTCTTCCATCAAAATCTTAAGACATTTATTAACACGCTAATTTTTTTAGAGGAACACGAATAGCACAATAGTTGTTTGCTTCTTGGACGATCAAATTTTGTTTGAAAAATAAAAAGTGATTAATAAAATAATTATTTGCATCACGTTTTTTTAAATTTTTGGGATTGGGTTTGATGTATATGGATAGAGACAAGTTGATTGTTTAAACATTAAATAAATTTAGCATTATAAACAATTCAACTTTCTCAATCTTGTATTGGCAAAATATTAGGTACAATTTGTAGCTTTCTTTTGGGAGAGGGGAGGGGGCACACGTCGGTTTTTTTACGCCAATTTTAAAATATATTTATTAATATAAGAATAAAAGAATAAAATATTATATTATATGCTAAAAATTAATACTTGAGTTCTATCTTTTAATGTTAAAATTAAAATTTTATCTTTCTTCAAACAAATACCTTGATTGTTTATGATACTCTACAAATACCTTGATTTTGTGACATAGTTGTTGTTAGTATAAGGCATTTGTTTCTAAAAGAATGTTATTTGTTTCTAAAAGAATCCGCATATTATCATTTGGTTTGAGAAGTTAATGTGAATAACATAAGGAATATGGTCCAAATTGTTTTGACGCATTGGATATTTGAAACAGATCAATACTTAATTTCTCATTTAATCTATGTGCTTAATAAAAAAGTAAATGATTGGATTAGCTATAAAAGGATAAGCCCGAAACAAAAAGCAATTCAAAAGATTCAAATATTAAACCCTCCGAGAAATTAACTGCTAATTACATCTCAGGTTCCTTATCAACATACCAAATATCAATCAAAAGCCTGGCGGGCATGTAGGAGCATATCAATGAATCATCTTGTTATAACAAAGAAAGTTGTAGACAGCAAGTAAGGATAGAGACGATCCCCCCACATGGGTCTCCCCAGCATATGAGAATGATCATGATCTATAACTTCAATATTTAAGCGATTTTTATTTAAAATATTTTTTACTTTAGTAATAGTAGAAATATTTTACTTAAAATTATTTTTAAAAATAAGATTAACAATAAATACATAAAATAGCATCCAATAAAACTTAAAAATAAAAAAATTCCCCTGTAAGCAGTGTCATATTTTATATTCTTGGAGCAAAGTGGAATTTTATTCTAGGCGTGGCCATACAAGTGCGAAGGCTATAAACATGCTGAGTCAGAAGTCTAATTCATGATTCTAAAAGTAGGGTGTTCACATACATTTCCTCGAGAAATTTAACAAGTGCTTCCAAAGCAACGTCAGGATCCTCATTCCTCATTAGTTGCTCTGCAACAACTGCAGGGGTGACTTGTATTTTGTCCAATAGGCCTTCGATTTGTTCAAAGAGTGGATGATCTCCCTCAATGCCCAAATAATTCAAAGCTAAGATTCTAAATGCCTTGGCTTTTAGGAAGGACAAGTTAATGTGCATGTCCATACGACCTGGCCGCAGCAATGCTGGGTCTATTCTTTCTTTGTGGTTAGTAGTGAATATTATAATTCGTTCCTCTCCACCACTTGACCACAATCCATCCATGTGGTTAAGCAGACCAGACAGAGTAAGCCTACTCTTAACCTGTGTAACAATCAATTTCACAAAGCATTCTAATTACTTTAATGTCTATAAAAATGAATGAACAAGTAGCATATATACAATTATAATTTTTCAATTATTCTGCTATGTCACCCAATTACTACATTACTGTCGAGCAGAGAGAAGAGTAAAGTAAAATAAATAAAAGGTATAAAAGAAAGTTTAAAATTAACTGTTAAGAAAAATAAAAAGAATTTCAATTGTAAAAAATAATATTGAGACTAATTTTAAGTAATTAAAAATGTAGTTCTTATATTAAAGATAGTAAAAAAAATATAAAAGTTCAATTTTTTGTTAAAAATAACTATTTTTTAATAACTATTCCAAAGATTAATGTTAATCTAGGTGATATTAGCTAGTGATACAGAAAACATACCTTGACAGGCTTGGAGTCAGAATCAGAATCTGGATCTGAATAAGTGTCTGTGTTTGGTCGAGCAAGAACCTCTTTGTTGCAGTCTATGTCTTCGATGACGACGATGGAACGGTTAGATGTGTCCCTCAAGGCTCGCATGAGGTCGGAGTTAGAATACACAGAGCTTAGCTCCAAATCATACACATCAAATTTCAAGTAGTTAGCCATAGCTGCAATAAGACTAGATTTTCCTGTTCCCGGAGGCCCATACAAAAGGTACCCACGTTTCCAAGGCTTACCCACTTTCTTATACAATTCCTTCCTCCTCAAAAACCTATCTAAATCATCAATAATTGCCTGCTTTTGCTCAGGATCCAATGCAAGCGAGTCAAATGAAGCTGGGTGTGTTAAGTCACTTTTCTGCCAGTGCCTAGAGATCATGGAATGGATCTTTATCGTCCTTTGCTTTGCTTTGATGACCTCGTGAGTGCTTAGAACATGTGGAATATACTTGTTCATTACTTTATCTCTATGTTTCTCATCAAAGCTTAGCGTAAAGGAAAGTTGCTCGTTTGACTTGGGATGTTCAGGATGATCCCTTTTGTAACTACTTTCAATAAGCTTCCACTTGAGCTTGATGTCTTCAAATTCATCCGCAACCTCTTGTTTTCCATCCACAGCCACTACTACGCTCTTATGCTTTGGTAGCTTGCCAACTTTGAGGGATTTGTAGGTGTGGGTTATTCTAGCTGGGAGATACTCTTGGGCCGCTTGGAAGAGTTGGTTGGTTTGGCCTTCCCAAAACTGGTTGATCTGAAGTGAGACTTGATGACTGTTTTGGCGGTCTGAGAAGAAAGCTTTTAGCTTTGAGGTGATGAATAAACGAACTTGTTGGGGTATGAGATCGTTCATTGCGGTTCTTAGAATCATCATAAATGTGGAGAAGGCAGCATACACCTCGAACCATGATGTTGCTGAACGGAAGTTTGTAAAGGAGGAAGAGAGACTCTCAATTGAAGCTCTCATGGTGGTTGGATCGATGCTACCCTTCGATGCAGCCACCGGGTTTATATAGAGAGTGAGACACACACGCTGATTAGTTTGATCTTTGGTTTTGATCGCTTTCTTTTAGATTATGACATCCTGTTCAAGCTTCTACTACTAAAGAGTTTTATTATTTTGCGACAAAAGTAAAAATGAATAAATAAGATAAGTTCTGACAATGACTAACAGAGAGGGAAACAGACTCACAGTGTCTTCCATCTAAGCATCAATTCAGACTACGTACAGTCACACTTTTTTATTTTTCACAAAAATGTAGAATAAAGCTTCAATGTATAAAAATCCTTCTAGATGCATATTACAAGACTAGGAATTTACTTATACAGTTATTGGATTTTTTAAAAAACGAAAACTCGCAGCTACACCCAATAGTTCCTTTTATGTTAAAAAGTTCTGCACAAATCCCTTTCTTAGTTTCCCAGTCAAATTCAGACTCACGTTCCTTCGCGGGAATTCATAGATAATTTGTATCATTGATATGTAGAGAGAGAAAAAATGCAAAAACAATTATAAGAGAATTCACCTGTAATTTCGTGAAGTACCACGGTTCTTGCTGCAGTGGGACTAATGCAGCCTTCCGTTAGGCATACAACACTGGGCCAGAAGCATCTTTTAGTTTGCCATTCACACGTATGATAAATAATTTTGTGGGCACATGCGTAGAAGTCTCATATTCATGGGCAAATAACGCGAGAACATGACCTTAATTGTGGGAGAAATTTCTAAGTAGCTAATGGTATGTAGGATTTTATAATCATGTAATATGATTTTCAATAACAGGAAGCAAGATTACAACATAGTTAATTCTTAATTTTCATAAAGATCATGTGAGAAAATGTTTACCTTTCATGAGAGATTGATCTATATATGAATCGTAAAGAAGATAAAAAGTAAACTATTGTGTCAAACAAGCTGACAATGTATACTCGCTGGTACAAGGAACATTCAGATATATAATGACTTGCGTAGCTCATCACCGAAAAAAAATACTATGTGATTCTCTTATTTGTTTACAAGATTTTAACTTTTTTTTTTTTATTAGATTTTTTATTTTACTTCTGATTACGTTTTTTTTTCTTTGCAAGGAGTGATGATAATGATAATACAATTCAGTTAAAATTACTTAAACCATTGATAAGCGTTCGTTGTAATATGCAAAACAGAATGGATTTTAGATTTTAAATTTAGATTTTAATCTTTAAAATTAGATTTTTTTTTAAAGATTTTAAGAATTAATTCCAAACAACCTAAAATTAAAGTATAGGAGGTAAAATAATATCTTTAATATTCTACCTTCCAAGTAATAAATAAAATTTATTAACTAAAAAGTAAAATATTTAACATTTAATGAGATGCACATAAAATACATCAACTAATAAGTATTATATTTTTAAAAAATTATATATGTTAATTTAAAGACAAAAATTAGAGATGAAAATAATTTTATTTTTATCAAAGATAAAATTAGAGATAGAATTTAAATTTAGAGATAGAATTTAAAATAAAAGAACTATGTTAAATGTATTATAAATGGATGATGGATATTTTGTTTATGATACAAACTCTCTAATTTTTTATTAAAAACAAATTTAATAAATAATTTATAAATATTTTATTTAATAATAAAAATGTATTTATAATTTTTTTTAAAAGACAAACCTACTTTACTAGCTACTTGGGCATCAATGCTTCCAAAGAATTAAAAATCATAACTTTGCTTTGAATGTGACGTTGCAATTTTCTTCCAACATGTTGAAAAGAGTTCGAGCCGAGATTTGTAGCTGAAAAATAGGACTTTGCTTCTCAATAATGTCTTTTATAGGAAGGAAACGTCTCCCCTGTGCAGATTGTGATAAAATATTAATGTGGGAGAAATTATTGTTCAATGACAAATTAACGTTGATTTACTAATTACACTAACTCCAATTGCATGTTTAATAAGATTTAATTTTAAAAATAATATATTTTAAAAACATTAACAATTGATAAAAATAATATTTTTTAAAATAAATTACCTCAACCATTTATTGAATGGTTAGACCAACAACGCTGTTTTTTAAAAAGTTTAATCATAAATTATTATACTATATATGAAAAAAGTATTAATTTGAATTGTTTAAAGAAATAACAATAGAGCTAAAATACTATTTAACTTTTAAAAATATATATAAAAAAAAAACATGTGCGTAGATGTTATTAATAAAGATAAAACTATTTAATTAAATAATAAATAAAATTTCTTAACTAAAATGTGAAATCTTTAACATTTAATTAGATGCACGTAAAATTTATCAACTAATAAGTATTATATTTTTAAAAATAAATTATATATATATATATATATATTAATTTAAAAAAACAAAAATTAGAGATAAAATTTAAAATAAAATAAAAATATATACCAAATGTATTATAGATGTATGATGGATATTTTGTTTATGATACCATTTCCCTAATATAGTATAATCATTAATAATAAGATTTTATTCATTAATTTCTTTTTAAAAATTATAGATATCTCTTCCATTAATTTTTTTTCTATATCTAGGGATGGCAATGGGTAAAGTACCCGATAGGCACCCGCAAAATTTATCCACAATGGGTAGGGTATTTACCCGCTATACGGGTACGGGTATGGGTGTGGGTAAAAACCCACAAATTTTAATGGGGATGGGTGCAGATATGGGTATCTAAGTATCCACCCCGCCCCATACCCGCATATATATATATATATATATATATATATATATATATATATATATATATATATATATATATATATATGCTTGAACTTTATTCTACAATTATGAATTAAATTTTTGTATTATTATATTACTTATGTGAAGTTATATAAGATTAATATAAAAATATATTTAATAATAAAGTAAACCAAAAAATTTATTTTGGTTTATATTTTTAATAGAAAAATTTATTTACTATTTTATATCATTTAATTAGGCTAACACAATTTAATTATTACATAGTTAATATGAGATTGACTTTTTTTTAAAATATTATTTATATATGACACACATAAAATATTTTTTATACAAATATTTTTGTTAATAAAATCATATTGATGTTTAAATCATAAAGTGAATGATAAATAATAAATATATTATAAATATATTATAAATTATTATTAACACATACAAATATACTATTATTTTTCACATCATTATATATTACAAAAAATGTAATGTTTTTTCCACATATATAAAATAAATATTCTCACCAAATATAACATCATCTTTCTTATTAAACAAGTTAATATAAAATATCTACTTACTTCTATAATTTATTTAACAATATTTAAAAAATTAATACTTATTTTTAACATACACAAAAAATATTTATTAAATATTTATACATTTTAACTGCCTCTATTATTTTAAATAATTAAAACATTTCCATTTTAATAATTTATTAATAACAAAATTTCTAAAAAAAATATTTAAAATTGACTAATCTTAAATTTTTTTTTAATCTTTAAAAGTGCAACAATATTTCCCAACAATGTTTCCCTTCTTCTTTCAATGTGCTACCGTGAGTTTTGCACTACCATTTTATATTTCATTTGTGTTGAATAAAAGGAGGCAGTGAAAGGAAGTTGACCAGTGGGTAATAATGGTTTTGTCTCAAATATAGGCGAAATCACATGCATTTCGTCTCATATGTGGACGAAATCAACAAGATGCACACACGTATCCACATCCTAATGTTTCGTCTTCTTTTGAGACGAATTATAGAAATGTTGACACGTGGCGGTGGTTTTGTCTCTCGTTTATGCAAAATTATCTGGAGTGTTTTGCCTCTATTTTAGATGAAATGATTAATTTAAAAAAAAATTGATTTCGTGTTGTTTGAATACGAAATTGCTGCTTACGTGACAAAAATTTGCTCAAGACTGGAAATAATTTTTTATTTTATTTTATTTTGGTAATTATTTTTTAAATTAATATTATTTAAATCATTTACCCTAGAGATTGTATTAAAAGAACTTAAATGTTCAATAAAAAAAAATCATGAGACAATAAAAAAAACTTCTAATTCCGATACGACGATGGTTCTTAAAAACATTGATTTCAGATTCAAGATTCATTTTATATATAGAAGCAAAATTTTAAATGATTTTTATCATATCAGAAAAAATAGTTATTTTAATTTTAAAAAAAATTATATTAGTACTAGTATAACACGTGCATTTATTGAAAGTAATATAAATGGTGATATTATTTAAGAATTTTTATTTGTAGAAATAAAAATATACAAATGATATTTTGTCAATAATTAAAAACCTAATTCTTTTTTTTTAAAATCATTAGTTCTTTTATCTATTCTTGTTAAAATCTGAGATAATAATTATAATTATTTACAAAAGAAATAAAACAGGGGAGGAGGGGAACCTCATGCTAAACAGACTCAAGCTTTCCGATCATGGAACAGAAGAAAACCTTGTGTTGCCATATACTGGCCAGTGACCATTGTTAAGTCCCATTGCCAGTGACCAGGGTTAACATAATTACATGTACTTACATATAGTTTCCACGCAGAGATACTTGCAATCACACTCTGCCCCTCATTTTTTCCCCTCCTCATATACATGAAGGAAAATTCAAGCACAGTTGGATAGAAATGTACCCTCTTAGTAATGGATTAAAACTAACAAAAGCCAAAGGCCTAGATCAGCAAATTTAATTTCTGGACACAATTAGTAGCTATAACAACTTTATTTTATGATTCCATGTGTGACCAGTTGATTACAAACTACACCCTCTCCTAATTCTCCTTGTCCTCCTTTGGGTAACTACACCATTCCCAACACCACGCTTTTGCTTGCAACCAACCTTGCGCCTTTTAGATTTTTGATGAGAAGGTTCTGCTTTATCTGGACCATAGTTTTCACATACATCACCCTCCATCTTTTTCCGCTTAAGAAGCTTCACGAAACCTTCAAGTGTGGCCTCTGAGTCCTCATCCTTCATCAATTCCTCTGCCACTTGAGCAGGGGTTATTTGTATGTCCTCTATTAGCCCCTCTACCTCCCCAAAGAGGTGGTGATCAGAGGAAATTTCCAAGTAATTTGAGGCCAAAAGCTTGAAGCCTTGGTAGGAACAATAGGACATGTGAATGTGCATGTCCATTCTTCCGGGCCTTAACAGAGCAGGGTCTAGCCTTTCTTTGTGGTTGGTCGTGAATATGATTATTCTTTCGTCTCCACAACTCGACCATAGTCCATCTATGAAGTTCAGTAACCCAGACAATGTCAACTGCACCCATCCATAACATGTACGATGAGTTCATGTCAAAAAATTTGCATTCTAGTTAAAAGTCTAATCAATGGGAAAAAGAAAGTGTGTGCGCAAAAGGGGTTATAGAAAATTGAATGTGTTAATTTCCCATAAAAACCAATATAAAATGTTGGGGGGGAACATCATGTGACAAAATAAAATAACAGCAGTACAGTAATCCACCATAGACTTTGAAGCTTTACACGGAAGATATCATCCTATTTGGCATCCACCATCAGAATAACATAATTAACATATAGCAACAACCTTTGAGCAACAGGTAATATACACTTGCTCTCGCTATTTATCAAACAGAAAACAACAAACAAGAGGAAAAAGGACTAGGAAGTGTCTGAACAAATTGTGTGGATTGATTGTGAAATGTCTTTTTGGATTTTTCCAAGTGGGGTTTTGATTACTATTGTGGGATGATGATGTGGCAAATGCTTTGGATGGTTTTTTTGTAGCTTTACACTGATAACTATTAAATTACCGCCAAAACCGAATTTCTTAACCAATTATTAAACTGCACAGTAGTCCAAAGGTCCCCCACTTACCAATTCAGGTGCTTTTATAAACGGCATGTTTCCACTTACAAGAGAGAAGGGAGAAAAGAAAGTTTCCTCACTAAAGAGAAAATGACTCTAAATACATGGTAAAGTAGTGAACCTGTCAAGCTCTAAAACAAAAGCACAACCGAGACTATGTTGTATCTTTCGCACTTCAATCAGAACCCACGTGCTTGGCTTGGCATTTCGAAAACAACCATTTTAGGCTAACAACTCGCAGCTTGCTACCAGGAACAGAGACACTCTGTCTCCCTTTTATTTGCTTTTTCTTCTTCCGCTCAAGACTATGTTGTATTTCTCAGCTTGATGTTTTCATTTTTAAATTAGAAAAACAAGAAAAGTTATAAATATAAAGAGAAAATATTTTGATATACCAAACTAGTGAATTTAACCAAATTTAATTTACCTATGTGCATATATATTTGATAAATGAATTTAGTTGTATAATCTATAAACTGTGCGCATAATTAAAATGACATCGATTTAACACAATAAAAAATAATTTTTACGTTTCATGAAATCAAACAAGTATCTATTGCTATGGATATATAAGAGGAAAAAATAGAACTTGGAAGAGGGTATGATAGTGACTTAGAATTACTAACCTGTACGTCAGCTTGTTTACGACCATGTCCATCTCCATGGCGACGCTCAGGCAGATCCACACTGCAATCAATGTCTTCAATGACCAAAATGGACCTATTTGCCGTAGCCAAAAGCAATTTTCTGAGGTCGGAATCCCTTACTATGTTCCCAAGTTGTAGGTCATAGATATCAAACTTCAAGTAATTAGCCATAGCTGCAATCAAGCTAGACTTGCCAGTACCCGGAGGGCCATATAATAAGTACCCACGTTTCCACGCCCTCCCAACTCTCTTGTAGAACTCCTTCCTCTTCACGAACCTGTTTAGGTCCTCTATCACAGCATTCTTCAGCTCTGGCTCCATAGCCAGCGTTTCAAAAGTTGACGGATGCTCCAGATTAATGGAGTCCCATTTTACCCCAGAATAACAAAAGGAAGTGTTCAGAGTGTGCATCTTCAACACCCTTTCCTCATCTTTCATCTCCTTGGCTTTGTCAAGAATAAAGGGCAAGTAAGAGTCCAAAACAATTTCCCTCTGCTTCTTGGGGAAACTAAGCTCAAAATACCGCTTTTCTGACCTTATGGAGACGTTGTTATGATCGTTGAGGCTGTTCTTTTCTGTTTCTGCACAAATGAATCTCCATTTGAAGCATGCCCCGTCGAAGTAATCAACTACCCTCTCACCCTTCTCGAGCCGAATGGTTAGTTTCTTCTCCTTTGGACTCTTGCTGATTTTCAGTCTTTCGTTGTCGGGGCTGACTCTGGTGGAGAGATAAGCCTCTGCAGCATCGAAGACTTGGTTGCGAGCTATGCCGGTGGACTCTTCGATGATGAGGGTGAGCGTAGGCGAACGAGGCTTGATGAGGTAGCGAAAAGCATTGAAAAGGTAGCCACGAATTGGTTGGGGTACGAGTTCGTTGGCCATGGAACGCAGAAGCATCATAGAGGCTGTCATGGAGGCATAGGCAGAGAAGATTGAGGAAGGAGAAGGCATGTCTCTTGGGGAAAACATTGTTTCGTCGTTGATTTATGGTACAGATAAACACACTACAGAGTGCAGAACACAGAGCTTGGAAGGGACTATTTTCTAATTCTTCTATTCTGTGTTTCTCTTCGCATTTGTCGGTATTTATTGGGAATCACAAGGACAAGGTGCATGTATATGTGGAAATCCTAGTGCGTGTGTGTGTGTGTGTGTGCCTTTTCCTTTTTCCTACTTTTGATTCAATAATGTCTTCTACACGTTTCCTTATCTCATTTTTATAAGTAGAGGGCAAGAGCAGATGCTCCTCATTTCTGGTCATATTTATCCCCTGTTTGGACTTATGTTCATCTTTAAATTCCAGTAAATTTGATAACATACCAGTTCAATTAAGACTAAGCTTGAGACATTTAGCATATAAGATAGTTAAATTTTGTACTATACGGATCTATAATATATTTAATATCTTTCTTTTTAGATAACTAATTGCTTATATTGTATTATTGATAGTATTGAATATTTTTTATCCTTAGGACTCCGGTTTTGGGACATCTTGCAATTTTCTTGAACTTGACTTGTTTCTTCATTATCCTTTTAGAGAGCAGCCATTTTTTATGAACAAACTAGCCCGGAGACATAACCAAGATTCATCAAAGGAGCAACAATGAAATCGAAGCCACCAATTGATATATCTTAAAGATGACTTTGGTGTGTTAATATTATGTTATTTTTATTGAAATAAAATATTATATTATTTTTATAATTTAAGTGTTTTATTTTTTAATTGTAATTTTATATATAAGATGCTTTAAATTAAATTATGTAAAAACCTACAATTCTTTTTAAATAAATATTCATCAGTACTCACCGGTCAAAATAAATCCATCTGAATGCCCACACAGGTATATATGGGAGAAATGAGGCACATTTGTGCTTGTAGGGTGGGTAATAAGTATCTAGTATTCGTGTTGTCATGTTATATTGTCATTTCTAGTTGTATTAGATCAGTGATCACTGCATACAACATCAAGATTTGTTAAAAATAAATATCTGTGCCATGAAATTTGGTGAGAAAAAAGAAGAAAATTGTAAAAAGGAAAGCAAATTTGTGATGAAATTCCTTTGAAAGTGAAAAAACAATGATAAAGAAGATGAGTGAAAAATGAAAAAGAAAGAAAGAATGTACTCTCCTAACATTGAATAAGACGAAAAACTCCTCATTGGAGATATACTAGAAGCTTTGATATCGTATTGAGAAATAAAGTATACTTTACAGAATAAGGAAAAAAAAATTAGAGAATAAAAAATTTTGGAAATGAATGAATAAAAAAAAAGTTGTACTTTGATTGAAAAAAATGCAACTAAGCTATTAACTAACTAAATGTCACTACTTAATCACCTAAGTAACTACAAGTTCTTAGTCAATTTCTAATTAATTTTAAGTAAATAACAAACAATAAAAGACTGAATCAAACATGGTGTTCATGTGCTTCTTTTGATTTTATTGAATGTGAAAAGCCTTAAATCAAAAAGCCTTTGCTCCACACAAATATGTTAACAAAAGACATAGCAAGTTAAGCACGGAATTACTCAAAAAGAAATGAAAAAACGCAATCACCAACTTTATAAACATAAAAGCGATTCATGTCAATTTCACCGCTTCTATGGCACCCTAAAAAGCAATTTATTTCTCTTTGTGCATGAGAAGATTGACGAAACTAAAGAGAGATGAACTTTAGTTTGTCACCCAGACTATAAGCATGGAGACGTTCTTTTTAATTGCACAAAAAAATTAACCAAACTTTCTTTTGTAGCATAGTATCATTATTTGACAGTGATTGCGAATCATGCTGATGCATGATAAATTTTTGGATTCAAACTTTATGTAAATTTTTGGTCTTTCAATAAGGTTAAGTGTAAGTTCATCTTAGCATGCATAATGTTCATCATATATTTTGTATTAATTTTTTATTATAAAATGCTTATAATTATAGTATTATGTTTTTTTTTTCTAACGTGGAATTGACTGGAGACTTAAGTTAAAAGATTGTTGAAATGAAGTTTTGTTACAATTTTTGGAAACTCATGAGATTCAAATGTGAAAAACAGGTGACTCAAAATAAGGTTCATTCAAGTGCAAAGTGTGCTCATGCCTTACATCCACACATACGGAAGTGAAGAAGATTTTGAAGTTTCAGTGTTGTGATGAGAGGATGTGAACCACTCAATCAATCTGAAAGATCTTTTGATTGATAAGCTATATATAAAGAGATATTTTAGAAAGATGTTATTTTGGAGATATCTTTACCCATAAAATATTTTATTTAGATTATTTGGCTCCCTATTCTTAGATATTATATTTTATTTTCATTAAGATTGACTTGTATTTAAAAATAACGTTCTCTAAGTAGGTTTCGGAATATAAAAGACAGGAATGTATAGGCAAAGACAAGCTAAATTCTTTGTTACTTTATAATTTTTGTAAAGATCACGTGAAATTAAATTCTTATATATTATAGTTTGAAGATAATTAAATTTTGATTATTCAATAATTGTGACATCTAAATATTTTTATGTTTCTCTTCTTTTTTTAATATTTATATTCCATCTAAAATATTTATTAATTACTATCTATTGATTAATACTACAAATCGTCAATTTTTTTAGCTAGCAAAGAAATGTATAGCCAATTGACACATTATACCCGTAACTGTCTAAATATTTTAATAATTAGCGGTAACATAACAAGGTTTAATACAAGGCATTTTACTTTTATTCTAAATTAATTGAGCTTGTAATTGGCTAAGATTGTTGATGTCTCTAAATTTTGATGTTATCAATACAATGAACCCTAGTAACTTAGGGTTGTTTTTTGATAAGTGAAGTAGTTAAACAAAAAAATTATTTTTATTGTTGAAATAACAAGGAGAAATAGATTGTTAGAGTTTATTGATAATCATAACCAATCTGTGAAAAAAAATTAAAGAGTGAATCTTTGTATCATTGATCAATTTTAAAAATTGACACTAAAACTATTTCTTGAACTAAAGGTTCATATGTTAAATTTAATTAATCTTGTATTCTTGAGTTTTATTTTATTTATTTCATCTTTAATTCAAACTCTCGTTTAAAAATCATTTTAATAATTTTATAAATGAATAAGTTTTATCAACTTCAATTCAACCCATTCTTTATTATATACAAATAATTCATGTAAAAAGAATTAAATCAAATTTATTAATTTCGAAACTCATCATCATTGATCAGAGTATACTTTTAGGGTAAACAGTTTATTCTTTATTGGGGGGGGGGGTTTCTGATTACACATTAAAACATTTTCTTCTGTCTTATAGTTGCAATTGTTTCCTTGTTTTCTAATAAAGTGTTAAAACTTTCAACTATAATATTTCTATTGGTGACAAAGGCCCTGCCACGATGATGGTTCACTCACCAAAATGAGCAGCAGTTTTTGATCAGCCAATCTCAAGACTCAAACCAATCTGCGAGCGACACTCCCCCAATGACCACGCAGAGCCTCAGAGTACTTAGGATTTTAGTTGATGCGTGCGGTACACTCGGAATTTTCTGTGATCCCATCAAGAAAATCTTTACCATGCCTCTGAACTTTTCTGAAAAGAATCACCTTTCGTTGATTTAGTCACCCCAAAGACAAGATGTGTGTACCAACAACCCCTGCATTACAATCCCATGAAGAAACAACGTTCCACTTCTTAAAAGACTAGCCCTGTCTCTTCTCTGGTATGGATGCACAAAATCCATGTAAAAGAATTATTGAAACCTTGTCGTCGCTAAACCTTGAACCTCAACCTTACAACTGTTCAGAATATATATTTCTAATCAAATTTTATGAATTTTAATACAAGGAATTCTTAAAACCCTATTGGTTATTGTTTCATACATGCTTGCTGAAATGTATTCACTTTCCCACTGCGTATTTTATTATGTTAACTTTATGTGCATGCTTCAGTGGTGCCACCTATACTTTATTAATTTTTAAATGCTCGTATCTGAATGAATAATGTCCCACGCTTACCAACTTTCGGCGAGTTAACTTGAAGATTGGCTCACTCTGTTTTTTATAATATGGCATACTCAAACGTGACCTAACCTCATTGTTTTGCAGATGTCACGATGGGAAACGTCCACTGAACTGATGTATCTGTTATTTGCATTTAACCCAACAAATAATAAAATAAAATAAAGAATACATATTTAATTCGTTATACTTTTGTGTTTGACGTTATAATTCTATTAAGGAAAACTATTGTTCATTAAATTATATTTTTTTAATGATATTATATAATGATAAAAACTAATATATGATAAAGTACTTATATATATTTTAAATATTTGTAAAAGAGTGTTAATAATAAAAATATTTTAACCTAAAATAAAATAGAAAAGAGGAGGGAGGGGAAGGGAAGCATGTGACCTCGTCCTTGTGTACTGTGACTGCTGTCTATTGTCCAGTTCTTGTTTGGTTTGAATCCATATTAAAAATTATTCCACGACGTGTCGAGTACTCAAAACTCACAAATTCCTCACGAAAACGACAGCAAAAGGACTCCGATATTACTTAATGGAACATCCTTTGTCTTGTTCCTAAGAAAAGGAATGGTGCTGATGTAAGATGCTTTGTGTAATGAGTTGCATTAAATAAATCATAGGGCCAATTCTACCCATTGTCACCTATTCCCTCCTTTCGTTCAACGAGAGAAATTATAAGAAGTAAAGAAATAAAAGTGTACTTTACCAATATCATGCCATATGAGTATGCTATCCAAATGAATAAGACCCAACGTGTCCATCAACGTCTTTAATTAAAGTACTATTTGGGATTGTATTTGTTTACAAAGGTTGCAAATGAGAAGTTAGAATTGCTAAAGTTCTCAGTGGGAGTATAAAGAACTACTAGTTTAATTTGAGTAGCATTTTTCTACCTGAAATCCCGTAAAGGCAAGGAATAATTGAAGAACAAGGAGTAATGCTTTTGCTCTCAAGAGAATAAACAAATTGCGAGTCCAATGGATCAGAACATGCCACTGGAACGAGACAACTAAAAGTTGATTTCAAAAGAAAGCAGATTTAGCTTCTCAGCTCGTTGTCATTCTGATTCTGTTTCTTTCTTTGGCCGACCTGTTGAATCACTCTTTATATGCCTCAACTTTGTTTCAGTATATTAATATAAATTTTCATTTAATAATTTCTTAATGCTGACAAGTAATTAATGATCTTGTATGACTAAGAAATGCTTATCCGAACCACGTCAAGACAAGAGTGTCATCAACAACTACAGAGCAAAACCACAATTATTTACTTTCTCTGACTTCATTCGGAAAGCCTAAGAGAATTTGCCTACGAGCTACCACCCACAACTACAGGTTTGGAATGTAGATGAGGTCAATTATTCGTCAACTATTCAACTTAACTTGCTCAATTTATTAAATGTTTGGTATATAAAATATTTTATTTTTAATATTCAGCATTAATTATTATTATTTTTAATATTTCAATATAAAAGTATTTATATGATACTAATTAATAAATAAAATTTTATTTTAAATTTATTAAAATATTAAATAAGTTATAAACTAGTTAATCATATATTATAGTTTTTTTAACTAACTTAAATGACTTATTTACACTTTCAGTGACTAGAAAGAACACTATTTTTTTACAATGCAAACTTAAATGATTTTTTTATATGTTTGTATTTCTTTAAAAGGAAAATGATTTAATTTAATTTAATTTTCATAGCAATTGCGAATATTTTAGGAACACAATAAAAAAAATTGTATTAGAAACACAAAAAAAGTATATCATAATTTTAATTTCAAGAAATAACTCCAAATCAATTTCTAGAAATCATTTTTTTTATTTTCTTATTTCGCAAAAACTCCTTCAAACAAAAAAAATTATTACTAAAATTATAAAATCTTCTATTTACATTATTAATTGATATAAAAATAACTTGACACAATGTTTTGTATTTTTCCTTAAAGAGTATTAACTTCTAAAACTTTTTAAATAGTGACCGGATGATTTTTTTTTCTTTGGCGAATGCTGCTCAATACATAGCTTTTGAAGAACATTAACTAAGAAATTAAAAAATTAAAGATATTAAAAAAAATATTACTACATTATTTTCAGTATTTTGTTGCTATATCTTAATATAATTTTTAATAAAAACTTTAACGTTTAATTCTAATATCTTTAGAGTATTAATTTTGTTTAGCACACCTCATTGAACTTCTTGTGTTTATTATATAAAATACAAAGCGTTAGTTCGAGTTGCTCACAGTGTTACCAGTAATACGGAGGAAATAAATATGGGCTAGCAGGCCCTGTGAAAGAAGTACCTTGTTCTTGATCTCATCAGGAAAAAAAAAAAAAAACGCTTAATAAAACAAACAATGTCATTTCCTATCAAAGAAACTAGTGAATTAGTTATCACCGATCATCAAGTATAAAAAAACTTTCTACAAATTTTTTTTAAAAAAAAAAAAATTAATATTGATTATCAAAATAATTAAAAAAAATACATCTGTTCTAACCGAATCGACGTAGAAATGAAACTTTCTGAAAAATGATGAAGCAAAAAATATAAATAAATTAAAAAATTAAGAAAAATATTAAAATTTTAGAAAATAATTTTGTCTAAGTCTCCTTTCTTTTGAAAATTTATGAAATAGACATACAATTGTATTTCTACATTAAAAGTTATATTCCTTCAAAATTTATAATTATAAAAGAATGAAAAATTATAGAATATTTTACATCAGTTGGTAAATAATTAATATAAAAATTACTTTTTATATTGATTATTTTTAAAATTAACATAAAAATAATGTAAATTTAATTTTTTACATTGATATACTATATCACTTTCTAGAGTGGTTCTTTCATAATCAAAATAAAATCAATTTAAAAAGAAATATTTCAAAAGCATGTTTCAGTAAATATTATAAATTGAAGAAAATGAACATAAATTTTACTTACATTTTTAAGTTTTAATTAGTATTTTTTGCTATCTAATTAATAAATACAAATTCTTACTTGCATTTTAAGTTTTTATTAGAATTTTTAAATTTTGTTATTTACAAACACAAACTCTTATTTATATTTTGAAATGTCTATTAACATTGTTAGTTACGATATTGATGAATTTTATACAACATTGATGAATATTATATATTTTTTATTTATAAACTTAATAAAAATTAAATATCAAGTAAATATTGATAAATATTATATTTTTTATTTATAGACTCAACAAATATTAAATTATAAATAAGTATTGATAAAAATTAATGTTGACATTAACAAGTATTAATATCATTAAAAAATTATTTGTTAAAATATAAAAAAAAAATTGACATTATTGATAAACATTTTCAGGAAGTGAATATATATAATCCATCAACAAATTAATAACAAGATCAAAGAATTGATGAAAAATTAGTTGCATTAATTTAAAATTAATTAGAAATTACTTTGAACTCTTTTTAAAAGAATTTATTCAACTAAAACAAATTATTAAGACACATAAAAATATTCATTCATAAATGTTATCTTTACTCCCATATGCGAAAGTTGAGAGAGATAAAAACAAAAGCATTATAACTAAAATAATATTATCAAATGGCTTTTTATTATTACTTTTTTTCTTAAGATATATAATTGATATTATCCCTTTATGTTAATATGAGATTTGATTTAGTTTTACTTTAAATTTTGAGATAGTTTATCACCTAATTATTTTTAAAATATAAAAATATATTTAATTATTACCTAACTATAATTTAATCATGGTCAGACCAGAGAATTGTAAATAATATATTTACAAGTTCAGCATTCGACGTTTCAAATATTGACTAATACACAAATAGTAAAAAAAGATTGACTAATACACAAACCATTTAAGTTTCGTGGTTTTAACAAAAGGACTAATGTTATATATTCTTTTATAACATTTTTATAATATTAAAAATGTAAGTATTAAACAAAGAGGCATAAAAATTGAATATTTTGAAAATAATAATTTTACAATTTAAAATATATTACACTTAAGATATTAACAAAATTTTAAAAAATGAGAGTGAAATAAATAGAAATAGTTGTTGATGATATAAATAATAATTAAACTTAAATGTGGTGTCATAAATGCTTTTTAGTATTCTTCAATTACAATTAAAATTTTATTTTTGTAAATCACGTTAAAGATAGAAATAAATTTTATATTATTTAATTTTATTCAATCACTGAAATGAAACTATAATTTTATTAAAAACAATATTAAAATATGATTATATTTCTTATAAACCATAAATATAAAATCAACTAACAAGGGTTAATTTAAGAAAAAATTATGCATATATTTTTTTGAAAGTAAAGACTATATTTCGAGCCTTGCAAATGGACTATCTCACTTTTTTTTAACATCATAATTATTAAATAAAATAATTTAACTCAATTAACTTGGTTACCTTTAAGTTCATTCTGCATCGTGCTTAAAACAAATTAACTTTCTTGACATAGACGACATGAATTAGACTGTTAGAGCCAAGGGGATAATTAGTTACTAACAAAACATTTGCAACTTGTTGATTTGGTCAAATTAGGTATGGAATTTTCAAATATAAATTTAGCTTAGACTAAGGATTATGATCGAATACTTTTTTTTAACTAAACTAATTTTAAAGACGGCTACTAAAAGAACCAAGGACAAAATTACAAATTTCTCAATAATTGGACATACAATTATAGTATAATCTCCCTACAACACAAACAATAGAAAACGGAAGTGTTCTTTTTCATGCGAAGGAGCACGCTTCACTCAGGTACATCGGCATTGAATCTACCAAGCTAATCATGGTTATACCTTTTATTTTTCTTCAAGCCCGAAACCCATTCAAAATTTTGAAATTTTGGGAGCCTATTTTAACTTGAGCGTCATAATATAGTGCAAGATGGATTGGGCTCTTCCCATCTGTTCATATGCACCACCGCTACCGGTTGGCATGGTGGTGGGTAGTACTGTGGCATCTGCATGTACGGTACAATAGATTTTTGATCGAGATTCGTTGGATTTGGATCAGGCTTTTTCTTTTCATCGGGCTTTTTCTTTTCATCAGGTTTCTTCTGAGCATCGGGTTTTGGAGGGGCCGGAGGAGGCCCAATACTCAGAACTTCTGCATGTTTGCCAGCTTTTCTTATGCGAACTATTATTTCATATGGGTCTGCATCTCCTGTCACAGTCAGCGTACCCTTCCCTTCATCAGCTTCAATTTTATCTACCCCTGCAATTCAATGAATCAATGACAATATTAAAACTCTGCAAGAGGTTAATTGAAATCATAAATGATGTGTGTACCACTAAGGATTGTAAATTTTAATTGGGCCCATCAAACAGAGAGAAAGTGGAGATTAAGCCCATTATTAGTAACAGAGAAAAAACGATCATAATAAATTAATAAAAATAAACAAATTTTTTCTCAAAAATAAGTTGAACCAATCGCGTATAAAGAGCAGTGTTGAGGTTACCTTGAAGGGAAGAGACAGTTTTGAGGAGCTTCCTTTTACATTTGAGACAATCGATATTAACCTTTAAGACGGTCTTCTTGACCATGGAGAAATAATCACTGTGGTTCAGATCGCACTACAATGGTAAGTAAATATTTCAGGCAGCTTTGTGAACAACAACGTTGGTGTTGGAATATTTAAGGTTTATTTCAGGTGAACCAAACGAAGTGGAAAAAAACAACCCGCTTTGACAGTTTCTTTTATGAATTATGGTTGTTCACCGTCCTTGGCAAAATTTCAAGACTTATTTGTCTTTTGTTTTGTTGGCGCTGTAACCTTACAAGAGATTTCTTGTGTATGTTGGCTTTGCCGTCTCTGATTTGTTGCAACTTGCATTATCCTTGTAAATTGTGACCTTGCTTAAAAATGATAGTCACTCTACAATTGGAGTTGTATATAGAAATCCTATGAAAAGAGATAGCTCCAATTGTCAACTGATTAAAACGGAATTCTACTTTAAAATGAAAGTTTCTTCAACTTAATTAGATGGAGTCACCAAGAACGTACCCATTATTTGTTTTTCTTGATATTTGGTGAACTATATTATTTATTTCACATTGTCAACTCAGGTTACGTCAATGAGCATGCAGATGTAACAAAGTCTTTCTTCCTTTTTTATCTTCCTTTTGGATACAGAAGTCTTTCTAAACCCTTTAATATTTCTGTAAAATGAATAGGCTGGCTTATTTTTCAAGCTATGGAGTGACAAGTTTTTTAAATATAGCAAAACAAAAGGTATTAAGATTGACTGCAACGATATTAGAATTGGTATATAATAAAGAAATTAAATAATAACCCAATAAATACAATAATACATCAATTAAAGTTCTACATATTAAGTACGTGTTTCATTTAAATTATGTCGAATAATATCTTACTTAAAGTATTTTTCCAAAAAATAAATATATATATTTTTAAAATTAAGCTTTATCAAATGAATGAAGACATCGTTTGGAAGGCCGTAAAAAGCAGAGAAAATTTTAATAAAAAGAAAAAAATATTCTCTCCATTTCTTTTTGCACTGTGAAAAAATATATTAGAAATTAGGATATATTGATTTATATTCAATCAACTAACTAATTATCAAACAAGTTAAAAATAAATAGTCCGGTACAAAATATTTTTTAAGAAAAAATTGTGTACTTGTTTCTATTTGATTAAGTTCAAATAATTAAGTTGTGATCTATTAAATTACAAAATAAATGAGAAGAGTTGAGCCATTCAATTCTGGATCGTTGTTGCCACGTATATAATTTCATGTCGATGTAAAATCTCATTCATATAATGTTTGCTGTCTCGCAATTTTTCCATTTTTTCTTCGGTGGATGCCAACGTAGCAGCAACCCAGAAAATTTCTTCGTGGGCCTCCTTTTCCTTTCTCCATTAACATTTCCAAAGCTGGTTTTACTCCATGACTATGAATAGCCTCCAACGTTTTCAAATGCTACAACCACACCCACCAAAGAGGAAGCATACCAATCTACAATCACGTTTTTTTTTCGTATCTAAATAGCTTTTTCTGACTTTCTTGATTATTGACAGCTTCTGCACTCACATTTTTAACATTATTGAAACGTGATCAGAGGGTAATAAAGACGTGATTCAATTAATGTAACCTAAGGCCGAGTCTCCATTCATCTCGTACTTGCTAAAACCTGTCAACCCTGCATCTAACATTATGATCATTTTGCCATCCGAAACAGTCTATCTCCACAAGCCTCTATTGCTCCTTTGAATCCTTGCATCTGCCATATTGGTGGTAGAGGAGCACCCAACTTCTTACATACATCTAAGATTTCACTATTAACCACTACCAAGGAGGCAAGGATAATTTGACTCATTATGAGTTTAATGGTACGTACATGACATATTTCTATATTAAGTATTTAAATTAAGGAACTAATTTTTGTACAATTTTAGTTCTCTCCTTTATTTCAGACGGGCCAAGGTTACTCTCGAAGTTTTATATTGATGTTCCACCCTTGCATAAATATCACACAGGCCATAAAATGATGCATGATTATAGAACATGCAGTTTAGTTGATATCGACTCTTAAAAACTTGGTATAAAATCAATATTAAAAGTTAGCTTTTGCACAAAACCATCTTTTAGCGAGCTACGTAAATGAAAAATAATTGACCAACTAATGATCATCATCTCCACAAATAATTATTATAGTATATATAAGTCCAAATATCACATATGCAAATAATTGACCAACATAATAAATATTAGTTTAGGATAGAACACTTTCAAGTAAAATACTTGAAAATCGCAGACACGGCAATGGAGGTGATGAAGGGAGCTTTATAGTTTTGGTTTTACTGAGAAACCACATACGCAAACAACTTGTTACTCATGCTCTCCTGATCATCGATATGCTCACATTAACAAATTCAGTTTTCTCCTTCGACATTCGTTCAGTTAGGATTTCTTGATACCTGCCAAAAACCTCTTCAATGATAGCATCTCCAAAGTGACTGATCAGCAATGGTTCCGCTACGGCCCTCATGCACTTTGTTACATTGTAACCTCCAATATCACTGGGTGATTTAGATAAACTACATTCGGAATCAAAAGAATTCCAGTTATCGTAAGCATTCCAAGGTACTGTGGATACCTCCAGGCCGATAATGGTGAATGAACCTTCTTTTAGAACCTCTAATTTCACTTCAGATGGGGATGGTGTGTATTGAGGGATGTTGAAAGTGTCCATTTGCTCTTCTTTTATGGTTCCCTGTAGGACCAGGAATAATATCTTCACATATTCTGTATAAGCAAATTGATCTATATGCTTCAACGAAGAATAATGAATATGTATTATATTTAAGGTAGACTTAAATTGACACGTTTTAAAAGATATTTAATATGTTAAGCCATGTACAAAAAAGTAGCACATATAAATTTTACCGGTATGATTTCCATGACTAAATCGGTTCCTATCATATTTATACTTAATGAATTGACAAAAACATAACACATGTCGATGGATAGTTAAGATTTTTTAAGCAGTTTAATCAGGATATTTCATTACTAATTATGTTTATAAAAAATAATTACTAGAAATAAAGTCCAGTTTGCATTTTACTGATCTGTAAGTCTAAAAGGGATTGGTACATCTTGTCGTTGAGGGAGGGATATTATTCAGGGAAAAATATATTTACACTTGATGAAATGATAGAGATTTTTTAAAATTTCCTTATTATGATGTAGGCAACTAATTGACAGATCAAGAAAACTGATACTTGAATCAAGCTTGACGCCTTAAAAAGACCCTCATATTTTAGCCTTAATTATCAAATAAAGCTAAAAGAAATCTTCTCATTTCTTTAGTAAAATATTCAAGAACGGGATGTTACTTTGTCCAATCCTTTTATTTTTTTCTAGTAAATTTTAAATTAATTATCCAGATTATATAAATCAAATATTTTTTAGTTTTTGAAAATTTAAAACTATTTTATCAGAGCATTGAATTTTGTATAAAGCTATTCATTTTATTTTTTATTCTTTTATATAAAATTAAAATAAATAAAATTTTAATATTGAATTAAAAACCAACAGAAAATTTTTTAGATCTAAGGGACAAAAATGTCTTAATCATATAATCTTGAGAATTAGTTTAGAAATTTACTTAGTTTTTTCCTTCTTTATTTTTTCTTCTCTTTTTAAAAACATTTCAAATATATCATTTTCATAGTGCATACGTTTTCTAAATTATTTCACACAAGGAGATTTTCCTTCAAATTACATAAGCATTTTTCGAATAATAATAAATATTCTTTTGTATAATTAAGTTCAAAAAAGTAATAGAAAAAAGTTTTTAAAATGAAGAAAAACATGTGTTTATATTAATTTTCCACTGTTATAGAACAAGTGGTCAATAATTAGTCAGGTTTAATTAATTTAATAGTGGCGTAACTGATGTATTTTTACTTTCTGTTTAAACATGTACCAATGTGATCAATCCATGCAGTAATGTGCTGCTCGAACCACCCAACCAATTTCTTATGTCCGTATTTGGGAGGAAAAATTAATGTGTGTACCTTTGACACCATGTCATTAAGAGCCATGGCCAAAAGCTCCCATATATAGCAACACTCTTTGCTAGATGGGTCGTCACTTCTTCTTCCCAAAAATGTCAGAACCATACCACCCCCTTCAACAATCTCTTCTGCACGGCACTTCAGAAATAACGAGAAATCACTTTGAAATTGTTCATGATAAGCCTTAAGAACATTGGAGGGGCTTGTCCTGGCCATGTAAATATTGCCCTTGTTGTTCTCCATCTCTTCAGGAACCTAATTAATCGCCAGCAAACAATAATCGTAGTGCATGCACCAATAATAATATTTTCACTGCTATGCAGCAAAGAGAAAAGGTATGTTCTCGGATATTAAAAGTTATTTTTATTTCAACTTTATCACTTTTATTTAATAAAAGGTTTATTAAAACTTTCAGTGTATTTGTTTAACATTTAGAAAATAAATAAAAATTCAGATTTTGATTTGTTATGAACTACTCCAAGTTGCTTTGTTTTAAGGAAAAAACAGCTACAATTATGACTACTTTTGAAAAAAAAAAATACATAATTATTATCAAATAATATTAACTTCTATTTTATAAAAAAATATGAGATTTGATACATTTTTTACACTTTCTAAAAACAAGAATAAACGAAGTCTAAGTTAAATCAAATAATAGAAGAACCGGACTAGGCATCTAGAGCAAGTGGTGGTAGGAATGAGAATATCGTTCTTGGAGCAGGTAGTGTTGCCTATGTTCATAATTTGGCATAATAACAATAATAATTGTTAAATTATAAGCATATATTTAGGAAATTAATGAAGCATTAGACTCTCAATAATATTCTATGAAATCAATATTGCGTAAATATTATAATACAAAAAAAATTATTTATTTTTCCATAATAAATTTAAATTATCATTTTTAATTATAAAATAATATCAATATATATATATATATATTATATAATTTTCACTTAGTCAATAGCTTTTTCTTCTTTGATTAATTAGTTATTTCTTTAAAAAAGTATTTATTCATCAAAAATTAATTTAAAGGAAAATACAAAATTTACAAAAAAGAAAATGTGTCAGGTTGAATCAGATTTAATTGACTTCAAACTTGATATCCAATCGGATTAATTGAGTTTAATATTATTTTATTTGATATGACCCATTAAATTAGCTTAGTTTATTCCTTAATAATTTTTTTAATTTTTCTAAAATTTAAGAAAATAAATTGTTTTTAATTAATAAAAAAATTATACTATTTTTTCTATAAAAATTTACCTAAACTGAAATTTTGTTTCAAAAATTTTAAAGCCTTGATTTCTTGAGAAGTGAAAATTCTGTAATTTTCAAACAATTAAACTCTAAGACGAACATAAAGTTAATGTGGCCTTATTAATTTGTTAGGGTTGAGTTAATTTGATTGTTCTGAACTTTGATGATTCTTTAAAAAAATATTTTCTCCAAAAAGATATGTTTAGAAAGGGGGTATATTTTTTAATTTTAAATTTAAATAATTATATATTATTATCATTTATGATGATAAATGTATGATTATTATATTAAATTCATATTAATATATTACTTTATAATTTTATTTTGAATAAATATTAATTTTAAATATTTATTTAAAATATTCCTCTCCTTTTAATTTTTTTTTCAAACAGTCCTTAAATGAATAGTATAACCACTGTTAAGGAATACAAAAATTTAAATTATATAATCATGATAGTTATCATATACCTTGGATAGCCATTGAAGGCTGTAAGAGGAATGGACAAAATGCAGAGTTTTATTTGGAAAGATCCTGCCATAAAAGGAACCGGGAACCCCAGTGAAAAAGCATGGACCAATCTCGGCTTCCATTTCATTACTTAGTTGCTCCTTGAAACTGCCAAGAGACTTGAAAATGTTGTTGAAATCGTTCCCAGGAAGATCATTCATGAAGATCTGGTATTCGGGAGATTGATGATTCTTTTCTCGGCAAAGTTTGTCTACCAATTTTATTGCTTCAGATATCACAAAGAAAGTGTTTGGTCCCGAAGAACAACCCAAGTCTGCAATTGCTAGGCATCTCGGGAGTTTGCTTAGGTAGATGCTGGTTATGGCTTCCTCTCTCATACCCTTTGTCAAGGAAATCACCTTTTGCTGTATACATAACATTATTCATTCAGGGTTAAGTTCGATGTATAGCATAAAATACAAATTAAGGAATTAATACGTGATGGTGTATAAACTTAATTTTGCGTAGCTTTTTACTATTATTATCAATCTAAACTAAAGTTCTAACCCTTCTAATATGTGTCGTAATAGAGGAAAAACAAAGGACGAGATTTTGCTTGTTATGTATATAGTATACACATTTATACCTGAAGTAAGGAGTTGCTTGAATAGCTTGTTTCTCCGGTGCCTCCATTCATGTGCAGTACTTGTGTCACTTCCATTATTGGTTATTCTCTTTTCTCCGTTTTAGTACTCTTTCTAATAGTTTAATTTCTATCTTTTTATTCTATGCTTCAATCGATCAAAACCCTTATGACATCCCTATATATAGAATTTAAGGATCGATATCGACAAGTTTTGTTCTTGAAGAAGAAATTGAATCTTGCTTTTCATGCATGGGTGGGCTCAGCGTATTTATTATTCAGCTAACTGATATAACAGAAGCCGGGCTATGTCAAAATGAAAATGAATTTAACAAACCCAAGTTAGGTGTGAAATGATTGGAGTTACGTCTCGCTCACACAATTAACTAAAAATAAATATTACGGGACTTTAAAAATTGTTTCAAATTGCTTAATCGATTAAAAATTTTTGGCCTTATCTAATAATTCACAAATAAGTTTTATTTTAATGTACTGTTTACAAACTGTAACAACATTATTAATTAATTACAAGAAATTTTTACGATACCTTGTAAATTAAGAGAATATTTCTTAAATATATAATAATAATTATTAATTTTATATTAATAGATAGTATAGTTAATAATTTAATTTTAAAAAAATATAAATACTTTTAATTTTTAATATATTAAAAAAAGTACAATCATCAATTTAAAGAGAATATTCAACATCCTCCTCGTAAGTCTAAAAATATCATAGCAAGGACTTTAATTAAAATTCATAGAGTATATACATTTTTATATTAATTATTATAAAAATTAATAATTTTTATTAATACAGTGATCTACGATTAAATGACAATATTAAAAAAATTACACTAATGATATATTAAAATTAATTTTTTAATAAAAATATATGAAATATATAATAGATCATTACAAATTTGTAATATATATATATATATATATATATATATATATATAAACAACAGGGATTTATTTATATTTTAAACATTTCGTTTAATGTTTTTATATAAAAAATTAAATAATTTTCTTTACCAATATAAGCAAGAGAATAATATTTATATTTTTATTAATTATTAAATAAAATTTTAAATCAAGAGACTTAATTAAAATAATTGAGAAATTAGAAAAATTAAGTGCCAATAATTAAAATTAAGAGATCCAAATTACATATAAATTAAAGTGTTGGACTAAAAATGTAATTAAGTCAAAAAAATATTATTAAAAATTTGTCAATTGAAAACAATTAAAATAAAAAAATCATATTTTCTTATGCAATTTAGATCAATATTTTTTATTTTCTTGTTAAAAACTAAATCATATCAATCCAATCTAACAAAAGATTGAAAAAATTTAGTTCAATTTTCATGTTATTTTACAAAAAATTAAATTAAATTACAAATTTTTAACAATTAGATCAAATAATTTTTTAACCTCAAAAACTACTGTTATTAAAGAATATTAAATAAAAAAATATCTTTTTAAATAATTTTAAAATGTTTTATTTTTCAATAATTAAAAAAATTAATAAAAATATCATAATGTCATTCTTTTACGGAAACGTATTAGTATCCTTCTTTTTGTTTTTGTTGGGGAGTAAAATAATGGTGATTAAACGTTGAGTACCCTTCTGCAGAAGTTGGTCCCTTTTAAATTAGTGACGAAATCACAAGTTATGTAAGCAATCCAAATGACCAGAGCAACAAATATATAAATGCGTCAACGAACAATTGAAGATTAAAATAACATACCTTTGAATTTTCCTCGAAAATCATTAGAAGCTAATGCAAGGCTTTGGCTAAGCATGATCTGAGATATACTCGGACCCTTTTTTAAAAATAAATTAAATTAAACCTCTAATAACACCCACCAATTAAACTCTTGTTTATTTAAGTTTTTCTTTGAACTGGTTTTATGATACAAATTTAAAGTATTCATATATAAAGTATTCACATTACGATTTATTTGTCCCTATTAGCTTCATAGTGAGAATACGTCAGTATTTAGTAATATTTTAATTTTCGTTTTATCTGTCATTTACGTATAAATTAAGAAAAAATAATCGATTTATTTATTCTTATTGATATTTCTGTAATTTTAAACATGTAGTTTTACTATCTTTTTTATTAAAATTTGATATTTTATGTACCATTATTTTTCTCTTTTTTCATTAAAACTTTTATTTTAAAAATAATAATGTCATCTTCTGTTCTAAAATGACAGATAAATAAAATATTTTTCTTAAAAAATAAATATAATAATTACAAACAAGTTTGTAAACACTCGATATATTGCCAAATTTTATAAATTTTAAATTTTAGCGAGAAAATATTTAATTCAATCAATATAAATAATAAAAAAATTATATTTATGTTGCTCTTTAAAGAAAGTGTCACACGATATATTACTTAAATATTTTTCAGCCTAAAAATTTCAATAATTAATATTACTTAAATAATCATATCAAAGCTCGATAGTCTCACTGTCAAACATTTAACATAGATATTTCTCTCAATTAAAATTTAGACCATGATTTATTACTTCGCGAAGGACTAAAAAAACTTTCCCTTCTTGTAGAGCAAACCTTGTTGATCATCAAAAGTCTAAAATATAAAGAATTTGATTTTATTAAATATATAAGATCTCACATTCAAATAAAAAAGGAAATGCACTACAAAAATTGCCCTCTTAAATAAGTTTATGTGATTTGATCATCATCTAATTCAAATTAGTTAAAATTTAATTTAAATTTTAAACATTGTTCTTGATCTATCTTGTAGGCTTATAAATCAATCTTCAATTAGGTCTCACTGGCTGACGAAGGGGAATGTATTCGTAAAAGTTCTCTAATATTTAAGTGAATATATACTCTTTAATTGCTAAATATTCTTTAAAAAGTTGGACATGATATGAAAATTAGTATTTAGATTCTCTACTTTTAAATGTAGAAAGTTCCATATGATGCAAGCCAAATTACTTAATAATCTCTGATGACTCACCAACTTAACAAATGAGTTAATTGTATAAAATTATATATCGTACGAAATTTTGTTGAATCAAGCTTAATTGTATAAATTTAGGATAAATCTTATTTAAAAAAATAGCACTATAATTACTAAGTCTAACTATGCTGTACTGAAACACAATAGAGAAGTTGACAAATAAGTAATTGTGTAGTTGTCAGTTATAAAATACATGCATGTGGCAACTAAATGTTACTTGTTAATTGATTTATTGTATGTCACCTTACGTTTGCAGTAATTATTATATAATTGTTTGAAGTGTTTTTTATTTATTTATTTATTTCCTTCCTTTTTTGATTACAGTCATGGTTCACGTGTTACTTGTATTATTTAATTTTTTTTTTCTGATTAAACTATTTGTTGGTATTGATATATATATTTAATTAATAGTCTAAATACTTATTCAATTACTTATGGTTCATGTGATAGTGTATTGTTTAATATTTTTATAATTAAACTATTTGTTAATTTCATAAAGGTATTGATATTTGATTTAATTCTAAGTATTAAGTTTTGCAGTTAGATTATTTTTTTAATTTTTTAAAATTATATTTTTTTGGTGAATTATGTGATTTGAAATTTTTTTATATGAATTTTTAAATTATTTTTAATATGTCTTAAATATTATTTAAAATATTATATATATATATATATATATATATATATATTTGAATTCTTATTTTTATGTTTGGTTTAAACATTATTTTCGTAGAAATATTAACGTGTGTGTATGTTTATAACTCATATGAGTAATTAGGAATTACCAAATGTTAATCATGATAACAATTTAAATAATCATTTATTATAATAGAAAATTAGATGAAAGATGACAAGATGAAGAGATAATATAAGCCAAATTCATGTTTAAGGATATTGAGAAGTATAGTATATTTTTATATTATATACAAAATTCTACCTTCATGCCACAATGATTATTATCTGACGACTATTGAAGGCTGAGAATAAGTGTGTTTGAATTTGAATTAGAAACTTGGAAAATATAATTTGAATAAAAATTTAATTTAAAACTTATAGAAACAGAAATTCAAACATGGTGGTACCTCCAAAACTTATTATTGAACACAAATCAATTCCTTGTGTAATATAGAATAAAAAATTCACTATTATGAATAACAGCAAGGAAACGTTGCTGAATTTTGTTGAATAATTAATAGCTTCATAACAGCGAGACAGATTCATAAAAATGTCAGCGGTCAGCATGCTATGCTCATATGGTTTTCACGTCATTAGCAACCGTTTGATTTACGTGAGATTGCACTATCTGTCGACTCTCGTTTTTGTTTTTATTTTTATTTTTATTTTTATTTTTTATGTGGAACATGCTACCACTTGCCCTTTATTAGTTTAAAGAGTCGTTCAGCAGAACACTTCTATTTTTAAAAATATATTTTTGAAGTTTATCGATTATTTTTATTTTTTTATACACTCTTGTTTAAGTCATCTAAATCATTGTAACTTGTATTTGAAAAAACTTTAATAAAAGTATGCGTTACAGGTAAAAGAAAATAACAAAAATATTATGAAAAACACGTTAGAAAACCAAAATCTGCAGAGCAAGTGGATAGTAAATAATTGCATGAATATTTATTTGGCTTACGGCTTAACAAACCTCGTTTTGTCTCTTTTCATAGCTAAAAGTGTTTGGAACACTCTGCAACCAAAATAATATGATAAATAAAATGTGGATCATCCTAAGACTAGGATATATCAAGAATAAAATAGTGAGTTAGAAGAAAGGAATGAGTAGAAGAAAACTTTAATATTTATTATAACATGTTTGAATTAATATTTAAGAAATCTAAAATTTTGATTTGATAAAAAAATTACACTGTTTTAATTTTTTAATGAATTTAATATAATTAAAAAATGATAAATAATTTTTTGGTCACTAAAATAAAAATATTGATTGCTATTGAATTGGTGACTAATTTTGAGATAATTTTTGTGAGTCCTTGAATATATGATGGCTAACTATCATTAATTAACTTTAAAAATTGATTTAAAATCTAATTTTAGAAATTAATTTAGAGATTCATAAACTAATTTTAAATGTTGATTCCATGTTTCTAGATTAGCAACTATTAATTGACATACAATAATCTTATATTAAAAAGGAGTATAAATTCTCTATAATAAACATATATATCATCATTAATGAAAGGAATCGTGTATAAACACACATGATAAACATCAAAGTACATAATGTAGAGTTAAGAACATCTAGCACCTCTTGACTTGTCTTCGAGCCATAAGGTGAAGTCTATAACTAGAGATGACAGCTGGTTAGATTACTTAGCAAAAGCCTATGATTAAGTACACATCAATCTCAAGTCAAATCTACTTAATTTAAAAGATTAAATTTTAAATCATTTAAAAAGTATTCTAGATTTAATAAATCCACTTATTTAAGTAAATAATAATAATAATAATAATAATTTTATTTTACATCTAGAATTAAGTTTATTAATTTTCTTAAAAGTATGTTATTTTCATTTTTAAAAAGTATTGTTACAAAATAAAAATTTGAATAAATCTGCAAATCCAACTGAGCTTATTAAAAGGTTAGGTTAAACATTAATCTTAAAGTCGAGAAGTAAGATAAGTTCAAACCTTATAAAATATAATATAACTTATTTTCATCCTTAATAACATTTAAACAAGTCAAATTTTAGCCTTAAATAAAAATCAAATTAAAATTAGACTTTACAGAATTTAATTTAATTCAACTCCTTTTCCCCCTCACCCTCGACGAATCCTATGATATGGGTATTCAAAGGGCTGTCCAAGATTAAAGGGCCAATTTTATACTGAGAAAAAAAAAGGGCATGAGGTTTTTTTCTTGTTCACCAAAAAGGCCTCAGATTCATCTCATAATGGTTTAAAAGCAAGCTGGCGATTTTCAGCTTTCGGTAAGAGGCCACTTACTAAAGGGGTGGAAGACCACTGTGCCAATGTTCATTATTTTTCATTTGCTTTAGGAAGATGTTTTTTGTGTTTTCTATTTGTACCCACTAAAAGTTATACTAAATATTTGTTTCTAAAACACAGCAAAGGTTTTAAAAAGTTGGTCTTTCTTCAATTCGGTACTTTCATTATGCATGATCCATAGTCATGCAACTCCCTTTCATTTTCATTTCTGGAATTTATCCCAATTATTTTAAAAAATTACTTTCTTTATATATTTTTCGAGCTCCAAGGTGACGTCAACCAGAGATGAAGATATACACAACATGCATTTCATTATTTTTTGGAAGTTTATTTTCAAAAATTCGTTTCTGCGATTACGGAAATTTTTTTTTCCAAAAGTTTTGTTGACACACCACTATTTTGGTGTGGAGGAAGATGACGTTTTTTTTAATTGAGAATGATGAAGAAGAGTTAAGAGAAATAAATGGGTGTTTTCGTTTGAAATATTGAAGGGTGATTAGGTTAAAAAAAACTTAAAAGGTGCAAAAAGTAATGGCCTTTGCTTTATCCCTTCAACCGATTAGCATTACACAAAGATGGATTGGATGATCAGTTTATTTTATTAACAAATTAAGTTTTGCTGCTGTAATAAGCTAGGGAATCGATTTACGTCTCTCAAAAAACCTCAACAATCAAGTGAATATGATGCTTAAAATTAAGGATTATGTTAACTATGTATACGCACTGTTTAAGTAAAAAACTGAGTCCATAGAAAAAGAAGATATTATTTTCAATGTTTATTTAACCAACATGATTTTTTGATATCCATAAAAAAAAGTAAGATAAGAACCGATTTTACTGTTATTCTATCTTACTTTTGCAATCTTTTATCCTATCATATATGTCAAGCAAGATATATTAATCATGTAATAGTAAAGAAAATTTTAATAATGTTTGAAAAATTAGTCTTATATTGATAATTAATCTAATTAGAAAAAAACTATTGTATTGAGGCTGCAAGTTTAGTACCCAGCTCTTCTCCCTGATGCTCATCAAATATAAACTTTAGTCCCAATTGAAGATGAACTAAAATATCTAATAATATTTGAAGAAATCATACATTATATACGAAGATGTTATCCCGTCGCATATATACTTTCCAGGTCTTACTTCAAACCAAATCAAGCATAAGCCATTCACGTCATATTCACAATTTAATTCTATCTCTTAGCATTACCTGCATAATCAAAAGTCATAAGCAAGTTCTATAGTTCAAATACATAACTAAGGTGCAGAATAGGATCGGTTCGGTATTGATTCCTTTCAAAATCCGTATTTTACTGATCCACCGTATCCTTAGAATATATTCCTCGCGACAACGTATGATTCCATTCCAATAGCATGTCATTGCAAATTAGCACAGCCTTTTGCTTTTATTTATTTTTAGTTTTTAAAATCTTAGTATCAATTTTAAACTTTTAAATAAAATTATATCGCTTTTAATTATTTAAAATAAATTTTAAGCGTTAATATTATAAATTAAATTTTCTTTTATTCTTTACCACCATAGAAATTAAAAGCTACAACCGCTGGCAGAGGAAGACGTGAATGGTATGTGTAACAGTAATTAAAGTGAATTTTCATTTTATTTTACCCAGACACTCATCAATTATTGACACATACAAGACATCAATAAGCAACGTAAAAACTGTAGATCGAGACAACAATTCCTCAAACCGAAAAAAGGAAAAATAATAAAGGCAACTGAGATTCTTGTTGTTTAATTTAATTTTGATATAGTATGAACTAAGAAGCAAGAAAGGGGGAGAAAAGGCAGAAATTAACACTGTAACAGCAGTTGGGAGGTTAGTTGGGGACATTAACGCCTAACAGTAAGTAACAATAATCTATGTATCTCTTATTTATACCCAGAAAATCTAAATAAGGGTAGAAGGGACTGTGATTTTGATTTGTAGAGCCCAATTTCCTATATGTTAATTGTATGTTTCAGTTAACGTGACTTGTATTAATTACTAATCCTGAGGGTTGGTTCTGAAGTTTGAACAAAAATGGCCAAGGACTCTTCCCGCAACAACCTCGTTTGTTTGGCAATGAACGCCTCTATCGTGCGCCGGAACTCCTCATTGCTCAGCTTATCTTGCGGATAAAAATTCTCCCGCTCCGTCTCCGATCGCCGAAGTTCCTCTCTCACCGTTTCGTTCCTCTCTTTCAACTTCTCCGAGTCACTCCGGCGATGAACATTTTGTAAAGCAGGGGAATCATCGTCCGTACATGAGTAAGTGTCCCTGATCGCCTCTGTCACCGGTGCAGCGGAATCGGGTTCGTCGGCGGGGAATCGGCGGAACTGGGCGAAGAGGGCGGCGATGATTGCGTTGGAGATGGCGAAGACGAAGAGAGGGCTGCGGAGGTAATGAGCGGAGAGTCGGAGAGCGAACGGGAGGCGCGTGAGGATCCATGATAGGAAGAAGAGAGCGAGACACAGTTCGATAATGCGAAGCGTCTTTGCAATGCCACCGAAGATATTGTATCTTGGCATGGCGGTGCTGCCTTTCTCTGCTTTTACGTTGCTCAAGTCCAATGCGTACATGGCGAACTGAGCAATACACAGAGAGAGAAAGGGAGAGAGAGAGAACTCAACCTTTTATTTTTGCTTCAGCTATTGTTATATACACTCTACTCTGCCACCTCCATCTTTTTTAGAAAAAAAAAAAATCTGCACGATATTGAATTTTTTACCAAATACCCAATCAAAATATAATCTTCACTCAAGTTTCTATGGATACGAGGGAGTTTATATTCTTATTCTACTTTTTTTGAACATTTAATTTATATTTTTATTTCGTTGTATATGTATCGAATAAGTTACTTTATACTAAATTCATCTCTCGTTACTTATCCTGGTCGACAACAACCTCTGTAGATTCTTTAACCACCAAACAAAAAGAGCTCAAATTAAAAAAAAATAAAAAACCTATATTTAATTGAAGTGATAACAGTAACATATTTATTGCTTAGTTAGATGACAAGGAAAATCACAGTTGCAGGAACAAAAGTTCGATTGTATAGAATGTTTGATGTGTGGCTCTTTGGATATATTTATTATTTATTAAATAAATATTTTAATAGACCTCGTTTATAATAAAAAAAAATATTTAAATTTATTACTAAATTATGAATATTAAATATAAATTAACATCGTAAACATCAATTCTTTTAAAATTAGTTGTACGCACACCTATAACAAAACACTTGAATGGTGATAAGTGGGGGTTCTACAGAAATCCACAACAAACACTAATTAATGATAATGATGGTAAGTTGGATGCAGAATCCGCCGCGGTCGAATGTTGACTGGTTCCTAGCATGCATTGTAGTATAAGAAAAGAATCAAAGCTTCTCTATAACTGGCGTACCAAAATTAAATTATCAGACCTGCTGCTATCTACTCTCCAGTATCTTTTATAATGTTATTTTCAATTCAGAAAGTGATCTTGTTCCTGTACATCAAACTTGTATGTTAGATTTTGTGTTGTTGCTGTGGAACATGGATTAATTACAAGTTGTTTTTATTTTTCCAAGTCAAGGAGGAAAAGAGGGAGTGAAAATATGCGTGAAAGAGTGGGGAGATAAGAAGTGGCATTTCACGTGAGCACGTATCAGAGAAAAGTACCATCGCTCGTGCGCACTCTGGTTTGTTTCTTGAAAACGTTACTTCTTCAATCATACACTCGGGAGATAGTGTACCCGTTCAACTTTATACAGTCAACTAACCCATTTGTTCGCGTCATGTGGTAACATTCTGCCCAAACCACGTTTTGTGCTTCTCCTCTATCAAGAAACTCGATTACTAATAGCATCAACAAACCTCCTAATTAAACCCTTTTTTTTTTAACAAATGATCAACACCCTCTTAATTATCCATGGAACAGGTTACAAATACGTATACAATATGTGAAATAGATGGAAAGAAGAGAGGGTACAAAAGGAAAAATGATCAACCACATTACTTGTGATTCTAACTATACTTCTGGTGTCATACACTCTGCTATTTTTAATGTTATAGCTGACATTGAATGCAAATTAATTTCAGCTATAATTCTAGTGCGCAGTAGTTGGGAATAGTAGGTTTTGCTAAACAGGAATCATGCAAACGCGCAAGACGTTATTTCCAAGTTGAACAATACGAGGGCACTAGATTTGCGGTAAAAAGATGGAGCAAAGCATTATTTTACCATGAAAAAAGAAGCCTTAAAACAGAGCTACACTAATATCACTTAGGCTGTTTGAGAGCCTCATTGGTTTGCGTTTGAAATTAATTTTCGCAGAATCAATAAATAATAAAAATCGACGAAATTATTTTAGATAACGTTTTTATTTTTATGAAAAGTAAAATCGATTTTAACAGTTTCACAAGCAGGCTCTTTATATAATCAAGATGTTCAAGCAAAAACAATAAGTCAAATACAAAATTTATGTTAACTTTTACGATTTAGGGTAAATGGATACAGTCTTACTCAAGAATTAAATACAAAATTTATTTTTGGCAAATTCGCAATGCGGCACTGTCGTGTGTGTTGGATGTGTCGACGAGGACGAACCCTATATTGGTGTGCCGACGGTGTTGCATGTGTTGGCTTCCATGGGGAACTAGCAATTGTAAAGGCAAATTCGAATTTTATAATTTTTTTAAGTATTTAGTTAAAAGAACAATCCTAATGAGAATAGGGAAATTTTTTTTTAGTATTCACTCAGTATCTATTTCTTCTTATTTTAAAGTAAGAGGTTTAACATATGCATGGTTATTTTTTAATTTAACAATAAAATAAATCAAAATTATTAAATAAATTGTATCTCGGTAAGCATTTCATAATCTAGCAAAACTGCTTCTGTATTGTGTTTAATGTCTATTTGGCAATCTTTCGTTTCGATAAAAGTTCTTAAATTAAACTGTATCCTGTGATTTTTATATTTTGATTTATGTGTGATTTTAATTTTAATTATTTAATTTATTTTACAAAATATAATAAAAATATGATATATTTTTATTTTATATAAATTGATAAAATTATATATTTTTGATAATTTATATAAATTAGTAAGATATTAATTTTTGTTAATTATTGATTAAATTTTGAAATCAGAAGCTAAATTTAAATAATAAAAATATATACACTAAATATTATCAATTAAAATTAAAAGAACTATAATCACATGTATATTAAAATAGTAAAACTAAAAATATAATTAAACTAAATTATTTTTAAAAGAAAAAACAAGCGAAAATTCCATTTAGTGTAGTAAGTATTATTTTTGAACTTTTATAAAATATGCATTTAAGTTTCATCTTGCCATTATTTTCAAAGAAGTATATCTTTTAAATTATAGATTTGTATAAAATGCTGCAAAATAAATAATAATAGTTAAACTTACATACGACATAACAATTACACACCGAGTAATAAAGCTCACAGACTTAAAAATTTATTATTTAAGTACATAAATTTATGTTAACTCAGAAAACTATGAACTTTCATTATTCAGTGATTTTCATAACTGTAATTTAAAAGAGACGGAACAATTTTTTGAGAGAACGCAGAATTTGGTCCTTTAAAAATGAAATCGATGATTTACACTTAAAGAGAATTATTAATAAAAGTACATATTTAGATTTATTTATTTTTTTAGAAAAAACATTTATTTTATTTTATTCACAAAATTCTTAAAAACAACGTTTTTTTCTCTTAACCAACCATACATTTAAAAAAAAAAAAAATCACCGAATAAACGTTTTATTTAAGGAAAAATCGTAGTCGTTGCTCTTTTGGATTTGTGGACACAGAAAGAAATCGTTCGTTGGACTTTTCTCAACCTATGATCAGAAGCATTTGTTTTCGTAGAACACCTTTCATAAATAAATAGCTGTTGGGTTGGGAATGACTTGTTTTTCTCATGGAATGTTTTTGTGGGAGCACCACCCTCTCATATGGCGGCAGCAACCACAATTTGCTACAATCCCTCTTTTTTTTTCAAGGGGTCAATTTTGCTTAGACAAAGATACTTGAAAAACACTTCCTTTGCTTATAGTTTATCTGCTTCAAGATCATCACTTTCAGGGGGGTTTGGTCCAAGGAAACCTGTTTTGGGAAGAAACTCGTTCTGGGTATCAAAAACCATGGACGAATCCGTTAGAACTTCTGCTTCCAGAGATGGAAACAGTGATGAACACATTCGAGTGCTTGAACAAGAAGCTTTCATCGATGGGTCGGCCCAGTTTCGGCCCAAGTTTTTGTCTGTTGAGATGGAATACACGCTCAATAAACTGGTTGGTATTCTTCCCTCGTCTCTTCCAATCTTTTTTCTGACATTGCAATTCTGAATTTCCACTCATATGCTATTTTCCCCCATTTCACTGCTCCTTAGTGCACACCTAGACTCTACGGCTAAGGGTGTGTTTGGGTAACACCTTAATTAAGTCAATATACTCTTGTTAAAATAAGTTATTTTTTATTTATGGTATAAATTCTTTATGCAATAAGTTATACCGAAGAGCTTATTAAAATAAAATAAGCTGAAAAAATCTTACGATAATCCTAAGCTATTTTCATAAGCTCTCCTTGAGCTCTTTTAAACGCACCCTAATACTACTTATAAAGTAGAAACGGCTTATCAGAAAGTATAACATTACTTAAATGTTAGTAATGCATGACAATCGTGATTCTTATAAAGGAAATTTATTTATTGATTATTTAATCATTGCTTTTAGACTTACAAAAATAAGTTTAAAAAGACTGCTTGCTTATTTGATACTTGGATTTCAATAATCTGTTTGAATTAACCATCTTAAGGAGGGATTGTTGTAAAATTAAGTCAATATTGAAGTGTAACTATACTTTTATAATCTATTGCATTTGGTGCTGTTGTCTACAGAGCAAGTGGATAGTAACGGCCCTCTTTGGTGGTGTCATTTTTTGGAGGCATGACGCAGAAGCCTTATGGTTTGCCGCAGGATCTATTTTGAATGCTTTGCTTTCTGTTTGGCTCAAACATATACTGAACCAGGAACGACCTTCAGATCTGAAATCTGACCCTGGGATGCCGTCTTCACACGCACAATCCATATTCTTCACTGTCTTCTTTGTTATTTTGTCAAGTAATTCCCTTACCAGTTGTTTCTTTTTGAACAAATTACTCAGAGAAATGGTTTACAAATCTTTGTTCAGTATCCATTGTTAAATATGAAAAAAAAATCAAGATAGCACTGAAGTGATAACACATAACTCTACATTAAGTGTTTTCCTTTTTTAGTATAAGCTCCTTGTTCTGGAAGTTCAAAAGGTTCTTGGGATCAAACTTAGGAACTCATATTGGATTTGTGTTTGTAAATTTTATGAAGCATATCTTCAATTTTCTATATTGTTAATCTTTGAAGTGCCTGGTTTGAAATTGCTGGGACAAACTTAATTGCTTTCTCTGTTTTTGAACTTTTGTATTGCTTCATGTAATGAAAATTTTCATCATCATAGTCACCTTTCTAGTGGTTATAATAAAAAAGTGATTACCACAGCATTCATCTGAAAGATTCAAATGCAAGCAAACTTTTTTTATTAAAATTATGTCTTCTTTCTACCTCATCAAGGGGTTGATGTTATTTTTGGATTTCTTTGTTGTTTTTAATTGATAATGTTATAATTGTATAGCTTTACTATATAGATTTGTTTATTTCTATGATGCTGCAGTTGTAGAATGGCTCGGGCTAAATGGATTCACCATTGCCATGGGTGGACTGGCCTTGGCATTTGGTTCTTTTTTTGTAAGTAAACAGTATTTCCATTTTAGGTCATTGGTATAGCTTTGTTCCTGGTTTATAGGTAGTGGTACCTCAAATTTCTCAGTATGCCATATCTTCATTATCATTTGCATTATGTGCATCATTCCATAATTACTGAATAATTTTCCGGACTTACTCATGGCCTTGCGCCATTTGACAACTTATGTGATGTTTATTGTTCTCAAAGTACTCTGATCTCATGCTGGAAAAACAGTTCATAAGAACTATTATTGACTGTTAAAAGCAAAAAAATTTGAAACTGTTCAGAATATGTATATAAACGTGTGCTGTGTCACATTTATACAAAACAGTAAGAGTGATTGGGTCAGACATGAATATCTTGCTCACCTGTTCAATAAGATCAGTAAACTAATTTATCAATTAAAAATATCACTGAATTCTAAATTTGTCTATATGAGCTGTTTATGAGTTAGCATTGTGTCACATACTAGACATTATCCTAGCATCTTGAATTAATCAAAAAAATTTCTCCACTTATGAAATAATGAAAAACTCCATTACTCTAGGCAATTGATGCTGTTCATAGAATTCTCATGTACCTGGCATGGAAATTTATTATATTTATTTAATGTTTTCCAGTCATACCTAAGAGTGTCGCAACAACTTCATACAATGAGCCAAGTGATTGTTGGAGCTGCTATCGGGTCCATTTTCTCAATCTTATGGTATTGGCTATGGAACGGTTTCATGCTAGATGCATTTGTATCTTTTCTGTGGGTTAGAACCGTTGTTGTTTTGGGGTCTGCAGGACTTTGCTTGGGTTTTGTTTTATTTGCAATTCGTTATTGGCTTCAAGACGACTAGAACTTTAAAACGTGTACAACATTGCAATCTGATTTAATGGCTAAGACATCTCCTTTTGTTTCTTTCAAGATTGATGTCTTATGTTGCCTGGTTATCAAATGAAACTTGGTTGGGGCAATGCTGCGTTAAGTAATAAGAATTGAATCCGACATCAGATTAGATGCTGCCCTAGGAAGGTCAGTGCCATTACATTAGGTTATTGACAAACCGAAGATTAAATTAGACTAAAATAGTAAATCTTTTTAAATTGAATTCAATACAAATACTATAAACTCTTAAGGAATTATAAATAGTGGAATGCTCATTCACTTGAAGCATTTCTTGTAACGAAGAGCGAAATGAAACGTACCTTTCGGTTCTATCTTTCAAAACACGCCTAGAATTTTTCTCTATTAATCAGCCACGCCCTTTGTTACAGACTTTGTATATGTTTTTATTTTAAATTTGTATAGATAATTCTATGTAAACTTAATTTAACATAAATTTGTATGGATTTTGTTGAGAAACTGGATCCTACTAAGTTTTAGGGAGGCTTCGCCACTTCAGGGAAAAGGGGAACTTGACATGGATCTTCTATCAAGGAGTGTTGTATCGCTTATTGAGAATTTGAAAGCATTATTTCTCGGTTCGTGAATTTTTTGTTACAGAGGCCCAAAGGACAAATCCATGAATTTTGCTATCGTGATGTAGTTTTGAAAACACAAAAACTAAAAACTAGGCACAATTTTATGTAATTTATATTTTTTACAGCTAACTAGTTACTATAATTAAACAAAATGAACTATAATTAAATCTTATCTTTGGCCCAAATTCATTATGGCACGGGACCTATTGACCTTCATACAGTGCATATTTAACTTAAAACATGTTCAGACCAAATAAAAAAAAAATTACAACGCGTTTCACTTTTATTATTCGGATAAGATTCTCTAATGTTAGTAAAGATCGTGATCAAAATCATGTTATGAGAGATAGAGAGAATTAGAAAAAAGAAAGTGAAGTTAGCAATTAAAGTTTAGTAAAGTTAGGCCAATAAATACACGACACAGAAAAACTTACGAGCTGCTTTTGCTCTGTATAAACAAACAAACAAAAAAAAAGCCATCCTCCACGCCGTATATTGGCGAACCTTCCACCCAAAGGCTTATCAAACTAGGTAGAGAAACTGCTATACAAAACAAGTTATGACTGTCTGCACGTGTGGTTCACTTTCACACACTAATTGAGCAACAGGTGCGGTAGTTCCAATTTCAGTTGCCAATGTGGCTGTGGCGGCGGCGACCGTTTCCACCGGAGGCGGAGAACCCTCTCTCTCTCCTCCATCGGCGCGCGTCGGCGAGCCTCCCAAAGATCTTCCGAATGAGGAAGAGCTTGTGAGATTGACGAGCAATGACATTGGCCGTAGAAGAACTCTGGCCAAGCGTTATTCCGTAGCCGTCTTGGAATGACTCCATGCCCTCCGTCAGAAGCTGCCAGAAGAGTGCTCCTCCCGCTGCTCCTCCTCTTTTCGCCGACAAATATATCTTGTAGTACACTGAATTGAACACCTCATCCCTCTGGTACGTGCTGTAACCTGAATCCTTAAATGATTTCCCAAATTCTCCTACCATTATTGGCTTCCTTATAGCACGTTCCGCGTCTGCGAAGTGAGCGCTCAGCCAGTTGTTCAAAAATGAAACCTGATATTGCTCGCTTGAGCTTGATACCCTGTTTGTTACGTTTTTCAAATATTAATATAATTTTCAATACAATATAGAATAAGATTATAATTTAAATAAAGGCGACAACATTTGGTTGCATGTGGTGAATTTGGAGTTACCATTGATCAGGATAGCAGTGAACTGTGGCAAAATCAATGTTGGCGATTCGGTTATTTGCGATGAAGTCTGTGCCAACATCAAAACCAGGATTGAGTCTCTTTCTTTGTGGTGTTGATTGTCCATAAAACCCTTCTAGCCCAGCCTCTAATAAGTGATTCCTGTCTATGTACTTTACAACAGAAGCCATTTCCCTGATCCAAACCTTTGACGAAAAACAAATAAGTGTGTCAGTCGTGATCAAGAATTGCCTAGTACTGATACAAGTAGGTCACTGTGTGCTAATTAATTTGTCCAGATACATAATCCCAAAACATTTTAAGTCTTCTTCTACCAATAATAGTAGAATTCATACAAGTATTCTTTCACGAATAAATATTTTTTTTTAATTTAATAATTCTAACAATTATTTTTCACTGTTCCCTTTTCTCTATCCCTCTCTTCATTGCTTAGTACCATCGATTACATCTCATGTTTTCTCTCTCTTTCCTACTTCCACCTCACACCCAACAAAGGCATGTCAAACTAAAATTTTTCAAAGTTTTTTCGGTGCAAGACTTACGGGGAGCACCATCTATGAAGGGAGAAAAGCGAGAGTCCAAAGTCAAAAGAAGAAAGGGAAAGGAAAAAGAAAAGATAAGGGGTGGGAAAGGAACAAACAAGTAAAGATATTTGACCTGAATAGTCCTTCCTGAAGGATCCGAGGTGCACCTAGGCTCATTCATTAACTCCCAAGCCATGATTGTTGGATCATCTTTGTAATGGACGCCAGTAAAACTGTTGTATCTGTTAAGAACAGTCTGCGGATGATGTAGATAATCAGAATTTGAAATTTAGTTTCCCAACAAACAAAAATATATTCTTCCTATTCTCATATTATTTTACATTAATAAAATTCTCAGCAGAACAAGTGCAAAAGTAATTATAAATAAGAGAACTTGTGAGATTAAAGGAAGCAAAATTCATTACCAAAGGTTTTAATCGCTGCATATAAAATTCTACCAAACAAGACAAGAGAAATTATACTAACCTTGACATGGTTTATGTAGTAACCCTTAACAACAGGGCTCCTAAAGAAGTCATCGTCTGATGTCAAATACTGCCCGTGACTTCTAGCCCAGTTCACATACTGCTTCTTTCCTCCAAAATTTTCATAGTTGTTCACCAAGCTCAGTATGAGCTTAATCCTGTACTTTCTGGCCTCAGATATTACAAAATCCAACCCCTTCAAGACACAACAAACAGAGAGAAGATCAGAAAAATATGTCCAACAAGCAGATGAAATGTTAAAAGGCAAAAAATTCAAGGTTTTTGGTGTTGGAAGTTCTGAGAGATACCCTGAACATTTGCTCATTATAGAAGCCAGGGGAATATTGTAGGGCACCATAACCACCATCACTGAATGCCCAAGTTCTAGCAACAGTAAGGCCATGACTGGTTGCTTCACGGAAGGCATTTGAAACCTTGTATCTCTGAGATGGGTCAGAAGCTGTGTACATTAACCAGTAGGCATTGAAGCCATTTGCATAGAAAGGGTATCCGTTCAACATGAAGTGAATGCCTCTGGTTCTGACAAAATCATCCGTTGCTTCCACGCTGACATGGAAACACTCCTGAGGGACCAAAATGGCCAAAAGAAATGCTAAAGCAAAATGCTTCATCTGTCGTTCAATCTCTTACACACGCTGACTCACCTAATGTGTATGGATTATGGAGGGGTGTCCTCTTGTTCTTGTTTATATACTTAGTATAGAGATAAGAGAAAAGGCAAAAGTACGGCTCTTTGGCAGTTGCTAGAAGCCCGGAAAAGTGAAAAGGTTCAGCAAAAAGAAAAGAAAATAATTTGAAATTTTTAATCAATCCTATTCTAATAAATATTTCTATTACATTTTTATTCATATTTCATTATTTTTTTAATACTTTATAAAAATAATTATTTAAACATTTTATTTTAAATTTTTCATATAAAAAATTATAACAAAATTTTTAATAAAAATATTTTTAAATATTAATATATTTTATAATTATAATTTTTACCTAAAAAAAAATTTTAATTGTAAAATTATTTTAATGAAATTATAATAATTTAATATCAAATTTTAATATTATACATAAAAATATTTTTAATTTGTAATATGTATATACATATTAAAAATTATATTAATTAAATAAAAAACTAATATTATCATTTAAATATGAATTTTATTTTATTATTTTTTGTTTATCTTAAACATTATATATATATATATATATATATATATATATATAATATTATCTATTTTATTATTTTAATGTGCATCACATATATAATAGAATAAAAATTTATTATTCTCTTATCATATATTATGTTTATGCATCCTTTGACTTTTTTTTTCTTGTTATATTTATCAAACAAGTGAGTAAGATAATATAATTACTACAAATGTAAGTATAGTTGATTAACATTTTGTTTAATAACTTTTATTAAATGAAAATATATTCCTTAATTTAGTTATGTATGCCATTAAAAAAATTGTTTTGATTTAATAATTTTTAATATAATTTATTGAAATAAAATTAAAAATTGTAAATCAATTTTATATGTTTAAATGAGTTTCATAAAAGGTTTTTTCAATGTTACTTTGATGAGTGAAGGGGGAAAAAAGCAGGATAGAGAAAAGTCAAAGCAAGCAGTAGTCTTATAACTACCGACACAGGATTGGTTTATTGTGAAAAACAGGTAAACCAACTGCTACACTTTGTAACGAGCCATTATGGAAGGGAACAGTGATACCAACTTTTGCAATGGAAAATGACAAAACGAAACGGGAAAAAGGTTTCTTTTTAACTTTTTTAATGTATTTTTATTTATCTATTCATGTAAAATTTGAAATAATATTTATCAAAAAATGACTATAAAATTAAAACAAATTGATATTTATCAAACTGAATCAATTTATCATCATTCCGGTTCTCCGATCATCATGAAAAATATAGTTAGTCATGCATCCATCCAATAATAATAGTTGGTGCCGTGTAAATGACACCTAAGCTTGGGAAATTAATTGGTTCTTTGTTGGTCCATGTGCAATTAATTGGTCGAACTGCACCGACAGTAACCCTATGTGCTCAATGAATCAAAAAGATATGGAATACATGCATGCTTCAACAGACATTAGATTCCAAACATCAAGAGCCACTCAGAAACGCTTGTCTCCAAGTTGAAAAAAATATAAAAGGGAAAGCAATGGTTGAAGCTTTCTACCCAAGTTTATGATACACATCAGAATTGGAAGTAAGAACAAAAAAGTTTAGAAGGAAATTTCCACTCTTCATGTGAATAATTTTGGGCTCTTGGTTATGTTTTGCAATCTCTGTGTAGCATCTGATCCACCACGCGGCATGGTATGGTTAGTTAGACTTGGACCCATATCTTGCAGCGTCCTTCTCGGGAGGTCCACCCCTCCTTGTAGTATATAATGCAACCTTTGCTTTCTGTGTCCTGTCCCAACCATTTATGTTGCCATACTACGAATTAGACCTCGGAGTCGGTGGAAGATGGGATCATTAATGTCTGAGATTCAGTTTATCAAATGCCAACATTTGGGTGTAGGAATTTGGTTTTCATAGAATGAGAAAAAGTTCATATAAAGAATAGAAGGGTGGCACAAATTTAAATTTTTATTCACTGTAAATCAATGATGCTTTATTTTCTTTTTCTTTTTCATTTCATTCATTTAAATAAAACACAAGGTAAATGGAATCATTACTGGTACTTGTTTATTACAGGTATGTTGGTGTGGGAACAAAATTCGATACCTACTACTGCAAGAAGGTGCATTGATTGCAGGAGAATGTTAATAGATAGTAGTCTTCTTTAAAACATTAATTATAATTTGAAATTGATTGATTAATTAATTAACATTTAACAAAGCATCTTATCATGGTGTAATCACGGTAATGGATGGTGAGAGAGAAGTGATGTATAAGGAAAGTGTGGGTCAAACAGAGGCACGAGTGAGTGTGTTTGGGAGGGATATCTCCACGATTGGCGCAATAAATCAGCAAATCTAAAACACACTTCACGACACCGTCTCGTGCCTTTGTCTGCCTTCCTCGTGAAAGACACGATTACACGAATACCCTTTTTAACCAAATAAATTAAAACTTAAAATGTGAATTTGCAAAAACGAAAATATTCCAAACAAGACTTAGAGCCCACAAAATGAGTTACAATTTGTGAGTGAGCACGACTCGTTATTGAGTTAGGTTGTAAAAATTTAGAGTTCTAACTTTTCTGAGTTTTTATAGCTCTACTTATTCAACTTGTAAGATGAGTTAGTCAACTATTATAATAATAAAAAATTTGTTTCTGAAAAATTTACTCAATTAAATTAAGTTAAGACAATGGTAGAAAAATTAAAACTTTTAAAATTAATTAGTTGTATAAACTACTACAAAGTATTAATAAGCAATGGTAGAAAATAAAACTATCATTTTAAAAAAAAATTATAATTTTCATTTTTTATTTAGTGAGTCAACCTAATTGGATTAGTTAACTTTAAGCTCAACTCACTTTAATAATAATAATAATAATTGTTTTCTTTTAACTTTAAGGAATTGAAAGTAAGACAACATCGTATTTGAGTGACTTTCCTTATTTTGAAATGAAACATTATTTTAACTAAAATTTTATCTGTTAAAAAAATCTTATTATTCGCTTTACAATAAATTATTTTGAAAATTTATAGATGTGCTGTCTTCATAAGTACATATATATTATATTTAACTTATTTACATTTATTTAATATTTTAACACGTATAATTTTGATATTCTTAGTTTTAATCATTCATATTTAGTGTATTTAATCTTTTAAATGCTCAAATTATGTCATTTATCATAAAATTAAGACTTTTATTGTATTTTATATTTTTATTTAAATATTATATATATTTTCTTCATTTATTTGTATAAATTAATAAAACATCATACGTCTATTATATTTTTATAATTATTAGATAAAATTTTAAGCTAAAGAACTTAATTTAAACATTTAAAAAATTAGAGAGGATAAATATTAATAATTAAAGCTAAAAAACTAAAATCACACATACATTAAATATTGAGACAAAAACTGCAATTAAGCAATATATTTTTGTTATAAAAAGGCTATATAATTATTTAACACTTATGGTTATATTTTTAAAAGTTTTATTTGGAAAATCATAAATTGGAAAACAATATTCAAAATGATATTCGTACAGAAATATAAGTTAGAAAACAAAACTGTATTAAAAGTGAAATTAATCAGTTAGTTTGAATTTTCATCAAGGTTCCTATGATTTGAACTTTCCAACTCTCTCAAACAACAATCTGAGGAAGCTCTAAAGGCTACCAGCCGTTTAAACTACAGTAAGTTTCTGTGGTTGACATGCGTACAATAGACAACAAAGGCTTCTTTTTCCTTAAACTATTACGATTGCATTTAATGTTTTTGTCAATCTTAAATAAATTGGCATCACCATGAAACCCACGACTAATCCATTTTGATCAATGCCTTAATTGCTGTTCCCATTCATAACCCTTGCACAGCTGACCGAAAACGACATTATCTGACTCACCTTGGCCCCCTACGCCTTCAAATTAACTTTTTTTTCAGTCTTTTTTTTGTGGTAGAATCTTTGTTTCCGATTGGTGGAAGGAAAATGAGAAGATAGAAAAAAAAATCAATTTTAAATTGTCAAATATTAGAAATATCCTTAAATTGATTTTAATAATAAATTTCATAATAAAACGTAAGCAAGTGTAAAGACAGTCCAACTTCCGTGCAATAAAAACTGAGCTTCAATGATTCCACACACCGAAAGACAAAAAAATATCCTCAAACAGTGCCCCTTCCTGGCTCCTTTTAGGCTGCTACCGAATTCCTAAGGAAACACAAACCTTGAACGGTTGAACCCATACAACACACGACTCCCATCATTTACGCCACAGAAGCCCTTAGCCTATGCAAAACACCAAACCTTCAAACCTTAGTATCAGTCAAGTCTTTATTCTATTTCGAAAGCCCAAATCATTGTACGCGACTATACGCAGACATGGGCTTTTGTGAGACTACTGCAACCGAACTGCTTCCACAAAAATTGTCTTCAGCTAAACATGCCACAACAAGATAACCGAGGCTTAAGAAGTCCCTGGGTCTTATAGATAACGTCTAAAATAGTATATGCCTGCTTAAAATTGTTTAAAACTGTGATGTATTAAAAGTTGGATAAAAATATAATTACTCGATAGTAATTCAACAGTTAATTTATCGATGGTTTATCCTATTCAAACTTTGTCTACCTCTGGTTATGGAAAACAGCAAAGATTGAAGGCATTCACATACCAAACTTCAGTTTAATACCTAAGACGTTCAATTACATGGATTATGGAGGTGACATTCTAATTTTGATTAGAAAATAACAACGGCACTTGAATATTGCATTTGAATTTTGTCCATTCAACAAAAATTATATAACTAAAAACCAAAATTTATAACTTACCTACTGCAATAAGATGAATAAGCATTCTTTTTCCAGTGCAAGGTTCTGGAAAATCCAAATACTAGAATTGACTAAAACAGGAAAACCAATAGTTGATAGGGTTATTATTATCAACAATGTTTTATCTGAAACCCTAAAATAATGCATCTGTGACATATTTCGACCTGTGGTGTCAACGAATTACTATAATAAGTATTTTACTAATACACTAATTCAATAATAAGTATTTTACTAATACACTAATTCACCAATAAAAAAACCAACCCAGACAGCTCAAATAAGCCAGAATTCCACATTCTTCATTGCTCAACCAGATTACCCTTATCAGATGTCAATTCAATTCTATCTTGCTGCATGAGAATGGTGAGAGGAACGGGCTTGGACAATTTATTATAAATGCACAATGTGCTAGAGGTATGAGATGGCCAAACATATACTCCCGGCCTCAGAATTTCCATGTGAAACAGCTGGTAGCACAAATGCATAAGCTATGGAATATTTTATCAATACGAATCAAAACACTTCACTGAGCTACATACCAAGATTTCCAGCGGAAAGCACATGTTCATTATATATCTAATTTATGCACATACTCTGGAAAATTACACCTGATCAAGAGATAAGTTGACTAAACAGTGACGTGTAAACCTTTATTGTGCTGTCCTACGATAATACGCCACTGCAGTTAGTGGTGATGTACTAAATTACTTGGTTGTATCATCATGTTCTGGAACTAGACCATGATTGACAGAGGATGATCCTTTACCCATTGGGAGATAAGACCATGCTATTGCTGCAGTACCAAGAGCAATCACAGTTGTGATGGAGCCCCAAATCCATTTTTGCCTCCTGCTCCTTCTTTGCCTCTCACGCCGTGCCATCTCTAAACAAGACAGTAAAAAACATAAATAGATTAACAAGTTGATCAGGCTAAATATACTGGGCCATATTGACAAGGACGCATTTCACTGATGTATATAAATAAGACACTATGTTTCCATATCCTTGTACAAATAGAAGATAATCTAGTCAGTGGAGAAGTCACGGGAACACTTTCATCAGGAAAATTCTACCATCTTGGACAATGGACTCACTAAAACAAAAGGGGTTTCAGACAATGCAGACTTTTCTAATTAGTAACAGCTGTGGTTTTTTCCTCCTTTGTGCAACAAAGACCAATAAAAAATAATACCTCCCAAAAGACATCACATCAAGGAAAAAATAACTTTTAAACTAATAACAACCATCACACCTAAGAATGTGTTATTCCATCCAATATTCCTTTTTCTATTAGAAGCTTCTACGCACCTAATATGGAGAAGGCAATTGAGAAAACCAAGTACAAGTTAAAGCTTCAAACGAACATCAAAAGCATGGATATACAAATTTGAACAGTCAGCTAAACAACCACACCGCAGTCACAGTCAATGACCAGATCATACAAGATGCTCACTCAACATATATACACGTCCATCCACCTCTGTCTAAAATCATAGATAATTGTGCCAATCTAAATGCACAGCAGCATGATTGTGCAATGACAAAAATAATTTGACAAATCAAATTACCATGGCTAAATGGATATATATAATCTAATCAAAGGTAAAGAATTCCTTTGTTTAATAGATCAAACAATTCCAGACCAATTATATGACAAAGTCTCACCTACTGCTTCCTGGTTCCTCTGAGACATCTCCCTATTCATGGTCTCATAGCAGTGGAGACGTTCCAAGAGTCTAGCAATCTCAAAGTTCTTGGCCTCCAGTTGAGCTTCCATCTCTGTCTCTACCTCTGCCCTGGCAGTTCCTCTTCCAATGGTATTTGATATGAACCTAGCAACATAAACTTGCTGACATAGATCTTCCACAGGATCAAATTTCAGCTGCTCAACCTCAGCAACAGCAGTAAGATCGGCAGGCAAGATAATTCCTGCAGTATACAACCCTTGCCTAATACTTTCCCATTGGCTTCTCACATTGTTAAGGGATTCTTCAGCTTGCTTCCGTTTTTCTATCTCCATCAATAGGCTTAACCTCATTTCACGCAGTTCAGCTTCAACATCATATGTAGAATTTTGAGTCACACCTTCTGAAGATAATTCTGCAAGAAAAGAAAAGCTAAGTAAGCTAATCTAAAACGTGAAATATGTCTAAGAGACCTCATAAAAAAAGTAATATTCCTCACTTCATCCCATATATGATCAGTCATGATTATGCAACAAAAAATCAGGTTTTCGCTAAAATCAATAAAGTCCCATAATTAATTATGTGAATACATGTTCTGTTGTAACAGAAAGAATTAGAAGTAAAGTTAACCCAGTTTACCTTCCCATGCATCATAAAACTCCCCACCAGGACTACTGAATTTCACAGACAGTTCTGTCCCTGCATTGTCTTCACCATCTGTGTTACTTGTGAAACTCATTGAATCTTGAGGATCAAAAAAGTCTTCAGCCTCTCTATCTCTGTTCAAATTCAATGCCAGGGGCTTTTCCCTGAGTAAAGCATCGGCTAAGCTACTAATTCCAGTTTCTCTGCGTCCATTTTCATGGTCAGCATCAATGCTGCTATTAAGTTCGCCATCACAGACACCATTCACCTGCTCCTCTTTAACAAGTTCAGGGTTTGTAAAAGTGACATGGAGATCACCAGCTGAACTAGCGACAACAGTATCTAAGCACTTATCATTAACAATTTCACCACCACGAATATTCACTTCAGCCAGTACACTGGCCTCTGAAGAACTCTTGAGCAGGCGAGGGCCACGACGTTTGTGGTTGATGATGTATGGTGAAGGAGGGAATGAAGAAGGTGAATCTGGAAGCGGCGTCACTTCAGGAGTGGCATAAAGTGCTGGTTTTAATCGCGGACGAGGAACCTTATTTTTCTTGGCCGGTGCACTAGTACTCCTCTCCAGATTCTGTGAGTTTTGAACATGCATTGGAGTTGGAGCAGATTTATCAACTGGCACGGAAGCTCCAGGCTCTAACAACCTATCCAATGCTATGGCAGTAAAGGTCGGCATTGCTGTAGAAACCATAAGGAGGTAAAAACATGAATACTTTATACTTAATAACGTTTCCCACTCAAGCATACTTTTTAGCATTCTATCCACATCCCAAATGCAATAACTACCATTACTTCATGATTGAATCATTGTATCTAATCTAAATCGACCAAATTAATATTTGCTTTGTTATTCTGGGGAACAAGGAGACAACAAAGAGAAGCAAACGAAGAATGTTGCCCTTAAACCACGACCATGGCAGTAGAAATTCAAATTCAAGAGAGAAAAAATGGAAAATTTCTCAGATAATCCAATTTGATGCAGGTCGGAAAAATACAACTTTTATTACTATTATCCCTCTCTTGTTAGAGAGAGATTTCCAAAAACAAAATTTCTTGTAATCTTCCTCCTTCGTTAAAAAAATACCATATATCGTAACAATATTTACATATCGGTTTTCCTAGAAAACTCGGGAAATATTCATGAAACAGAAACCTAAACTAGTCCCAGAATTAGAATTCAAAATAATCACTATGTTCCCCCGCTCTCTGATAAGGCAAACAAAAACTAGACTAGGAAAAAAAATGTACCAAACAATCAATAGAAAGAAAAAAAAAAGAAGAGGAAATTACCTGGCAGAAGGAAGAAGAAACTGAGAAGTGAAAGAGAAAAGGAAGGAGAAGGCTAAGCGAGAAAGAGAGTGAAGAAGGAAACAGAGGTAGCGGCCTGAAACAGAGGCGTATGAGGCTGCATATTTTGCAAATGTTTCTTAACGTTAACGTCGGCGAGTGTTGTGTTCGGTTTTGAGTGATATATATTTAAAACAGTTAACACCCAACCTAACCTCTTCTCCAAGGAATCAAATCGGCAATTTCTTCGTGTTGTGTGTGTTTTTCTTATTAATTAATATTTATTTGAAGGGTTATTGCAATGACCGCCCTCCCTGTTTGAGTTTTGAGTTGTCGAAATTTCTCTCTCTTTCTGGAATTTGACGCAACTTTTCCTCCGCATTTGTTTGGGTTATTCTGTATCGCTCTTTCTCTCTATTCTTAGCTGATTTTAACTTTTATGGGTTCCTTCTTCTGTGGACCCTCCCTGGCCCAGACCCAGACCCAGACCCAGGCCCAGCCCATTCAAGTTCACCAAGTCTAATATGTCCGAAGTCGTTTTCTATTCTTTTAGAATTTGAATTTTTGAATGTTAGCGGCCATTAAATAAGACACGTAAAACGTTGCTTTTCAATTCTCAGCATAACCGCGAAAATTGTTCAGAAAACATGTCATAGTCATCTCGTTCTTTCTTTCTTTTTCTTTAATTTTACAGTTTCTTAATTGTGTTTAAATCTTTACAATCTTTACTAACTGAATCGGGAAAAATAATATGGAGTAATTTTTTATTTGAAATTTTTTATACTCTATTTGTTTATTATAAAATTTTTATAACTTTAATATATAAACATGTTTTTTCACAAAAAAAATTCTATTTATAAATACTTAAATTTAATAATAATTGACGGCCTTAAAATAAATATTGATTGGAGTGAAGTTATTGAAACGCATTATATATGCGTATATAGTATCTAGGACGGGTGTCCAAACATGACATACAGAATGGTGGCAAGTGTCAGATAGGGAATAACAAGAGTGCATGAGAATCTTCTAAAAAGTAATATTAGGGACTGTATATTTCCTTGGTGGTGGTGGGAATAATAGGTACAGTCACCATCTTTACAAGTTCTGTGCCACAAAACAAAATCAATAATCTGCACACTGTTTTGTAAACAAGTCCAAATGGTCGAATCAGACAACTAATAAATAATGTCATTATTATTTAGCCGCTTTAAGAATAATATTGAAGTTTCAAATTTTCTCCATATCCAATAAAAAGGTTAAAACAATAGATGCAGACCATTGCCTCAAAACCACACATAAATGCACTTTCTAGAAAGATTTACACCATCGTACTCATTGACCCAAAAGAAAAAACACCAATGCTTTTAATGCACCAATAGCCATTACAAAGTGAACGAGGTAAATTTTAAGTGAAAGTTTGACTTTATTAAACAATGTGAAGCATGAATTCGACTCATTTATGACTTGAATATTTATTTTTGTTTATCAAATTTGTCTTTTAAAAAGATTCATGTTTATTGGTTTAGTATTTAATGGACATCTTTATATTAGAGAGTAAAATAAAATAATATTTAAATATAATTTTATATTCATAAAGATGATTTAAGATTTTTTTTAAGTTATGGTCATTCGTTTAAAAAAATAACTTCTAAAAATTCAAAACAAAAAAAAAAGGTATATACAAGTTAACAAATAACAAAGCATAATTTTTTGAGTAAATATAATAAATTAAATGAAAGAGAAAGAGAAATATTTTTGTAAGAAACATTTGCTTGACGCAAGGTGTTATACCTTGGGGTGACAGAAAGAGGAAAAAATAATAAAGTGATAAATAATAGGATGAGTGATATATATATATATATATATATATGAAATAACAGAGAAATAAGGTGAATGCAAAAATTGAAATATGAAAAAGTCACGTTTGTGAATTTATTATGAAATCACGACCAATAAAAGCTTGATAGTGGTCAAATTCCTCGCTTGATTGTACGATGGCATTGGTCAAGAATAGTGGCCTCTGCACGCAGAATTTCTCATTGCATTAGTTGCAGAGACACATTTTTCTCGGGCTACCACATTCACATCCAATTTCATATCGGTAAAGATGGTTTCACACTCCTAATGGTGTATATACACAGGGGGAGAAGGAAGAAATGGAAGAAAGAGAGAGCGGTACATGATGATGGTGAATAAGGAAAAAGAGTTATATACTGAGAAAAGTATAAAATAGATGAAAATTTTGGTTGTGAAAATATCAAAATTGATTTCATATTTGGCATGAATTTCACATATATAATTGTAGGTGTCTCTCTCTCATCTATACAAAATTTTTCCCAATCATACCAACTAATACCGTATGGATAACGGTGTTCGATGAAATTTTACGTTTCATATTACTCTGAAACCTGAATTTAAAGAGTTTAAAGAATCATCTGTAATTAAATGAAAGGAATCATTTCACAACAAATGAGGCTAGCAGTATATTGTACAGTCTCTTTTTAATTATGTAAGTGTCTAAGAATTTAACTAATAACGTTAGAACATAAATTTATATCATCAAAGCCAATTGGAAGCAATAGGTAAATGAACATGTATGTCTGGATTTGATTCATATTAATGATCCATTAGAAAATCACTTATATCATTCTCTACATCTTCTGAAGGTGATTTGATATGAGAATCAAACTTTGATTCATAGAGAATACAGTACTAGCATTTAAGTAGGAAACCTTAGCAAGCTATCATTTATAATAGATTACAGGTTTATTGGAATTCAAATCCCACATGCCTCCTTCCTTCACATACTCAAGATACCTTGCAAATTCAGGCTTAGCTGTTGTTTTCTTCTTCCGGCGAAGATCAAAGAAGCTGAAGAGTGGATGACTCTTCTCCTTAGAATTACTATTGGCCTTTTTGGTGGGGTTTCTCTGTAGATTGATGTCTCCAAATGTTGAATCAATATCCATTTTTGTCGGTGAACTAGATGCCCGAGAGGGTAAACTTGTGCTCCTCTTCAACTCTTCATTCCAAGTTTCAATATTGACACCATTTTCTTTATCTAATTTCTCATACTTGGTAGGGCCTCTCTGAGTGCTCGTGGATCTAAACATGTTGGATCTTGTTGTGTGATAGACAATATTTTTTTGATTGATGGATTAGGAATTGAATGTATAGATGAAAGAAAAATGGTGGGTGAGAATTGTGAATGAGAAATAACTTGTAGCACTAAGCATGATAGAGGGCTTTAAATATTCATGGACTACGTCAGTTTTTTGGTAGCTATTTCTTCATTTATGTTTTATAATGTATTGTTTTGCTCTCTTGTTTCAATGTTAATTTGAATGCATCAACAAAGTCAGTGATGCAATTTTATTTGACTATTTATGCCGTCCCAATAAATTCCACCTACAATAAAATGAAAGTCATGAACTACATAGGACCAAAATAAATTAAAAAGAAAATTGTGAATATGACAGCTTAGTTTTTCTTGGTACGCCAAACTTGATTTCATTAGTCAAAGTACCCCCTAATTGCATGTCTGATTAAATATTTATTGCTTGTGCATGAAACGTTGGAACAATCAAACGAATTGCAAGGAAAGTAGACAAACACAGTATGACTGAAATTAAAATAAGAGAAATATTCATTAAGGAAACGAAAGTTACAAAACGTTTTCATCGAAAACATCCTCAGCTTTATAGAGGACATCCTTGTGTAAATTCTAAACAGTTATTACCAGTTTACGTTAAACACAGTTTCATTTTGCAATTGTATTCTCAGACCATAAAAAAGATTACGAGGAGCGCTTCAGACTTGAATGAATGAAAAATAGATAGAATTTAAGCACAATCTCCCTATCACTTTGAATACGGGTGCCCATTCTTGACTGTAATGTAAGGTTTTTTATCTGTTACACATTAGCGACTTTGTTGGGTCAAACACTAGAAAAAAATTATTAAAAGGAATGGTTGAAAAATGATTCCTGGACATTTTTCCCTCAGGTGACTTCTATATTTTTCAAATATTTTATTAATCTCAGTGTTTAGAATTAAATTTAAACATTTATAAATAAAAAATTTGTATGAAAAAATACACAATTATTGTATTAAAGTTATAAAATTATAATAAATACTTATTTTTTTAATTAAATTTAATTATTAATAGCTGCTTATACTCAACCTTAAAAGCTAAGGTTAACAAAATCTATTTTTCAATATGTTGCTTGCTGCTATATTTATTTTTGCACTTGACATTAATATTTACATTTTTAATAAATGTACATGGGTCAAATGCATTTCCAAAGCCAAAATAAATATATAAATGGAAGAAAATATTGGGAGGGGTTATTTTGGTAATTGAAATTGATGTTGATTGTTATATACTAACGGTAACTGTTTTTTTAAAAAATAGTTGTGTATACTTTTTTTAATTATTTATGTATTGAAATTCAATTTAATCTTGTATTTATGTGTATTCCTGGTTAATTTTAGAAAGAGAAAACTAACCTTAATTCATTTAATAAAAAAATATAATATAAAAATACGTCATGCTTAATTTTAACAAAAATATATATAGATTTTTTATTAAAAAATATGGGAATATATAAATTTTTATGATATCAACTTTTGTACGTATTACCATCTCAATATCTCACTGGAGCAAGCACAATACACCACGTTCAGCCCACAACCAATAGTTATGTTGTTCACTTTTTCTCACCAAACTTGATTAAAAAAGAATAAAAAATAGAAACACCTCACTTTTTTAGTTACTTGTAAGAAAATCGTTTATGCAATGTAATAATAGTACCCTCAAGGTTAAGTTATCCATTATTTGGCAATACGTAAGGGAGATTGATATATAAATTTATGCAATATAATAATCGTACCCGATAACTAATAATAAGCATTTAACATATTATGTTAACTTATCCTATCATATCTAATAAAGCGGTGTTTTATAAGTGTGACTTTGATTAAAACACAACGTGTAACAATAATTATACGTGTTATATTTTCAGTAATGAATTGTTATACTTATGTTACAATTATTGAATGCCCATCTCCAGTGGTTTCAAGAAACTGAAGGAAATGAAATTACAATTTTTTTTTTAAAAAAAATACTAATCCAACTATTCAAAATTATTTCTCGATCTAAAACGATGACACACATAAACGTTATATGTAGTCAATTCCCAGGTTGACTTAACTACAAGCTATTTTAAACTCGATAAGCAAAAACAGACCAAAGAGTCATGCGCCATGATAGAAGTCTCCAGTGGCTTATCTAATGAACGAGTAGAATAAATTATATACGCATGTATTGAGTATCCGTAAATATTTATGATAGATACAATATGTAAAAATTTCTTAGTAAATTTGAGTTGAATACAGGTAAATATTTATAAAATTTGATGAATATAAAGAATATTATAATATTTATATCTTTACTGTAATGCATTTATATACTTAAAACTAAAATTTTAGATAAATTCTTTTCTTGTAACTTCTGACATTTATTATTATAGTTTGGCATCTTATTTTCTTTTATTTTAAATGAATTATTGTCTATATATATAACTTATTTGATATATTTAAATAATATTTATATTTTATTAGTTCATAAAGAAGAGTATAGGTTATCCAATAAATAGATATAGAGATCAAAATTATTATTCATGCGAGTAAATGGTCTGCAGGCACGGGGGTAAATGAGATGGTCTATTTGTAAATAAGACTCATTATTTGCTCAATCAAGCTTATTTATTTAGTTAAATAAAATTTGCATATACATATACTTTTAAAATTCAAATTTGAGTTTATAAACTTCTGTAGGTTACAACATTTCCGTTGTCGTCCAGCGGTTAGGATATCTGGCTTTCACCCAGGAGACCCGGGTTCGATTCCCGGCAACGGAAAAGTTTTGTTTATAAAAAGTAATTGACTTTTAGAAGTTCAACCACTAAATCATGCATTATAATTTATTTTTTCTTGCAATAAAACAATGAATCATAATGCTATTTTACAAAGACGCAATCTCCTATGCTGAAAGAAGATAAACATTTTCAGAGGGGGGCCATTACACTTGGTATAGTATTTTACTATTTTAAGTTTTGTTGGCAAACAATCACGGAATACAACATAATTCATGAAATATCATTATCCAGGGCCGTAAACGGAACCGTGGTAACTAAGATACAAGACTACAGAGGTTTATGACGAAGGAAAAATATCACGATCCACGAAAATAGGTTCAACCAGCGTATATGAATTGATAATCTTTATTTTAAAATACATGTCCAACTACAGTGCCATAAAACTGTAGATGTATCCCTGGATGACTGAAGCATTATCAAATTGTTTCACTGTAGTCATTATCTACTAACAAAAAGTAAGGTTTCTAATTGAGTACAGAGATAAGTAAAGCCATACGCCAAGACGTGCAGCATGTTAATATTTGAGATAACAGTATGAGCTCCCAAACTTATTGGAAACAAAAGCATCCACTCTCCAGAAAATTGCCCATAAAAGATGCTAAAAAAAAAAAGGAAAAATGAAAAAACAAAAATTAAGAGGCCTTTGGAACTTTGTCTAGCAAAACATTATCCGGAACGTTAAGTTCTGGAGATGCTTCTCGAACAACACCCAGCACTGAATCATATTCCCCGTCCCGACGAGCAAATTTCTTGTTAAGAACTTTTACAAATTCAGTCTCATCAAGTTTTTTCGCATTTTCAACAGCATGAGCCTGAGCCAAACTGGAGTAATTTAAGGCAGATTGTGAGAAGAAGGTCATTTCATCTTCAGTGAGCTTCCTCAAGAACCTTGCCGGATTACCTCCCCAAGCCTGCAATTAAAAGCAGTCACTCAGTTTACATGATAATCCCCATGCCTGATGTAAATAAGGCAAAAGACCTCTTGAACTATTCATTTTAATATAGGTTGATTGTTATGTCAATTTCCAATGGTAACTGCAATAACTCATAAGATCCAAACTTCCATTTAATTTCAATTTTCAAGAGAGCTAGCAGCATGAAGCACATTCTCATTCTCTCTGAAAGAGAATAAAGGTTTCATACGAACCTCTCCATAGGGGATTCTTGTATTTTGCCTGACAAGAGCTCCAGCAGCAACCATGGCATGCTTCTCAACATATACACCATCAAGCAATGTTGCACCCATGCCAATAAATGCCTCATCCTCAACAGTACATCCTTGCAACACAGCACTATGACCTAGAATCACAGTGTCAAAACCTTAGATAAAGTTCACACAATACTATTCTAAAGTCATTCACAAAACAATCATACATCACTTTCACTCACCTACAGTGACATTATCTCCAATGATAGTCGGTAACACCTTTCCAGTCAAATTCGACTTAGCAACATGAACAAGAGAATTGTCTTGTATATTAGTTCCAGATCCAATAATAATGCTGTTAACATCACCTTCATGCGAAAAATATAATTTAGTTGACCATAGAAAACAGAAAAAGAAGCATAAATATCAAAAAGAGGGGAAATATCAGAACTCAACCCCCTGATATATTAAGAGTGCAAAATGCATGGAAAATTATTATGAGTGCAGGCATAGGCATAGCAATAAGATAGATACAACAGTTAACATTCCATGTAAAAGCAAGGAGCTGAACCAATGGAAAGTGAAGAAAATAAGTCACAAAAGGGTGGTCCTCCTTGTGTTACCCGAAGCAATCAAGAGGATATGTAGAGTCACTGAGTATGAAATAAATTTCCAACTCCATTATTAAAGGTAAGTATATCGTGAAGGCAGATATATCAGAGTTATATTTTTGTAAGGAAAAAGCACACGTTAGAAGCCTCAGTCATGGGTTTGACATTTCTGTTAAAGCCTTAGCCATACTCTCTAGTCTTTAGATCCATATGTCATACAAATATTGACAGTGCCCGAGAGGATGAGTCTCTGACCATTATGATTTATGATTTATGATTGAAGGTATGTTTGGTAGCTAATAATAGAAAAGGTTTCCATTTTAAATCCTTTGTTGCGTATGCAAATGGATAAAAAATCCTGAAGTGAATTGAGTCTCATTTCATTCCACCTAAAACATAATTTGATTTCTAAACCTAAACTTCACATTGCCAGTATTGAGCTGCCAAACCTAATCTGAGATGAACGAAACAGAGCGCAGGTAAATGAAAATAGGGTTAGTGAAGGTACCTCTGAGGACACATCCATACCAAATGGACGAAGCATTGCCAACGTGAACATCACCGACGAGGGAGGCACTAGGGGCCACAAATGCATCCCTATGAACGGAAGGAGCTTTGTCAAATACATTCATGAGAGGTCGATGCCTAGAAACTTGGAACAAACAAAATAATAATTAGCAATTTAGCATTAGCAGGTGGTTCAAATAAAATAAAATAAAACCCTAACTGAGAAACTGGGAATGGAGAAGGGAACGTACGTTGTTCTTGGAAGAGGTAATTGCCTTGGAGGCGAGAGCCAAGGCGATCGAGGGCTTGGCCGGTCTCGCGGATCCAGAATCCGACGGCGTAGAAAGCTCTTCCCAACGTTCCCATCTGCTACCTCACTCACTCACTCACTCACTCACTCACTCCGCACCGATCTACTCTTCTCTTCTCTCTACTTAGTCGAATGCTATCTCTCTCGCGGGCGCCACCTATTCTGCTTGTTCCCTCTTCAATTACATTTATTACCACTAATTTTTGGAACCCATTTTACAATTTACTCTCGTTCGTATAAACCAACGCAACGTTGTTTTTTTTTCATCAAAAGTATATTTAAATTATTCAATATTCGAATTTTGTATTTGTTTAAGTTGATAATAATAATAATAATAATCTCAAACTTTAATTAAAAAAAAAGTTGAAAGATCATAAAAAAAAATTTAAAAAAATAAAAAAATCATTACCATAAATTTAAAATAAATTTATAAATTTTGTTAAACTCAATTTTAAGATAAGTTATTAATAATAATAAAATTTTATTAAAAAATATAAATATTTATTATATTTTTATAATTTTAATACGTATATTTTTTTTTTATAAATTTTTTTATTTATAAATATTTAAACTCAACTTTAAAAATTGAGATTAATAAAATTTTAAATTTATTATCTTTTTTTAAGTGTATTTTTTTCTTGTAATAAAATCTATGTCGATGTCCATAAATTATTACATTTTTAGTACAAACATTTCATACAATTTCACAATTGCAAATTCTTCTTCTAACCTCTGTGACTGATCCTAGATAAGTCACTAAATACAAGGGATCTTTGTGTGACCAAAATTCAAAACACGAGAGCTTATATTTTTACCTTTTATTTTATTTGATCATCCTTATTTAGCTTATTGCAATTTAAAGATTACTATATCAACTAATTTAATTTCAAGGTTATTTTCGTTTGCGTTCAATTCATCTTGAAAAAGGTTTCACGGTTTTGGACAAAAATTGTCTTCTTTTTCTTTTTGTTAAAAATGTAAACTTAAGTCCTCACTTAAATATTATTAAAAAAGTACGAAAATTCAAATTTACTCTTAAATCGGTGTTGAAAGTGCTGATGGATCGATTTAATTAACTTGTTTTGTATTTAAAAATAGATTTTTATTAATCTTAATCCTTAGAAATAAAGATAAGTAGTTAATAATAGTAAATTTTATTAAAAAATATTTATTATATTTTTAATATAACTATATATTTTTTTTATAAATTTTTTTTATTTGTAGATGTTTAAACTCAATCCTAAAGGTTTAAGTTAACAAAATCCTTTAAAATATTATAATTAAAGTATTTTAAGAAAAACTCTAGTTAAAAAAATTACATAAAAATTAAACAAGTTTTTGTGCCGATAATATGTATTAAATTAATTTATTGTAAATCCTTTAGTAGCATAAATATAATTTTAATAACTTTATACAGTATTATTAAATATATTATTTAAATTACTTTTTTTATTTTGTTTGGTAAAACTAAATAACTATAAATTGAAGTAAGAAATTTTCAATTTAACCCTTTTCATATTATACATTTCAATTTACTTTATAATTTTTTATTATTTTATAGTATTTAAAAGATGTCCTTTTTTTTAAAGGGGTTCTAAGTGGTTAATATCAATTAAAACTATTAAGTCTTTAAAATTACAGAACTTATTTCACATCTTAAATAAACAACAATGTATCATGATTTATTTAACAAATACTTCAACTTAATAGATCCTTATACTTTATATTCATATGTATTTTTAAATAGGTTTCTAAATGTGAATAAAAAATAAGGAGGTAGAAACCATTAAAATTAAAAAGTGTAAGAATTTCTTACAAAAATAAATTATAAGCACTTATTCAGAAGTTTAATTAAACTATAAAGCCTATAAAATAATTTAACCTGTTCTTTAAATCTTAAAAAATTGAAGATGCTTTAATATGCATTTGATTCAACTCATTAAAATAAACTCGCCCATCTTTGCTAACTTCTTGAAAGAATTAGTTACAAAAATATAATTTCTCGTTATTTATAAGACCCAATAAATTTTATAAACACATATTCACATTGCAAAATAATTTTAATTTAAATCACTTTTAAAAAAATTAATTTCTTATGATTAATTTTTAAAAATTAATTTCATCAAAATCTAAACCAAGCTCGAGATTTAAGTTAGAACTAGTAAAACTTTGAGGAACTAGCTAAATTGTAAATTCATTCACGTCTTACTTCGACAGTTTCAGGCTTTCAAGTTCATTATTCAGTGGCAGCATAACCGTATCTTAAATCAGAAGATTCAGACACTGGTGGCTGTAACCAGGAGCCGAGTGGCACAAGTGCCATAACACAATGACACGGAAATCAGAATGTTTATGGAGTTTCATTCACATTTACAAAATTCATTAGAAATCACTGCAATTGGCTATTTTGCTTCTCAAGAAGTCACTGCCTTAAGCTCTCAACTATGTAAGCAGCATACAGGTCCCTGCAAAAGGAAACACCCATCCCAGAAAAATAGAACAAGCATTCAATCCCCAAGGGAAAAAGTAAAATCATTCAAAATTAGTACCCAAATCCAAAATTAGGCACAAATTTGAGTCACGGTGAAGGAAAATAGCTCACATGGAGTACTTGATGGCATCAACGGCAGATTCGGGTGGTAGAAAGTCTTCAACATCAACTTTTTTGTTCTCATTCTTCTTGTCTAGTGTGGCAAGCTAAGGATGCATGCAGCAAACCAGGGGATGTGGCATCGATAGCATTGATAGAAGAAAGTGATTTAACAGATTATTGAAAGATATGGGAGACTAAACTTTTGACACGCAAAAAACTAATCATCAACGTGAATAGTAGTCAATAAGACAATAACTATGTACGGTATGCATGTCTTTAAGGGCAAATAACAGGATACATTCCTCAAAGAATCTTCTGATTTCGGCTAGCCTATGTGGAGGAAGCTCCTTAATGTCTGTGTAGTGGCGGAACTCAGGGTCATCAGCACAAACCGCTATGATCTTGTCATCCTTCTCACCCTGTACCAAAATTCATTATAAATATTTATAATTTATCTCCAAATTTCTACTTTTGTTTGAGACAAAATTATTTAAATTGTACAATGTTGAGAGGCAAGTGAATAATGAAGGGTAAAAGGGGGCTGAAGTCACAGTCAGATCCCTCTAATGGTGTTGGGACATACATTTAACAGTTTTCCTTGAACATTTCAATTTTATTTCGTTTGTCCAAAGAAACGAACCTTCATTTCAATCATAACACTCTCCAAGCTAAAATTGCGCTAAGGATAGAAAGGTTAATAAATTTCACCATGACATATCAAATACAAAAAGGGGCAATGTTTTTGTCATTTCAATCGACTTGATATTTGATACACTAGCACTAACAGCAATTAACTAATTAGCTAAATAATTAAAAAGGCTTACTGGGTAGCCATTTTTTTTCCATAATAGACCCTCACATGGTTCTCTTTCATTGTCCCAATCAGAATGAAAGACACAAGACAAGGAAGAGGCAACTTTTACCTGGTCAATCATGGGCATTAGTCCAATAGCACGAGCACGAAGGAAGGAACCAGGCAGCACAGGTTCCTTCTCAAAACAAAAGTTCCAATTTTAATACAGTTGAAATTCAGGCTGAAAACAGACACTTCTGTTCAGTACCATGAACAAATATTTTTAAGCATTGCTACCTGCATCAGAATCAGAACGTCCATAGGATCACTGTCTTCACAAATGGTTCTTGGGATGAAACCGTAGTTGTGTGGGTAGACAACTGATGAGTAAAGAACACGATCAACCTAAGTTATTCAGCTCATGCGTTAGTTACCCAGTTAGGCTACAGACATGTACCAAGCATATGGAAATAATAAATGAGAATACGAAAGTCCTTCATATTTTGATAATGTATCAAGCATATGGAATAAAAGAAGGTGAATGTAACTAAAAAACTGGGAACCACACCTTTATAAGTCCACTTGCCTTGTCCAGCTCATACTTAACCTTACTGCCTTTTCCAATTTCAACCACCTGCCATGGAAATCCATTTATTTCTCTAAGAAAATTTTGTTAGGAAACAATAGTTCGATGAATTAATCTATGTTGGAAAAATGTAAGATTTGAAGTTCCAGAATGCTTGTGAGATGGCTTTATTTAAGTACTCCTCATCTCACGCCATAAAATGAGGATTCCATTAGCATCAAATCCTTGTTAAAGCTAAAGTAATTTTTTATCTGCACCCACTACAAGTACAAAGATTAAATATTTAACAGATTGACAGAAATAAGGTTTTCTCTTACGAAACAGCAAAAACTTACACAGTTGAAAACAGATGGAGCTCCTGGCCCTGCATGTACAGCATCATTTAAGAGTTTTCAGTCAAATATTGTTACATCCTTACCTTATAATAGTCATAGACTTCAGTGGAAGATGTGTTATTAAGACTAGAGAGACATTCTGGAAGCAAAATAATTTATTTTTCATTGAGGAGTGACATAAACAAAATCCATAAAGTTATTGTACCAATCTCTAAGTCGTGCCAGGGGTGAGCAGCAACAGTTCTCCGTGACAGAGAAGAAAGTATTCTTTCATTGAGCTTAGGGTGAGGTAAACCCGAATTCCATGCACTTGATTCTTCATGGTTAGCCATATTGACTTACCTACATAAGCATAAAAAACTATCACAATCACACACACAAAACAGGAAACTATCAATCTAAATCATTATGATCCCTCGCAATCAAAATAATAATTAGAAGAATCCACCTCAGTTTCATAAAAGGTTTATTCCAAAAGACCATGAATCTGTTTGTTCGAAGTATACAGTCACATACGTAATTGTTGAGGAATTAAGAACGAAATTGACAATCACGGGATAAGTAAAAAAGAAGCGTGAGGAGCTTAAAAATAGCATAATTGAAAAATCGCAACGACACATTAGATCGAGAAACAAAAGGAGAAAAAGGAAAAAGAAGCAGCGTAACAGTCGTGGAAAGGGTTAAAGGACTTACAGTGTGTATGAGAGAGAGAGAGAGAGAGAGAGAGAGAGAGAAGAGAAGCTTAAGACGGGTATCGCTCAGCTCAGCGCTCAGTCGTTGAGTGAATGTGTGTCGTCTGATTAAGTGGATGGGGATTTGATCAGACGGCTCTGGACGGAGTGAGTAAACGGAATATTCGGATTCGGACAACGTCACATGTCAGTCCGTGACTCGCACTATAAGTAACTAACGATAATTTCCTCTGCGCTGACTGCTTATGTTCCTCTCAGTCTCCGACTGCTGATAAAGTAACGCGGTAGGTTCAATGAATAAGGTTTTTTTTTTTAATAAAATATATTTAAATTAATTTGTGTATGTATTTAAATAATATTGAATAACTTTAAATTAATTTTAAATTAAGTAGGAATTTAATTAAACTTCTGGATATATATATATATATATATATATATTCTTAATTTTATTTTAAAATATTAATAATATATTTGTAACTTGTTTTTTTTGTTACAAGGTGAAATAGAAATAAATTTTATCAAGTGACATTGATTTTATATTTTGTTTAAAGAGTTCAATTCATTAACTAGGAAAGTTTATTATTTAATACTAAAATTTTTATTAATAAAGTACTAAGATTATGGAGCTAACAAATTTTCTCCTTAGGGTTATTTTATCTTAATCTTAAGTTAGTCATAGAAATTGTAGTTGTGTGAAACTTTAAATAAAAGAATTTTGAAGTTTTTAGTTATTTTTTTTCTCGAATTTAGATAAGGTGGGTAAATAAAAAATATTAAAAAATTATATTAACAACTTTTGCACTTCATTTTATACGTCATTTAAAAAAAATGAATTTAATATAATTCAATATATATAATCATGTGATGTCAGGTGATTTGGTGTCATGTGGGTTGGTATCTTTATTTTTTATTCATAATGACTAGTTATCTGCACACTTTACATGTACCTTAAGAGTGTGTAAGTATACAAGTTAGCTTGTTTGATTTTACAGGAAGAAACAAAAATTGAGCCAATTCAAATTAGTTTAGTTTTATAATTATATTTTTTTTTTGCCAATTACAAACTAAAATAATTTAATAAAAAATGTGTTGGTCTGGTTCGATATATTAAATTTGATATATATTTATATTTTTTAAATTAAAGTAAAATTCAAGTTAATTAGTTTGATTAATTATCTCTTTTAACCAAAATAATACTAGTTTGGGTATACAAGAACCAAAGATGTTTGAGTTGATTTTTTCAAATAATAATATTTGTTAGTTAAAATAAAAATAAAATCTATTGTATTTTGTTTAAGTGAGAGAATTTATTATCTTTTTATACACGTGAAATAATTGTTATTATTAATTCTATATTAATAAATAATGAAATTAGTGATTTAATTAAAAAAAATATGTTAATATTTTTTAATTTTAAGATAATAAAAAAATTAATTTAAAGAGAATATAAAATATTTTTTCAAGTTCTTAAATATCGTAATAAGTACCTAAAATAAATACAACATTATGCATATAAGTAGAAAGAAAAAAGAAAAATGAGGGAATATTTTTTTTTGAACTAATATATTCAAGTAACAAGTTGTTGAATTCTAAAACATGCATGTTTGTTTTCTATTTTAAAAATATTTTTCAATTTTTAAAAATAAAATATAATATAAATTTATATTCAGCTGTTTATAAAATAGAAAACAAACATACTTTAAATTACAAAATTTTTATCCAACTAAAAATGATTAGGTTTTTTAAATTTGATTTGAGATTTTGAATTTATTTAGTTGGTTCAACTAATAAAATACTTTCAAATGAAATAATAAAATAAAGTTATAACTGTGTTACAAATAATGCACGTTTAATCTATTTAATACTACTATACAAAATAAGGTTTTATTCTATGTGTAGAAAAAATTGTTAAAAGAAAGTAAAACTTGTTTTCGAAAATTATGCACTAAAAAAATACTTTTAAACTTTTATTTGAAAGATATTCTTATACACGCATAAAAAATATAAAATAATATATCTATAAATCAGTCTCAAATTACGTGTTAATCGTTATATTTATAATTATTCATTTTTCTTCTTGAAGTACAATTATATAATATTTTAGATTTTTTAATTAAAAATTTATAATTTTATGAATTTATGAAATTCATGGCAATTAGTTTTTTTCTTTTTACATATTTACCTGTTATCAAATCATGTTGTAAATTGAAAATCAAAATCCTCCAAGCATTGAGGCAAGTTTGCATTCTAAGCATGTTATATGTTAGAAATATAACCTATTTACTGTTAAAATTTAGGCATATAAAGCAATTGAGATGGTTGTTGCAATTTTTTGCAATTTACATTTTATACATTAATTGATCATGTTATATGTCAGAAATTAAGATAGTTTTTTACTTATGTATTTTTTATTTATTTGTTAAAAACAAGTTAACTACTGTAATTAAAAATATTAAAAAAACTAATTGATAAGTATAGAACAACACAAAATTGTTAATTGTGGGAAAGAAAAATTATGATAAGATAGAAAGAATAAAAATTCAATTTTCTAAATATTATATTTTGAGTCCGTTCTGACTGTGTACCCATCAATTTCTAATTTTAGAATTTGATTCTAATGCGTAAAGAAAGATAACAGCACCAATTATTTTTACAGAAGCAACTAACGCAAGAACCTCCATTCAACGTAGTAAATATTTTGTGCATGCATTTTAGAAAGGAAGATGCCTAACGTAAGTTACACATTTTAGCAGCACAAAATGTAGATAATTAGTTCACAAAATAAGAAAAGAAGCAGAAACTGATATAAGTCTTTTCCTTTGAGTAATGCTATTTTCACATGTTTCTCACAAGTCGCAACAATACTTACATTAAGAAAAAATGTACTGTCGTGAGAAATTGTTATATAGTATTATGATTCTGTTCTTTTGAGATCTCCACGTACTAAACTAATATCCTTTTGACGGGCTATGGAATAACGTTAACGTTCTTGCACCAAATCATTCGCCAATGTTGCTCACATCACATGAAATTGACATTCTTAACTGCGTCTCGAGTAAAAACTTAAAGATTCATCCTTTAGTGACATTCATGTTAAGCTACACATATTGCCGGCCACCGGAGCTTTTTCTGCACATGCTCATGAACTTGGCCACAAATTCTGCAGAGAAGAGCATATTAATCAATAATAATTTAACACCCAAAAAAAGAGAGAAGTCATGCATTTTAAGATACAATTCTCCAGCTCTTTTCCTTAATTTTTATGTTATTTTTGCTAAGCATTCTATATGGTTAGTTTAAACAGGATTAGAAGGGTAATTATTGTGCCTTACCTTCTAATTTTAGTAAAGCTGTTGTTCCTGGTGGGAGTCTTCTGTCCTGTTCATTGTAGCCTTTGGTTACCAATTTACTTAAAAAACACACTCATAAAATATGGGGTGGAGGAGGTTGTCTAGAATTATAGAGGGAAAAGGGGGAAGGAGCACAGAATTGGTATCATAGAAATGCTCCGAGTTCTTTAATAATTTACCATCCTTAAGGCAATTTATGGAAAGAGAAACTCACATAATAAGCATGCCAATAGTATAGTTCCCTTTTTAAGTTGGCCTCAATTCTTTTTAGGAGCTGTTCCACGAGTTTCTACATGTTTGATCATAATGTCCATTACGTAACAGTAATTTTGGTAAGCTGAACAAATTATTCACGGGTTCTTCTGATAAAAGTACTAATCATTACCTGGAGAATCAGTTTTGGGTGGACAAAATCCAGGAGAAGCATTTGAAATTTCCCTCGTATTGAGAGTAATCTGATAAAACCATAAAAATTAAAACTTCATACATAATCTGATTGACAATTATGAAGTTATAAAAAGCTAGGAAAATATGTTCTATGCTTCTAATTCTCTCTAATGTACAAAAAAAAATAAGATGGAAAGAGAAATTTCTTGCCGTGAAAATGAGGGATCAGCTACGATTTCTGCAGCAACTTCTATTACGATCTCCTCCCATCCAATTGAAATTGGTTGTTCTTCTGAAAATGGATAGCTGACATCATAGTGCTCCGGTTAGTCTTTGTAGACAAATATTTCTAGAACTGTTAAATAAATATTTTTTCTTCAGTCAAAAGTTTTTACTTGTGAGCTTTGCATGCTTCAAGAGCCATGATAGCTTGTCTGAGGTTCTGCTTAGACTTTGTAGCAATCTTCGCAGCAAAATTCATGGGTAGATCAATTTCCTCATTCTTTGCTATCTGAATAAGGACCTCAACAATCTGAAAAGTTGTAGGTTCATGTGAGTTAATTACTTTGGTATTTTTTGACAGTAAGTTAATTACTTCCTAGAAGTTATAAGATCAAACATTGATGTTTACTTTTTCTAAATATTTTTTGCTTACTTCAAGAGTTTGAGGAGCCTCAACTTTGATAACTTTGAACCGATTTTTCACAGGTTCAATGATGCATGCATCATCTTCAAGGCAGAGTACTAATTTGCATATATCTGAATAGCGGTCTATGGTCCATTTGATAATGTGCTGAATGTTATCTACTGCTTTGTGGACCTCATAAAGAACTATTACTGAAATCAAGAGAACCCAATCACGTTACCTGGGTTCACATTAAGGGATAAATCTGTTAAAGAAGTAAGCAAGCATTTAAGCTACTATCACTAACCTTTATAATCTGACTTGAAATTAATATTGCTGACTTCGGGGGCAATAGCATATATATTGCTAATTTCTTTGATTAATCCCATTAAAGCATATTTAGCATTTGGATCTGAATTTACATCGAGCTCCATGTGATGAGAACTGGATGTTATTGGAACAGATACTTTCATAAGCCTTTTGTCCTGTCAATGTAATAAATACTGTTACTCTGAGCTCTGCAATTAATTGGAGATGCAATTCTTTGAAATAATAATAATCAACTTTTTTTACTCATCATGTGCCAAACAAAACCTTGTGGTAAGAAAATTAGAAATCTCTACCTGAATAGGGAAATGTCTTAAATCATGCGACATCTGCAAAAAGGTCTGATAAAGTCAGCTTAGGAATATAAAACATATCGAGAAGGAAAATCACGAGAAGAAGCATACATTACAGCATGCATCACCGTATATCTCTCGAAGAAGGGCCATTGCTAGTTGTCTTTTCCCGGCACCGGAGGGTCCTTTGAGCAGAATATGAGGACAAGACCCCCGAGACACCTGAAAAACAAAGTAGGTTGAGCCAAAAACCATACAATTATAAGTAAGAATAAGAATAGTACGTGTCCATTTGCTTTATATTTTCCAAGGCCACTAAAAAGAAAACTTTTTAATCTTTTTATTGGGTAAAATTACCTTAACATGCAAAACTCACAAATTGTAAATGTGTTGAAACTGATGTTTAAATGGTCATAAATTCATGTTTATTTTAATACTATATTGACTTTACGTTTACAGATTTATCGAACATATTTTCGAACACACGTTGCATCTTATTTATACTACAAAAAGAAAAAAAGCAATTTTACTTTACTGTCTAAACAAAATCGTTTCTTCTTAATTCAATTTCAAAATATTATACTCTAAACACAAACCAATACTCTTAATATCAATTATATTAAGATTTAATCCAAACTGGCCCTAAGATGTCCTAAAAAGAAAAGGGAATTGAATAAATTTGTAAAATAAAGTGGGAAGTAAACAACTTATGGGATAGAATGGGGATCATATGACAGTATTTATAAAAATATATACCAATTCCTTGAGAAGTTGAGCTTCTTGTTTGTTGCAAATGAAGCCATTAAGTGAAGCAGGTTGGTGTTTATCTGCCCAGAATTGTGGGAGGTTTTCCACCACTGATGCCCTTCCAATGAAAGAAGCTTCATCAATTGGTCGACGTTCAGGCGATTTTCTTGTCGTTCTACAGTTTCCTGTTCTCATACAAGAAAACCATGCATCTTTCTGGTTCTTCTTTCGATTGGATGTGAATCTCTGCATGCTTGCAGTTGTCTTTACACTACCATCGCTTGTCACGCTACTTGGCTTCCCAGTGCCACTACCCTTTCTGCTTGTAGCAGCAGAACTTGTAGTGGTTGATCGAGACAAGACATTATTGGACGATGTTCCTCGGATATTCATATTGAGGTTAAGATCACCATTTTCTCTATTTTCAGAGGGAGCTCTCACGGGGGTCACCAATGGCCTTGGACTAAAATGACCACATTGTTGAATGCTTTTTGGCAATGAAGAATTCTTCCCTTGAAAGGCATTGCATTCGCGGGAAAAGAAAAGATCACCTGGTTGAATCGAATCTGTGCTTTCTAGCACCGATGAATAATCACTAGTGAGATTCTCATATAATTTCACCTGGCCTATCATTTCGTTGATTTCTCCAACTGAAGTTGCTTTGAAAGCTTCCCTTTGTTTGACAACCATGTCATTGGTTTTCCCTCCATGATTGCTCTCGTGCTCCCTCAACCTTGGAGCAGTCACTGCTCTTTTGTAGTGTGGCTTCTCGGTTGCCTCAACCACTTTTCTGTTCTCTCTAGAGGGTGTTCTTTGCTCGTGGCTTCTGCTGAAAGGAGACACGGTTATGGATGATGATGAAGCAGCATCATCACCTGCTACGCGCAGCTTATAGGGTGATTTGCTATGGTGTTTTCTTCGGGAAACTGAAGCTGTTGAGGATGATGAGATTGAGACTTCAGTTTCAAACCTTGTAGAGTACCTCCTGTGTAGTGCCATGGGGGTTTTGTTCATTAGAGTCAAAGCTTTTGTTTCTTCAGGACCTAAAATTAAGTTCCTTCTTTCTCGTTCGTGCCGTGGAATCTCTTGCCACTCGGTCTCTGTGTCTGATGGTTCATAACCACTCCTTCCTTTCTTGGTTGAGAATGTAGAATTTGGAGTATGAGAAAATCGGTTATCTGGGGATGACTGCTCCATGTAAAACTAAGGTTGGTTAATGATTTACTTTGCAGCCAAACACCAAAGATTGAGACAGTGGTTTTGAGATTGATTAAACTCAAACAGCAACTAATGAAACTGGTGTGGTGACTCTTAACTTTAGAAACTGAGAGTGGGTTGGTTAATTACTTTGTGATGCTATCTTGTAATGATATAGTGACAGAGAGGAAAAGACGAGTTTGTTACTTTGTGACAATGCCAGAAAAGGGTATCATGCAAATAAAATAAAAATAAAAATAATAAGAAAAATTGGGAACACAAGTGCGATGGTTTCGAAATGAGACTCATTTGTGACGATATTGACAACATGCTTACGTGTGGATAGATGAAAAAAATGTGTATCTTAGCCCATTCACATATCTGCACGAGCATGTCGTTTTTGTCCTTTTCTCTCTGGCTTTGGGATATTGCAGATTGCACAGGTATTTCGAATCATCTTGTCAGGTGCCAGCTTTCGGTGACGAAGTTACCCATCTTGTTATCAACGCTCTATCTTCGTCAAGCCTTCCAGAAATAAGCATAGTTTAATTCACCAACTAGCTTAGCATTAGATTAGTTGATCATGCTTTAATTTTAACATTCTTTTTTGTTCACATTACATAAAGAATTTATGCCCACAACCTTGTTTCCGACCATGCAGTTGTAGGAGGTCACGTTTTCCCATCAAAATATTGTGGTAATGAGGGCAAGGGAGCAAAAGTGTATTCGAAAGTAACGTGGAGTTTGGTTAGATAATAACAATTTATGCTTTAGGCTTCAGCAATAATTACAATAATGTTCTGAGTCTTTATACTTTGTTTTATGTTTTAAAAAATATGTAAGACAACAAAATGGTGTTTTCATCCTTGTTAATTTGATCTAGAATAATGATGCAGGAATGACACTTCTCTTTCCACAAGTATCTCATATTCCATGAAATTCACTGGCATGATACGGGAAGCACCAAAACTTGCATGAGAAATTACGACGTAAATTCAGCTTCGAGGATGCAAAACTGTAGTATCAAGTTATTTACTATAATATATCGGTTAAGTTGCTTCGTCGTACAGTCAGTTTAGGCAAGGAAATTGCTAAAAATTTCGTTCTCTTTCATAAAGCGTAAAGAAAATATCATTATGTAGATTGTCTATCCATTCCGGGGTCTTCATTTAATAATTGTTTGTAACTGCACGACAAATTTTGTATCACAATGAAAAATATTGAACAATTTGTTATACAACTTCAATACTTAGAAGAACTTAATTCTTTACATGTAAGTAAACAGCAATACATACTATACACACTAAAATACAACACGAAGGGATTATTTTGATGAAAACAAAGGCCAAGTGACTAACAAAAAGAACAGCTAAGCCAATTACACACAAAAGAAGCTGTTGTTTTTATTGATTTGGGTTGAGCTACTAGCACTTTATATAATTTCATACAACGCATTCTTTAGCGAGACTTCACACAAACTGGTCCAGGTAGTTGTCAATGGTGGTGTATTTCACCTCAGGATAAAGTTCAGAAGCCTCCACGGCAGAAGAAGGGTCAAGGTCGTACTTTGTGCAGTCTCCCTTTACCAGCATCGAGTGGGAAAATGCTAACAAGAGACTCTGAGGGAAAGGAGACTCTGCCAAAAAGTAAAAAAAAATCACCATAAATAAAATAATTTCACTAAATTGGTGTAACACAAAATACTCATATCTCAGTATGAAAATTACTATCATATGGGGTGTTGAACTAAGAATGTTTCAAATTTGGACACGACTCCAACGTCATACTACACTCCAATTCGTTTGATGTCAAATATAAATGTAAACATTGTTTTATAATACTAATGACGGATACAAAATAGTTTCTTAAGCAGCTAAGCAATGAGTGTAACTAACACGTCGTACAAGTCTTGGTAAAAAATGTGGCTGTTGATGTTATATTACGTCAAGCAAAAGAAGTGTGAAAAAAATAGAGACGTGAGAATATATTAAGTAGATATTTAGTATTTGAATTATTTAAAATTCACACTATATGCAAGATTATATATTAATTTTTTTATTTACGTATTTTGAAAATATTTTTTATTTATAATAAATAAGTACACTATTTTAGTGGTTCAAAAAACATTTCGCCTTGAAGTATTTAGATTTAACGTTATGCTACGTGTTTACCTATGAAATGAACTACTCTCTCTCTCTAACGTCATTTGTGCAAAGTGTATAAATCATTAACAAAATGAAAGAGACTAAAGTTGCTCATAGGTTGAATTTATGAAACTAGAACAGTCTGAAAGGAGTTATCTCTCACTAACCCTGGATATTCTTAAGAATTTGATCCTCTGGAACATAAATTTTCTGGAGGGTGTTCTTAATCTTGTTCTCCCACAAGGAGATGAGTTCGTCGAAGGTCAAAACATTGGCAGGGGGTTTTATGAGCAAAGTTTTCCTCAAGGTTCTTGGGTCGTCCACTGCTTTAATGGTATAAACCCCAACATCCTCCTCCGTAATATAAACTCCTGAAACAAGGAAATTGAGACAATTGAATTGCATATGCCTATTCTATCCATCATACTATATCTACCAAAAAAAATTATATATGTTAATGTTACCTTTGACATTTCCATCTCCTAGAATGACTACCTTATCCCGGGGAGGAGCTGTGGCATTTTGTTGTCCCATCGTAGGTAGGAAATATCCAGCAAGGGCATAGGAACATATGTAAGTATAAGGTATACCTTCAGCTTCAATTGCCCTCCGAATTTTCACCTTTTTCTCAAAAGAGCTAGCTGCTGGCTCTATTGCACTGTGATGGTCCACATCTAACCCAAATTCTGAGGGGAGAAACCTCTAATAACAAAAGGGTCACCACTTATATCTCATATTCAACCATTTTGTCTCAACATAAGAAGACCAATTAATAATAATTAAATAAATAATAAAGCTTATTTATGCACCTTGATGTTTCCAGCTTCTTTTATTGCGGCTATGATCTTCATTTGGTCATCTATTTGTGCTCCACCAACAGTAGAGATTACAACATCAACTTGCTTTATTGTCTTAACGAGGCTTTCATGATCAGTTATGTCACCCTATAAAATCATAGAGCGGGAAAGACAAGTTAGAATAGTGGGTTTGAACTATATTCTAATTAATTGAAGTTGTTATTGAAAGATACTAACATAGAGCACAGTGACTCCGGAACTTATGAAGCTCTCTATAAGCTGTAATTTCTTAGGATGAAAAACGGTGCTTTCCCTGACTAAGACAATCGTGGGATGTCCAGCTTTTGTGCTTGCCTCAACTATGAATTTTCCAATGTATCCTGTTCCTCCCAGGACTAGGATTTTGCTTTTCTCTGCCATGGAACCAAACTTCAAAATGCAAATTAAAGAAAGCAATGTGTTTGTAGGATGAAGTGAAGAAGTTGTGGCATTTATAGGACTGTTCCATGATGCGGAGCCTTACGGAACCTGAATTAATGAAGGAAAAGGTGAAACCAGTTTAGAATTCAAATCCTAATCAGTAATGATGTGTGGTTGTGCTATGAATATCTTTAAATATAGATAAAGTATGAATTATAGTTATTTAAAAATACTGAAGATTATTTTATTAATTATTAAAATTTAAGAAACTGTAGTTTAAAATTTCAATTTTGAATTTTTTTTAAATGAAATAATTTAATATAAATTTGCAAATGTCTCATTACTTATAATGATGATAAAAGAATTTTAATATTAGATAAAGATATTCAGTAAAAAAAAACCTCTTTTGAATAAATGATTAAGAGAAAAAAACTATTATTTAGTTTGATAAAAAAAGTTTTAAAATGTGTATTAATTGGGCTCAAAATAACCGGTAGAACATAAATTAGGATACGCAAGCATGAAACGGATTTGAGCAGGCCTAAGCTCAAGGTAGCATTGTCTAGATCAAAAGTGTTTTTGCTATTTCAAGTGGCCCATCACTCTACTTTTCCCTATTGGGCTTGGCCTAGTGAAATGCTATTCAGAGGCCGATCGACAGCCCAGTATTGTCCTCTTCCATTGTGAAACGAATATAAAGTTTCCTATTACTCAAATCATACCTGAAAATTTGTCATTAAAATAAGATACTGTGAAATAGTACAATGAATTATCTTTTCTAAGGTCAAGCTAAGTTGATAAGGGTGATTGGATGAAATATTAAATCATTAATTTCATAGAAATTTAATATTTTATCATATTTTCAGTTGCATTCAGTATTTGTTTATTTAGAGGTCGGTAACCAGCTATTAAGATGTCTCTGTCAATGGGAGAATGGGTTCTTAATCAATTGTGATTTGCATAATTTAATAAAATATCGTTGACAAAACAGATCAATGAGATTATGTATCTTTTGAAAATAGGAGGTATTTTGTGATTTTTTTGTACATTAAAATAAATCTTATTACTTTTGATCAAATATTCTCCATACACACAATCAACAATTGATAAATAATTAAATTTCTGTTGACATGTTTAAGTGACTTAATTATTTATCAACTATGTTAAGTTTTATAGGTGAAAATAGATGGAAATTGACGTATTAATTTTTGACAACATTCAAAGATCTTAAATAATGGATTAGGATCTAATTGAAATTAAACATAATTCCGCTTGTATATTATTCCCTTTGCAAACTATGTTGAATTTGGTGCTCAATAATGCTTTTATAAGTTTTGAGGGGCTTGCATAATGGATACGTTTTAATAAAAAAACAAAATCAATGGCAACAATAAGTTTCGGTCAATGAGGGATTGAGTTCTCAATTAAAGAAGCAAATTTGGAATTAATAAAATATTTTTGACAAAAAGAGACAAATGAAATGATGTGTCTTTGAAAAAGAAGATATTTCTTATAATCTTTTTTTCTATTTAACGGAGTTAAAAAGTCTAAAGAAAAACAAATAACCAAAGCAAAAGCATATCTTCTAGTTTGATATCTTAAAATTTATGTGTTTAGGGTGAAAAAGAAGAAAAAGAAAGCGTTAAGACTATAAATGAAAAAAACAATCTTGATTCATACAATTAGTTGAAAGAGAAAAAAAGTATTTAAAATAATATGTTTTTCTTAAATAATATTAGAATTGTTTTTTAATTAAAAAAAATCACATTTATGTTATCACCACAAATTATTAAATAAAAATAAAATTTTAAATATGAAAATTGTACGGAAAACACATAAAAAAAATCGTGGCTAAATAAACACCACAATATAACTCTAATTAACTCTTTATTTCTAAGGACTTGTGTCAAGAAAATGCTGGAAGCGAGCTACTCTTTTTTAGTTTATCACAAATATCTTTGGGCTCGCCTAGTTATATTACATTATATTTTACGATATAATTGTTTATTTTAAAAAATATGTTCTTTACTTTTAACTTAATAAGCGAAGTGAAAATTTTAATTTCGTTTATCTTTAATTTTTTTCATATTTATCTTATATTAATTTAAAATTGTATCATTCTCTTGTCACTATTTTTTAATTTATATTTTTCTTATTTACTTTCAAAACTAAATAATGTTATATATAATTAAAAAGATATTTTTCTCTCCTGAGAAATTATTTTCATACGTATAATTAGGAACTGAATCCATGTTAACATGATTAAGAGACCTAACAAATCTACAAGTTGTGTTAAGTTTTATTGGTAATAAGCAAAGAAAATATTTTTGAAAAACGAAAATATTTGTTTAGTTAAATAAAAATAGGTGATTAATTTTAGTTAAATAATTAAATCAATCGCCTCTATATTTCTCTCTCTCTCTCTTGACATGTAAATAATATCGTTACCTAGTGTTTCTAAATTGGTTATATCTTGCAGAAAATGAGAAGTGATACATGACAAAGAATATAAAAATTTGAAAAAAAAAAATATTTGTTTAAAGTTGAGGAATAACACATTAACGTGAGGGGATAATTGACTATTGAGAACAGGACAAACACAAGTAACGACCAATTAACAACAGTAGTACAAAGCCATCAAGGTCATTTTTATTATATATGAAAATGAAAAAGAAAAAGAAAACGTTGATTTCAGAATTAGACAAACTGATCCAAATACTCGTCGGCGGTGGTATACTTAACGTCAGGATAAGATTCATAGGCCTCAACGTCTTTGGAAGGGTCAATTTCATATACTGCATCTCCCTTTATCTGTTGTGAGTGGTACAACGCCAGCAGGTAATTATTTGGGAAAGAAGACTCTGTAGTAAAGCAAAAACATTCACACCATAACTCAATATATGGTTATTTACCTGAATAAAATGTAACACGATAAACATATCCTTTACTATAAAAATATGAAGTTGAATTTTTTGAAATGATTACACAAATTCAACTTCATTGTTATTGTATAAATCCAAAGAGTGTTGTTATACTGACCCTTGATGTCTTTAAGAACTTCTTCCTCTGAAACATTAGTTTTCTCGAGAGTCTTCCCAATCTTTTTCTCCCACAAAGAGACGATCTCGTTTAGGGTCAAATAATTAGAAGGGAGTCTTATGTGCACCGCTTTGTTCAAAGTTTGAGGGTCGTTCGCTGCTTTGACGGTGTAAGTGCCCACATCAGCCTCAGTGACATATGCTCCTAAAACAAGTAAATCAAACGTAAACAACCTGAAGCAATTGAATTATATGTTCTGATAACTATTACTTGTAATAAGTATAAGTTGTTACCTTTGACGTTTCCATCTCCTAGGATTAATACCTTATCCCGAGGAGGAACAGTGGCATCGATTTGTGTTAAGTTACGTAAGAAGTAGCCAGTGAAGGCATGGCAACAGAGGTAAGTGTATGGAATTCCTTCAGCTTCAATTATTCTTCGGATTTTTGCTTTATCCTCGAAAACTTCTCTAACTGGCTCAACTGCATGGTGACGGTCCACATCCAGCCCAAATTCGGATGGGAAGAATCTCTGTTGACATAGAAATTAAGAATTAATCAACACTAAATAAATATAACTATTGCTGCTCTAAATATTGAAGGAACTACGGGTGTGGAAAAATTTATATATATCAATGTAGAAGGGACAAAAGAGCACACCTTGACGTTTCCAGCTTCTTTGATTGCTGCAATGATTTTCACTTGGTTTTCTATTACTAGTCTACCAGTTGCGCATATAACAATATCAACTTGCTTGATTGCATTAACCAGACTCTGATGATCATTTATATCACCCTGCAGAGTCAAATAAAATAGTAGTAGAAATTATTGTTTGAAAATAGTAGTTCGAAATAGGAGTAGAAATTTGTTATTGAAAACACATACCACGAGAAGAGTAACCCCGGAATTTTTGAAGCTGTGAATGAGCTCTTCCTTGTTCTCAGGATTTGCAGCAGTGACGAGTCTTACTGTGCTGGCAGAGCCAGGGGTGTTCCTAACCAAAGCAAACGTGGGATTCCCAGCCTTAACACTTGCCCAAACTATGTGTCTTCCAATGGCTCCCGTGGGTCCGAGGACGAGGATCTTGTCTTTCCCAGCCATGAAAGAAATCTAGTCAAAACAAGTAGTGAGTGTTGTTTCTTGTTTTGACAGGTAATCAAACTGGCAATGGGTTTGTTTTGTGGTGCTGAGCAGAGCAATACTTTCGTTAGTATTTATAGGGCCACCAACTTTCATCTCTATGATGTTTCCCCCTTCATCTATCTTCATCACACTATCATTTGATTCATTCATACACTGTTATTTGATTGATTGATTAATTAATTAATTAACACTATTATTTTCCCTCCAGCAACCGGCGGCGCCCTCAATTTTGGACCAACCATTATTTGATTCATAGCTTTTAATTAAAATTCAAGCCAATCACTTGCTAACTGAGCCTCTAAAGATATTAATTAAAGAGTTTATACATAATAAACTATTATTAAAAATTACAATAAAATATATTCAAAATTATGAAAGTGATTATCTTTTTATTTTTATGGATTTTTTATTTTATTTTTCCATATATGAATTGATACCAATTTTTTTTTAAAATGGTTTTATATAAAGTTATTATTACTAATACACTTTTAATATGTTTTTTGCGTAATTTATAGTAAAATTTACTAATTTAGAAGTAGAGTTAGCTTAAGGCATATATTATTAAAAGAGGATAAACCTATAACAAGTCGTCTATGATGCTATCAAACAAAATTCGTTTTCATATTTGCACCATTTTCTCCCCTTCTTTAAAATAATAATCTTTTAAAAAGGTGATTTGTATTATTACCTACTTTAAATATTAGAGGCTTAAAATTTTCTTTAAAAGAAGTACAACCCCTATATATGTTAAGTTGGATATCCAACAAGCATGGCTACGTAAGTATTTTCTCCGGTTACTATGTTCATCGGTAAAACAAAAATCATTATAATTTCAGCCCAATTTACTTTTAGTACGCCCATTGATCAACCTTGTCGTCTTATAAAAAAAATTTTCGATTTAGATATATTTTTAAATTTTTAAAATATAATTTTTTTTTATTTTTAATTTTGATTTTTATAAAATAACATCTAACATTGTTGGGTCAGTAATAACTTATAAAAAAAATTATCACGTCAACTAATTTTTATATTTCTTTTTTATAATTTGTTTTTTTTTCTTGATCACGTGTATGTTCTGTATTGAGACAAAAAATAACTATTTTAATAATATTCATATAGCTTAAAAAATTAGTAATATCGATAAAAGGCACTTTACAAACAAATTCCAAAGGGTAAACTACCGTATTAGTTCCGAGAGTATGCGAAGATTAACTATACAATTAAGCAAAGACTAACAAAAAACTGAAATCATTCTTGCTTTTTTATCTTTGAATCACGCAATCTTGTTTATGTATATTTACAACTATATACTTCGTACACCTGTTCTTTTGTATTGAAAGAAATTTAGTTGTAGCAAATATTTAAAATTTTAATTGTAATTAAAAAAAATTAATATATTGGCTTTAATACAATAAATTTCAATATTGTAAATTAAAATATTTTCATATACTGCTGCAATTAATGCATATTCATCAAAGTAATTCTTATTTGTCATTCATGCCACGATGATCATCTGGTCAATCCCATGGAGAGGAGATTCAATTTTATTAAATCAAGCATTTAATTATTGAAAACGACTCTTCATTTGAATAACGTTGTTCTATTGCTTTTACAAAATAATTTATCTACCCATCGACTATCGTTTCACACACATTTTAGAAACGAACACAATATATATATTTTAAAATTAAAATGAAATGAGAAAGTAATATAAATTATTTTTCTAAAAAGTAAAATAAATAAAAATATAATCAAACAAAACAATTCAATTACGTCTTTTCATTTTGTTTTATTCACGCAACAAAGTCTACGGTAGGGTTTGTGGTGTTATATTTTTCAAATGGTCATACGATACAATCAGTCCATTCTTGTGTATCCTTTAAATGATTTTTTATGTGAAGCTGAACATTATCAATGACACCTAATAAACGGTGATGTAAAACTTTGAAAACAGCAGCACACGTTACATTATTACTGTATTTTTACTTTAAAAATTCTATTTATACATTCTTTATAAATAAAAGAAAACAATAAGTGATATAACATAAAGAGATAAAGAGAAAATAAATTACTGTATAAATATAGTAACTCTTATTTACTTTCAGGTTAAATGAATATTACATTAACGTGGAGGTATTCTTGAGGACAAGAGAAACACAAGTAACAAAAAATGAAAGTGGTACAAAGCCTACAAGGCAATTTTTTGAAGAGAAAAGAGATTTTGATTTTATTGGCAGAATTCAAAAAACGCATTCCTCAGATCAGAAAATTCAGACAAATTGATCCAAATATTCATCGACGGTGGTGTATTTCACGTCAGGATAAAATTTATAGGCCTCAGCATCTTTGGCTGGGTCAATCTCATATACTGCATCCCCCTTTATCTGTTGTGAGTGGTACAACGCCAACAGGTAGTTCTTAGGGAAACCAGACTCTGCAGTAAAGCAAAAGAATTCACACCATTAATCAAGAGATTGTTAACTTCCCAAACTTAATGTAACATGAAACCCATATTCTATACCATAAAGTTTAACTTGTGGGTAAAAAATTAATGTTGTTACTGACCCTTTATGTCCTTGAGAACTTTTTCCTCTGAAATATAAGTCTTCTCAAGAGTCTTCCCAATCTTCTTCTCCCACAAAGAGATGATCTCGTTTGAGGTCAAATAATTGGAAGGAAGCCTTATGTGCACGGCTTTGTTCAAGGTTCGAGGGTCATTCGCTGCTTTGATTGTGTAAGTGCCCACATCAGCCTCAGTCACGTACGCTCCTAAAACAAGTAAATCAAATGTAAACAACATGAAGCAATTGAATTAATATGTCTGTTAATTATTACTTGTTATTAGTATAAGTTGTTACCTTTGACATTTCCATCTCCTAGGATGAATACCTTGTCCCGAGGAGGAACAGTGGCATCAAGTTGTGCCAAGTTACGCAAGAAGTAACCGGTAAAAGCATGGCAACAGAGGTAAGTGTATGGAATTCCTTCAGCTTCAATTATTCTTCGGATTTTTGCTTTATCCTCGAAAACTTCTCTAACTGGATAAACTGAATCGTGACGGTCCACGTCCAGCCCAAATTCAGATGGAAAGAATCTCTGTCAACAATAAGAAAGTATATTTATATCATTCACTTAATTATATCTGGCTCAACCATTTAAGTCAAGAAATTATTGCCATGAAAAAATTATATCGATGTAAAAGAGCATTAAACTAATAATTTAATGTAAAAAGGATCGTAATTTTAGTTCATAATTTAATAGGGACCAATGCACGGACCTTGACATTTCCAGCTTCTTTGATTGCTGCAATGATCTTCACTTGATCTTCTATTAGTAGTCTACCAGCTGCGCATATTACAACATCAACTTGCTTGATTGCATTAACCAGACTCTGATGATCATTTATATCACCCTGCAGAGTAAAAAAAAGACACCCCATCAGATCTATCATTTTGTTTGAAATATTAGTTCGAAATAGAAGTATAAAATTGTTATTGAAAGCACATACCACGAGAAGGGTAACCCCAGAATTTTTGAAGCTCTGAATGAGCTCTTCCTTGTTTTCAGGATTAGCAGCAGTGACAAGTCTTACGGTGCTAGCAGAGCCAGGGGTGTTCCTAACCAAAGCAAACGTGGGATTCCCAGCCTTAACACTTGCCCAAACTATGTGTCTTCCGATGGCTCCTGTTGGTCCTAGGATCAGGATTCTGTCTTTCCCCGCCATCAAAGAAAACTAGTTCAAACAAGCTAGCAGTGTGCGTTGTTTCTTGTTTGGATAGGTAATCAAACTAGCTAGCAACGTGTTTGTGATGCAGAGTAGTATTTCAGTTGGTATTTATAGGACCACCATCGTTCATCTACATGCAAAATTTCCATTCATTTCCGTTCAGCCTAGCTACTGGCGGCTCTCTGAATTCTACACCCACCTTTTGACTCCCAGTTATGCAAAGTTGGAATATATTTAATAAAGAAAAAAACAGGAATTATGATTATTAATTAAAAATAAGTATTTTTTAATAATTTTATAATTCATTAAATATATAATAGGATTTTGCTGATGACTGTTTTCAGGATACTAATTCAAAAATTAGGTTAAGATATGTAGAAATTTTGTTAAACAAATTTGTGTATGTATGCTAACAATGACAGCAGTCACGGGAACCGACTACGCTTTTATTGAAACAACATATGCAATTCACGTAGAGAGACAATATCATGTACAAAAAGCAAATGGTATATATATATTATAACTCCAAATTCTTTAATAATTTAAAATGATTGTCTAATTATTAAAAATAATTATACCTAGTTTTTCCCAGAAAGTGGTATAAGCTTTAGAATTTCCAGTACTTGTGTAGTGGATAATATTGTAATCAAAAGGGCAAATAAAATCATAAGTAGACAGAAAAGTAAACTTCACAGTAAGATTCAACTCTTGTTTTTGTTTTTTCATGACTCGTAAAAGCTACTAATACTAGATTAGTAAACACGCTGCTGTCATGATCTTTTATTTTGGAGGCATATCTTGTGGCGGCTAAGTATTTATCAACAAAGTCGGAATAGGAAAATGACTGTTTGAAACTTAAATTTGGAGCGTGAAATAGATAGAAAAAGAGAAAGACAGGTAGAATATATATTAAAAAAGTTATTACACAACATGTGACTAAAAAATTAAAAATACAAGTGTTGTTAGGAGTATTACAGTATTTGCTTTGATGTATAAATTTCTCATTTTAATATTTAAAATTACAAGCGTTCCATTTCAAAAGATATTTATTTTAAATATTTTTATTACATTTTTACTGTCATCTTTTGTTAAAAAAAATTATTTAATGATATATTTGCACGCTCTAAATAAAAGAAAATTATTGAAAAAGTCTAATTATTTTTTATTTAACCTTGCTAAAGTCTAGCATATATGTACATGCTTCCATTAAGCACTTTCTGGAAATATTTAAACATTTGGGCATGGAGTGTGGTCACTTAACGTTAGTTATGGTCGTGCTCATCGTGAAAAGTAGCACAACACATGTTGCTGTTGAGTACTCCCTCTTTAAGGAGTTTGTTGAGTCAGCTCAGGATATATTGACTTGAGTAGCGGCATCCACATTTGTTTCATTTAATAATTTCACAAATTCTTTGTTTTTTTAATGCAATTTTTTTTATGATTTAGTCCATGTTTATTAACTTATACTGTAATCACTTTTTATAATAAAATAAAAGTGTAATTGTTAAGACATTTCAGTTATCTAATTACTTATTTTGTTAATAAACAAATTTATTTAACAAAAATAACTTTATTTGATAGAGTAATTGGATTAATATTTTTGAACTCTAAAACTAATTAGTATTTTTTTTAAAGTATTATTTTTTAGTTACAAATTGAGAGTAAAATTTGTTTATTTTTTTCATATTATCAAAAATACTCTAAAAAAATTATTTGTAGAATGATGTTACAAATAATATATAAATATGTTTTTATTTTATGAATATTACACTTAAAATAAACTAAATGAAACTTAAACAATACAGTTTTTTATATTTATAAACAAATAATTAAAATTAGAGTTATATCTTTACAATTCATGAGTTAGTTAATTTGTAAAAACAAATTATGAGTATACTAGTTTGAGTTATTAACAATACTCTTGATCGCTTTCTTATTTTTGTCGTCTATTTTTTCCTTTTTTTCATAAAAAAATTATATAAGCCTCTCTCATACACTTCATAAACTAAAATTTACATTTTGAACAAAGTCACAAAAGCAGAAACCTAACACACTTTGACTTGTTATTTGAAGAGATAAAAGAGCATATTTTACAAGTTATTTTGACTAAATTATAATTTTTTTGATCAATTTATCAGTTTATTTAACTAAAATAAAAGTTCTTATCTCATTAAAATATTAAGTTGTGTATGAGACATGCAACTTACTTTTGTTATAAAAAAAACTATATTAAAAATACACACGTATTATTTGAAATATACAACTTTTATTACATTATACTTTAATAAATTCCCCAAGTCTACATGTATGACTCACCCTATTTTATTAACAAAAAATTAAAACTAATACCTACCAATTTGACAATCATCACATGAAATGCGCCGTATGTGTAAAAAAAAAAAAAAACACAAAAAAAGCTTTTAAAAAAAAACTCACAAATGCTATTCTTAGGACTTCAAATGTACAAATAGATACAGACACCAGCGGATCCTTGATCTAATGAAAAACAATGTTTTCACTAAACATATTTTACAACAATTTATATAAAATATATAAAAGAAGACATTTAATATTTTTTATATATGTTTTTAAAATTAATGAAATTTGACATCTGATTTGGATTTCTTCTCACTACTGTGTGGTAGGTAGTACCACGTGACAAGAAGTTGAAAACCAAACACGACTTATTTTATAAAGTTAAAGTAATTTTTTTTAAGTTAATGATTAAAATAATAAGTGCTTATAATTTGAAATATTTAAATGAATATTTATTTGTTTATCAATTTTAATTTTGAATATCATTTTAAATTTTTAACCCGTGACATCGATGAATATGAAGTGTATCGGTTTTGTTAATTCATTTTCTATTTTTGTTTATTTTTAAATTTATATCTCTTTATTTAACCATATTTAATATAATAAATATTCATTATTAATGATAAACATGTATTATTATTTACTTTATTTTTATTTATAATTTCATTTAAATTCTAATTTAAAATTCAATTATTTTTATCATAAATTATTTTGAAATGAAATTGAACAATATAATCCTCCACTACTGTTCAACCAGTGTGTTTATAAAGAAAAAGCAAAGCATAACATTCAACTATGGAGGCTTCTATTTATTATTTAGGCAGACATTCAACGATGGAAGTTTCTGTTTGACCGCCATTATTATGTTATACCGCAGTTGACATCTCTTCCAACCCCAAGCACACTGGTGCAGAGAATAAACTTAAACACAATAGTTGTTCTTATTGGAAAATATATAATCATAAAAATTGTTTATTTATCTATTTTACATTTCCTCTTAATAATGAAGTTAATTTATCATATATAGGTTTTATAATAATTTTTTATATTTAATATGCCTTGACGCCATGAATGAGCTCCAAGTTCAATAAAAGTTTATTATATCCTTTCTTGTTAAAAGGATTTAGCTCGCATTTTACAAAAGCAAAAGTAAAAGTTTAAAAATTAAAACATATTCTTTTAATATTTTTTTTCTACTTATCGAGCTACTAAAGTCAAAAAAGTTAGTTAACGAGACGAGGAAAAATAAGGTCATAGGCCTCTTCCCTAAAAAAAATGGAACAAGAGTAGGAGGAGAAGATATAATGGGATGAAATCTTTAACTATAATCATGAACAATACTAGCAAAATAATTCACCCTCCCCGATTTGCTTATTTAAAGATATAAAACATGTCAACTATATTAAGCATCTTGACAAGGTCATAAAAGTTTTTAACAAGAGAAAAATAATTATGAGAGGTGTCATAACCAAAACTTGGCGAGATGCACCACTACCTTAAAATCTATCTCAATTATAATAAGTTGGAGATTGCAAGTCTGATAAATTTGAGACATTCAAGAAAACTCCAAAGTTCTGCTTTAATTATAGAGCATGTATTAATCTTGCAAACAAACTTATACATAAATTTACCTTGATCATCATGGATAACTCCACAAATAACTTTAAGAAGAGAACTAAAAACTAAACAATTAATATTGAGCTTTAAGAGGCCAATAATAAAGATACTTTAAGAAATAAGAGTCTCAAATTTGAAAGATCTGTTTAAAATCTTTTTAAAAGAACGGTTAAAAAAGATCTTTTAAATTGTTTTTAATTTTATATATATTTTTAATTAAATCAATCCTTTATTATTTAAAACATCGTTTTGCTTTTGAACAAATTGAATCATTTACCAGCGGTCAAAAAAAAGATTAATAAGACGTTATTCTAAACTATAAATTAAATTTATGTATTAGATTGGATTCATTTTTCTTTATGATAAAACTGTTAAAATTTATTACATTAATTAAAAACGTGAGTAGGTTGATTATATATATATATATATATATATATATATATATTATTTTATTTTTGTAAGAGTTGAAAACTAATTTTCTTCTAACAATAAAAAAACATTTGATAAAATATTTTTTAAAAATACCAAGAGAAAAACGCAGAATATATACTCATAGGAAGGAATTTCATTGCCTAAAATTACTTGAAAGAGACATTTTAATTATCAATTAAAAGTAACAATTAATATTACAGACATCTATATAATAAATAAAATATGTAATCATTAATTTTTCTTTATAGTTTATCAGCAAATAAAATATAAAAGGCTCTTCATTTTAATTAACCATGTCCAAAATAAAAAATAGGTTTAATTATATTTTATCTCTCTAATCTAGATTTTGTTTAATTTTAGTGTTTTAAGTTTCTTTTAAGCTGATTAAATTTTCTTACTTTTAAATTTTAGTCCTCTCTCATTTTTTTTAATCCAGAAACTCTTAAATTTCCATTTTTTACTTAATAACTTTAAAAATTGGAATGATAAAGTGTCTTCTATTTAAAACTGACTAACCAAAAAGACTAAGTGTGTGTTTATTTGAAATTATTTCTATTAATTATGGAGAAAAATTGAAAACAAATACTATTTATTATTGTCTGGAAATTAAAAAAAAAACTATAAAATTTCTAACATTTATTTATAAAAAACAACTTATTTAAGATAAACAAAATTTTGGAGTTTGTAATTAAAAGTTATCAACTTTTTTTTTTGTAAACTTATATTTTTTATAATTTATCCTTATTAATTAATAATTTTAAATACAAAACAAACTACTATGGATAATTTATAAAATTTTAAATTTAATATAAAAATAATTATTTTATATAATTCAAACACAGAACTTATTTTATATAATCAATTATTGAAATAATATATATTTTTAATTATATAGTTCATATACACACTAAATTTGTATAATTTTAAAACTAAAAATCAATTAACTATACTTGCCACACTAGAGTAAAAGAATTACGTACCTTTGAGCATAACATGTTTTAAAACTCATTAAAAGTACGTTAAAATACATTTTAAACAAAAAAAAAAAATCGCAATTTATAGTATTTAAATAGATCAATGAATTTGACGGCTATACAAACAGTGGTATTGTCTAAAAAAATGTCTTTTGCTTGCTCATTTTGTGACGATAAAATGAAAATGATAAGAAATTTATATGGAGAGAGTTATATGATCCTTTGAAGAAATTATAAATAAATATTATAAAAAACACTGTCGAAGTAGAAAGATCATATTACTTTAGTTTTTCAAAATAAAAAAAAAACGAAAACATATTCTAAAAATATATTAATAAAAAAATTCAAATGCAAAATAAAAGCGACATCAAAATTATTTTCTAAATAAAAAAATAGAATATTGTAAAATTTAATAATTATTTGAGTTGATTTTATTTGATATGTTATTATAATATATATGTGCACTTCAGATTTAGCTTTATATACATAATTCAATACTCGTGAATGATTTTTTTTTTCGGTATAGTGTTTGAATTGTTTAAATGACTGATCCGTTTTCCGTTATTGTATTTACATAATTGTTAACGGATCGAGTTCCCAAAGGTCCATTCACGAAAGAAGCAATATTGGATCGAGGTCTACTCGGGTCGAGTTTCATTGCAACTACAAGACCCGATCCAGAAGTAAGTTCGCCCCCCCCCCAAAAAAAAGATATATATATATATATATATATATATACATTTAAATATATTTATATATTTTAAAAATATTAATACATATATAATTAAATAATTTATAATAAAAAATATTTTTAGTGCATTAAAGTTTGTTTGTTTTTAATTTTCCTACACCTTTTTTTATATTATCTTTGTCGCTATTATAATACTCATTATCACATATTTTTAAAAATAATATTTGCTTCTATTTTGGTATGCATATAATGAGTAACAAATTTGATTTTTGTACCTATATCAGTTGAGATGTCGCACTCTGATTTAGATTAATTTTGAGGTAAAAGTCATCTAAACTGATAGTATATAATTTTTTCAGTGACATTCTTTTAATTGAAGAGACAATACTTACTAAACAGAGAGATAAACATGCAATAAATATAAGCAAATAGTTAAAAATATTAAATCTCATTATAAATCACACTGTCTAAATTATAAATCACAAGTCAATTTTTTAAAAATTCAATAAAACACATTCTACGGTAGTGTTTATATAATAATAAAATTAATTAATATAAATTTAATTAATTACGAATTAAAAATTAAATTGACCTACAATAAAACGAGATTATTTAAATTAATTTACAAAAAAATTGTCTACATATATCAAATGGAAGTTGTTTTTTTTTTTGAGAGACTAAAAAAGAACAAGTACTGACCATTGTATCCATAATAAATGGACAAAATTTAAATATAAAACCCATTTGATCTTTTGAAGAATTAACGCACTCTTATTATAGTTTTTTTCAATGCATTCTTAATTTGATTTCCGATAATAATTATTTTATTTGTTATTCGTTAAATAAGATATTTGTTGAGAATAATATTCATACACTGGCCAATAGAAACAGATAGATAAACAAATGGTAATATAAGTTATAGAACTTGAATATCATAAGAACTTTCAAGCTGCACACAGTTAAGGTACAGTGAAAGTACGGGAAAGACTCTCTTGATAACGACACGAGAACAATTGACTATTTAACAGAAAGACAAAAGTACAAATTCTAGACCAACACACAAGACGCTCTGGTAATGGTTTTATTGATTTGAGTGAAGACAGAAGTAGTTTATTGCAAACAATGCATTCCCTGCATTTCAGACAAACGCATTCAAATAGTTGTCCACAGTAGTGTGTTTCACCTCAGGATAAAGTTCGGAACCTTCCACACCGAAAGAAGGTTCAATCTCAAAATTTGTACAATCTCCCTTTATCATCATTGAGTGGCCTAATGCAAACATCAAATTCACTGGGAAAGGAGACTCTGCCAAGATTAAAAACAAAATCTCAACGTAAATACGAGATATATACATTTTAAATATATGTTGAAATACTTCAAGAGCCATCAGTTAACCATTTAAATATCAATCAATGAGTCTGTTGTTTGGATGTTATTAGCTACTTATTTTAAACAAAAATTGAATTTTATTGTAAGTGGGGAGCATTTTACACTTTTCATGCCCAATGAGCTTTGGCGTGAGGGAGTATCTAGATATAAAAAACAAATCGTTCACACGTTCACCTAACATCTTAATCCTTTGGGTGTCAACCTTTTTTGTAGTATATTAGTTTCTTTTGCTCATGACAAAAGAAAAAAAAAATATAAGATGGGTATGTTTAAACGTTTCTATCATTGAATAGAACTCATCCTCAAGTTGTTTTAAAAACTCGAGAAAAACAAGACCTACTCTAAACTAGTGGCATGATCAAATAATTTTATATGTTGTACTTGTGACGGTAAAAAAGTCATAAATGAGTGACACACTGACCTTGGATGCTCTTAAGAAGTTGATCTTCTGGAACGTAGATTTTCTCAAGGGTGCCCTTAATCTTGTTCTCCCACAAGGATACGAGCTCGTTGAAGGTCAAAACATTGCCAGGGGGTCTTAGGTATACAGTTTTGTTCAAGGTTCTTGGGTCGTCCACAGCTTTAATGGTATAAGCTCCAATATCTTCCTCCCTAACATAAACAACTGAAATAAGGATTCAAACGCATGTCAGCAGGACGGGAGTGGGTTGTATACTTCCTTATTAATGTTTATTAGATTTATTACAAGTTAATAGATTAAAAATATAAATTATAAAATAATATATAATAAATTTTTATCTCATCACAATATAAGAAAAATGTAATATTTTAAATATTGAATAAAATAATATATTTTATGTGTAATATTTTAAATATACAGCAACAAGAATCAAGCCTTAATGTTTGTAAAAGAACTAAGCAATTGAACTGGATGTCTAGTATCTTTTACGTGTAGGAAAAAAAATGATTGTAAAAGATTAATTTGGTACCTTTGACATTTCCATCTCCAAGAATGACTACCTTATCCCGGGGAGGAGCTGTGACATTTTGTTGTCCCAGTGTAGGCAAAAAGTAACCAGCAAAAGCATTTGAACAGAAATAAGTGTAAGGGATTCCTGCAGCTTCAATTGCCCTTCGGACATTTACTTTTCTCTGGAAAAAGCTAGCCACTGGCTCAACTGCATGATGACGCTCCACGTCGAACCCAAATTCTGATGGGAGGAACCTCTGATCACAGAAGAAACACCACTTAATATGGCTAATTCAAGTATTCAACCATTTTTAACTCAGCAGAAAAGATGGCCAGTTTTGTTAAAGAAGGATTTATTAATTTGTGCACCTTAATGTTTCCAGCTTCTTTTATTGCTGCTATGATCTTTACTTGGTCATCTATCTGTGCTCCACCAACAGTAGAGATTACAACATCAACTTGCTTTATTGCCTTAACCAGGCTTTGATGATCATATAGATCACCCTATAAAATCATAGACCGAGAAAGAGGTGTTAGAATAGTTGGTTTAAACTTTGAAGCAGTTATGTGAAAGACAAATCTTAATACATGATTATATGTGTTTTTAATGTTATCTAATAAAAATTAGAGTTTCATCTTACTAAAGTAGCGTTAGCATGTACATCTATATAATATTGTATCTAAGTTTTTACCTTGTGAAAATTATAAAAAAATAAAATTTGTGATTGAAAGGGCACATACATAAACAAGAGTAACTCCTGAGGTCTTAAAGCTTTCAATAAGCTTAGACTTTTCAGGATGAGAAACCGTGCTCTCTCTAACCAAGGCAAACGTGGGGTTTCCTGCTTCTGCGCTTGCCTTAACTATGAATTTTCCAATGTAACCTGTTCCTCCAAGGACTAGGATTTTGCTCTTCGCTGCCATGGAACAAATGAACAAAGTGAAAATCAAAACAAGTAATGAGTTTGTTAGTGTGGCTGTGATGAGCAAAGGAATGGATTTCCATGGTATTTGTAGGAGAGTTTCGATCCCAACAAGAGCCTAGGCTTTCCCAATCAAAGTCAATAGTCAATATAATATTACTATAAAAACTGCTACCAATCTCATCAATTGTATGCATTCGTCGACTTTCATTACCCTGATCGTGATATGTGAATTCCTTAAACTAATTGCCTTTTAATAAAATAATTAAAAGTTTAATGTGCTCTTATTTTTATTTAGGCAGTGTTTGACAAAGTAGGATAGGAATCGGTCCAGAATTCTAATTAATTATCAATATACTCATTAAAAATATTACATTAATGATATATGAAGTATTGCAGTGGTTTGTTTTCCTTGTCTCCTTCATTTTACTCCTTATACTATCATTTAATATTATGGGTAAGATGCTTAAGTTGCAGTATTTTACTATTTTTAAGTTGTTCAAATTTGACGCTGATTTGGTCCTTGCAAAGAATAACATCAATTATTTCACTCAAAAAAACGTAATCACTATGTCATAACTTACGCTAACAAATAAAGGTCTATTTAAAAAAATACTACAGTTAAATTTTTTTAAAATGATGCTAAAAAATATTTGAAAGTGTATTATTAAAATAGTGTAAACATAATTTGATAAAGCATCTGCTCCTCCTCATACATAGAAGTTAATTGAAATTTGTGAATTGGTAAAAGGGGAAAGAAAAGTAGCAAAACTTGTCTCAAAACTACAGGCAAACGCACATAGAATGAGACATATATAGTGTTACTAAGGTCATCAGCGCAATCCAACTAACCAAAGCCGCCATGGCGCATACAATTGCCTAATTTTTGCAAGCAAAATAAAATTTGCTAACTATTGCACTTTTCAAATAATTAAAAGGCCAATTAGTGTAAAGCAGCATTTACATCAGAAAAGTCACCGCTACTTGCCATAAAGTGTGAATTAGGAATTAGGATTAGATTAATTATAAAAATATTTTAACAATTGATTGTAGATAGAAATTAGAATTGATTAGTAGTATTATAATCAATTGTATCAAATACATATTATATTTACATATAAATTTCAATTTTACTTGTTACTAGTATAAGATTTTCATATAGTTTATAAATTAAAGTATATGATAAATATGACTTTTAAATTTATCATACAAATTTATATTTTTTGTTGATACGAAATTTTTTAATTAAGTATTGTATAAAAAATCTTTAAATTCTGAATGAGCTATAATTAATTTTTTAAATGTATTAGATAAAAAATAATTTCAAGATAAAATTTTGTTTAATTTTTTAAAGCGAAACTTTTTTTATAATAAAATTAAAAAAGAGTATGAAATTATTTGCAATAGTTGATTTTTCATTTAAAATAATCAATTGTTAGGAATAAAAGAGGAATGTAAAAGTTGCCTGAAATATTATCTATATTAATTTTTAATCATAATCATTACAACCTTGCTTATTAAAAAGAAATTTTTTGTTCTAAACAAATCTAACATTATAATATTATTTATACTAATATTACCAAGCGGAAGAAAACAAGATTATTAACAATATTTTATTGAAATAAATAATAATATCTAAAAATAATCTAACCAAAACACATCCTTAATAATCGAAAACTTATATCAATATAAACACTACAAATCTCCTTCAGCTTTGCCAATATTTAGAAGTGTTCCATGAATTGGATTAACTTAATAAATTTGACAAACCGAACCAAATCAATTAAATTAGTTATTTTTTAAAACAATTACAACTAACCTGAACCGGACTATGATATAATTTGATAATTTCAATATTATAACATGGTAAATTAACATAAAGTTAATATATTAATTATTTAAAAATATAAAGTTTCCCTTCCCTTTTCTTAAAACCTCTCCCAAATAATCTCTTAAATAAATTATCTAAGCAAAAGTTCTAAGGGTGTAGATAATTGGTCTCAAAACATTCTGTCCTGAAGCATCTCTTCCTTCCTTAAGGACTTGTCTCAAAAGTTGTACATATTAAATAATTTTTATTTTATTTTCATAGGATTCAGCTTTATCGTATAAATAATAGATATTCACAATGACAGAAACAAAGCCACTAAAACCGAGTAATTATCGAAGACTTGTTTTAAGAAAATGGAAAGCTCATTCAGAAGCATCTATTGAGCGGTAGGACCTTGTCACTTTCTTTCATGTGTTTATTATTATTTGCATTCATTTATTTTATATAAAATGCTCCTATTAATAATATGATTATAAAAAATAAAATATTAATTTTAAACAAAAATAGCACATAAGAATGACAACAATACTATTTTTCATCCCTCCAGTCGAGAAATACAACGGAATGCAGCAGCAATGTATATTTTGATTTAATAGTTTAGAAAATAAAATTAATATTTATACCCAAATTTTTTTTAAAAACCCAATGAAAATACCTTTGGTGATTTTGTTGCGACAGGAAATATAAGTAGCCGTAAGGCCAACGACAAAGAGAGCAACTAGGCCACCTAGCAGTACTTCTGGATTCAGGTTCTCAGCAAATGTCATTCTGAATGGCACTTCCAAATGCTGCTTAAAACCTTACTAATCCACAACTGCCCTTTATATGTGCACAAACTCAGGGGTATATATGGTAAGATTTGAGAAATCAAAACAAAAATAAATCTTAATTATATAACTATAAACTCTATGATTAAGATGTACTATATTTCCATTTCTTTAACCGATTAATTCTTTTCTTCTTGTCATGATGCTCATGAAATGAAGCATAGAATAATTCCAAACCTCCTGCACATTACAAAGGATAGAAATTAAAAAATTGTAAAAAACATAGATGAAAGCATAGAAGTTAATAAAATTATAAACATCTTGGCACCAAGAAAAATATTAAAAATCTAAAAAAGTATACATGCATATCATCAATTTTTACCATTGTTAGAGAAGAAAGGAAAGAAATAACAACTTTCAAGTGTAGATCACTGTAATGCAATTTAAAACTTTAAAATAAGAGGAATAAGAGCCTATCTCCTTATAAACTTCTCAGTTTACTCATATCCTAATTCATTTTAATTTTATTCACATTTAATATCAACACATTTAACCTTCTATTCTTTCATCCAGACACCTATACTGCAATCTTACTTTGTTGGATTAATGCGACTCGTCAACAACTGCAGAAAATAACATTAATGGAAAGAATTATTTTAGTGTGTTAACAACATAGTTGTGAAATTAATAGACTTGAAAAATTATAGCATAAGCAAATTTTGAAACTTTTACACCCCATAAACTTGAATATAGTCAGTAGATTTAAGTCTAAATCGAAACAAAAGAATTGCTGAAGTGCAAGACATTCCTTCGACTTTTATTACCCTTCAAATTTTGACTTTTTTCTTTCCGCATAAAGTTGGTCATTGGCTTCATTCTTACAATCCACATCAGTACCAGATTCTGATGAGGGAAACCTCTGATTTTAGATAAATTAAGCAGCTCTTACTAATTCAACCATTTTAAGTAACTAGACAAAAAGAAGAGCAGCGCCAGTTTCAAATATTGGTTATCTTTGTAAAAATAAAGCTTATGCATGCATGCTCTTTGATATTTCCAGCTTCTTTATTCCTGCTTTGATGGTAATTCCCTCGCTTGTCGTTGTGTACTCCTACAATAGAAATTTGAAATTACATCATCAACTTGCTCCATTGCCTAAAAAACAAGGCTTCCCTAATTAGTTAGATCATCCTTTAACAAATTTCAAAATGAGACCCTTTTAAAATAAGTTGCTATAATAATTCATATTTATCTTTCAAGTTATGTGAAATACACATTATTTATAAAATTATTATAATCATTTTCATTTAACCGTTTAATTGCAACTGACAATAAATAGCTAATATATACATTTTCGTCTTATTTAATTGATCATGTCAATTAGCGTGTGATTTTGTTCTTTTTAATTTCTTTCTAAACTTTTGATTCTCAAAATAATTAATCTAAGTGTTTCGCTATTGAGAGGTCCACTGTTGTTAAGTTCTCCGCTTATCTTATAGACAACAACAATATTGCTGTGAGCTATCAAATAGAACAAATAAAACGTTGAAAGATGAAAAAAATAAAATAAAATAGGCTACAATCATTTTAGTATTATCTTAATTAGAACTCGAGAGTATTTGTTATGCCTATAGAAAGGTAATGGTTTTTGGAGTTTACCGTTAAAAATGTTAAATGATAAAATATATCTTTCAATTAAAATTGATTGTATGAAAAAATCAATTAATGATTAAAAAATCTAATTAAGAAATAAAATAACGAATGAAAAATTTCTTTTTTTTTGTTAAATTCACTATAAAGGTGAACAAAGATGGTGTGACTAAAGGTAATATTGGTATAACAGGATGCAAACTTATTAGAAATCATACTCAAAGGGTAATTTAAAGGCTGTGATTAATCTCTTTCAGAATCATATGGCAAGTAATGTTATCCACAACAGTTTAGTTAAGAGAATTATGGAGGTTAACTAATACTATTAGTGTTCAGAACACATTTACAGAAAAAAGAAATTTCGATTCTGATTGTATGACTAATATAAATCTTTGATGGTACTTTTAAATATATTTTTTACGATACTATGAGGAAATATTATATATATTTTTTAGATCAAGGTTGTTATTTTTTTAATATTTTAAAAATTAAAAAAATTATATATTTTTTAAATACTAACTTCAATGTAAAATTAACTATTATGAAATACTCTCTCATTTTACACATTATCGTGGATTTTTTTTTTTTTTAAATCAACTCCCAATAACTAAGTTGAAAATATTGCTTAATAATAACTATGAGTATGGGCAAATCTTCTTAAGAGTGGGAGGGGCCACAACTCCTCCAAAACTTATAAATCTTTTAATAATTATAATATATATATATATATATATATATATATATATATTACTAGTTTTACATATTACAACTAATTGATAAGATAAGACGTGAAACAAATATATATACTTTTATAGAATAAAGTGAATTGTGACAATGCTACTCATTTTAATTTTAAAAGTTAAAAAGCTTTTTATACATAAAGCAAATAATACATAAGTGAGAGAGAAGAAACTTATTTAAGAAAAAACTTTTTAGCTTTTCCTTCCATGATTTTGTTTATGCTAGACATAGTTGTACATTGTTTGCAAATTGTAACTTTAGCTACTGCAAAAAATGTGCATTTTTTTTATTATTTACTTTCAATTATCAAACTTATTTATGAGTCATAAGTTGAAATTGTCTATAAACTACAACAATAAAGTGCATTCTTTTTTTTTTATCATTTACGTAGATAAAACTTCTATTTGTCTAAAATAATAAAAATATATATATACACTAATAATTTTTCTATAATTTTTATTTTTACAAAATATATGTTATTATTACTATTTCATTATTGATTTATTGTATTAATTTTTACCTTGTAGTGATTTTGTTGATTAATATTGTTATTTTTTTGAGTTTTAAAAGTTTGAATAATATAAATATTAGACTCATTTATATAAATAAAAATTAGTGTGTTGATTTATATTGAAAAAGAGATAGCTGAAATAATGTAAAGATTGTGAAATAAAATGGAGGATAAATTTTTAACAGGTATTATGTTAATTCATATTAAAAAAGAGATAATTGAAATTTTTAACTTTAATTTAATTATTAATAACTTCAAGTCTCAAAAGAATAAAGAATGACATCTTTAATATAGGTAAACTTAATTTTTTTTATATTTATTACTATTTTGTATTAATATATTATTTTTAAATTCTACTTAAAAAATATAAATTTTAATTAAATTATTTGATTAATATTTATGACTTTTCTTAAATTTTTAGTCAAAATTCGTGACTGACTATGAGATTATTATACCCGTATAGATAATGGATAATTTTGAATCTTAACTTTATTGAATATATATATATATATATATATATATATATATATATATAAATAAAAAAGTAAGAGTACAGTTTTAATTTTAATTAATAACATAAAAAATTTAAAAATAAAATTCCAACAGTACGAATTAGTGCACATCATCAAAACGTGTCACCATAATGTGAAGCAAAAAGCAGAAGAGTATATTAAAACGTGACTCATGTTAACGTGTAACTCACATTAATGTACATAAAAAACATATAAAATTAAGGAATAATATCATGAATATTTTTTGTGTTTTTTAATTTAATAAAATGTAAGAACATTAAATTCACATTTTTTTATTAATCAGTCAATAAATAAATAACACTTAAAAATAACATATAAAATTTTATAGTTCAACAATAATTAAAGGAATTCTGTTATATCTTTTTATAAATATTAATATTTTTTCAAAGATATACACATATTTACTATTTTTATTTTTATTTAATAATTAAAAATATATACATAGAAAGTTTAAAATTAAAAATGATTCTATCGAAAACTAATTTCTTACATTATATAAAATCTTTGAGTAAGATTGATTTGTGGAATTCAAAATAATTTGAGGAGAATGTGAATGAATTATGTGGCTCATAGGTGAAGAAAACAAAGGCTTAGTTCAGTTAGCATTGGATGTAAATTCTGAGCACTTGGCTTCACCGTATTGTATCAATAATGGAAGCCCAACTGAGAGCGTTTAATCCCTTCATTTTGCGTCGTCACATACTCTGCAAATCCACCTCACACCCTTCCCTTTCCTACCAGCGCGTCACTCACAGGGTACCCATCTCCTCCACTCTCACCCACTCGCCGATTCCTCCAAGTTGGGATCCCCGCACCTTCTTCTTCTCCTCCCTCACCTCTTCCCAAAACCTCAATTTTTCTACCCCATCCTCCAACAATCTCAACCCATTTCTTTCTCACTCCCAAGGTGGTGGCTTTGTCTGGAACCCCGCTTCAGAGACCGGAAACGCCCGGCTTTACGGAGGCAAAGGCCGTGTTGCCACGGTGGTTTTGTTGGGGTGGCTTGGAGCCAGGACGAAGCACCTCAAGAGGTACGTTGAGTGGTACAATTCGCGTGGATTTCACGCGGTCACTTTCGTCGTGGACGCGAAGGAACTGCTTCGATTTGACCTTGGCCATATACTCGAGAGCCGAATCTCTCTGTTCGCCCACCACCTCGTTTCTTGGGTATCTCGTCCTGAACATGATGGCAGAGAACGCTGTTTGCTTTTTCACACTTTCAGCAACACGGGCTGGTTTATGTATGTCGATTCGTTCGTGATTATATATGCTATGCTCTTTCGCAATGCATCTTCATTTTTTGCTGTAAATATTGTTAGGTGATTTTTTATTTTTATTTTGTAGCTATGGTTCCATTCTTGGGAAAATGCTGGGTAGCGAGGATCTCATGGAGAAAATTAAGGGATGCATTGTTGATTCGGGAGGGGGAGAGCCTTTTAATCCAAAGGTTTTGAATTGCAATTGTTCTACTTTAATATTGTTTGATTGTTGTATCCTTTGCTTGACTTGAGAGAGGGCATGCAACAGAAATGCTGTTTAAAAAGATTACATTTTGGAGTACATTTGTGATTGTGTTTTGTTTGCTCTTGAATTTGTTAGAAGTTCTCATTGGTTTTAGGACTAGCGCTTCTACTAGCTCTTTAGTTTCCCTTGTACCGTTTTATGCTAGAAGGAGGATTGTGTTTTTGTGTGTAAAACAAAGTGGATCATCACTCACACCATCAGTGTGGAATGCATTAATTTTGTCTAACTATGGAAATAATCTACTTTACTTTTGATTGTTATGTGAGGCTTTTTTTTGTGTTTCCCCTTCCATTGGTCTAATTGTTAAAAACAGGATGGAATGCAGTGAAATATGATGGAATGAATTGTATCAAATTCCATCCAATACCCTTTTTTTTCTTCCCCTCTAATTTGAGGGGCAAGGAATGGAATCATTATTTTTCCTGTTCCATAATAAAAATAGTCATAAAATAGAATGATAATTTTGTTTCATTCCATTCCACTACACTCCATTATGTTCCATACCATTTCATTATTTCATTCCGATCCACTTACCATTAAATATCTAAACATAGCCTTAAGTCGTTTTTGTTTAGATTTGTTGTTTATTGTTGGCTGATAATTCCTTGGATTATAACTATCAAATTGTTCTCTCACTCTTGTTTTCTCTGTCAATATGGGGAACCTTCATCTTTATATTGTAGGTCTGGGCTGCTGGCTTTTCTGCTGCTATATTAAAGAAACGAAGTTCTTTAGCCCAACCTGTAGTTGAGGTAGAAGACAAGCATACATCAGAGACTGAAGTTAACTTGTCAAAGATTCAACAAAACGAACCTTCGACAGTTGAAATGATGGTCTTATCACTATTAGAGAAGCTATTCTCATTTGTTTTGCAGCTGCCAGATGTGAATCAGTAAGTGTCTTCCCTTCGATTATGTTCCTTTATAATTCTTGTTGCATGTAAAGCAGCCTCGTTTAATTTTGTTAATGGAAACTCGTATATACTTCAAAATGATAGGTGTTAAGCACATTTTTGCTGTCTTAAATGCAGGAGATTAACAAAGATTGTCAATGTCCTCTCAAAACACCAGTCTTGCCCTCAGCTTTACTTGTACAGTACGGCTGACAAAGTAGTCCCATTTCAATCAATAGAAGGGTTCATTGAGGAGCAGAGGAAGATGGGAAGGAGAGTAAGGTCCTTCAACTTCGGCTCATCTCCCCACGTGGATCATTATAGGACATTTCCGGACGTCTATTTATCACAGCTTACTGAATTCTTGAATGAATGTTTTGCTGTAAGCCAAACGATCACTAACAACTCTTAAGTGACCCTTAGAAGTGCATTGTATTAGTTTTCCGAGAGGACAAGCCATTCACTCTCACAAGGTCAGGGAGGGAAATGAGTAGCGGCTTTGATAATACATTAACTTGCAGACAGTATTAGAATAATTCTTTTGATGATTGTTACAAAGATTAAATGACTAAGAGATATTGAACATGGCCTAATGGTGAGGCATTAGGTGCTACTCTTGTTAGATTGATCAAGAAGTCTGTCTACATGAAGCCAAAATTGCCTGCCCCGACTTCAAGCATATTGCTTCACATATGTCGCTTCTAGGTGAGGGCTGTGCATTAGTTTGGACCAACTTAAACACAATATCAAACCAATGATGTTGGTTTGGTTTTGTTTATATTTTTGAGATTTGAAATTGAATGCCCAATTATTTGAATCAATCAACCTGATTTTGATCGTCCTTTACTCCATTTATATGTATGCACAATATCTCGTCATTTTGATTAAAAGGGATTATTATTGAACTAATAACTCATTTTTTTTCTGCTTTTATTTTACTTATATATACACGATATGACATTGTTTTGGCTATAAGGAAAATCATTTGGATCAATCAACATAAACACCATTTAAAGAGTAAAAAATATTCAATTGGTTCAATATAAGCAAAACATGGCTTTATGGAACATTTTTAAAAGTAGGATGAACCTTGACAGTTGGAACAGTGGTCTTACTTAATACGGGAACTAAAAATTGCCAGATATGGTCATGTTTTGTTTCATACTCTCAATAAGTTGGGTATGGAGCCACTTTCAGGTTTCAATCATGTTCTAACAGGAGCAGGTATACGCCAAAGGAAAACATTTTATACATTATTCAGAGTAGATATTTAAAAGTACTTTTATATATTTAAAATGTATGTGCATATAATAATACTCTGTCCAGTCTTTTTTTATAAATTACCTTCTAGAAGGTTTTAAAATTTTTTTATAAGGTACTTATTTTTGATAAATTATTTATTATATATTTTTTATTTGTCCTAAATAAACAGTGTTTGTGAGAAATTAAATAAAATTTAACAAAAATAAATATTGATGGTGAGGTTAGGTATAATAATAATAAATGAGGTTAGGTATAATAATAATAAATGAGGTTAAAATTGTCATGGTATGGTAATTTTAATAATTTTTAAATGAGGTTAGGTATAATAATTTTATTAGTTTGTATAATTGAGTTGAAAATTCTTTATAAATATTCAAACAAAATAATTTAGTTGGCTGGCGTAATTTATTTGAGAGTGCTTTATAAAAAATCAAGAAAATCAATAAATTTAAACTAGATAATTATATTAGGTTGTGTAATTTAATTAAAAGTGTTTCATAAAAAGATTAAAAAAGTTTTAATGAGTCGACTGATGAAACTCTAGAAAAGTAAATAATTGACAGGAGTTTCACAAAATTTGCTTCTGTCTCGCGATATTTTTAAGCATAACTTGTTTAGCCACCTCCAGAGTCACTCTCGTGGTAATCTAAAAGCAGAGTAACCATCGCAATTCTCAATTCCTTGGTTTGTTGGTTTGTCTTTATTTTATATGCTAATAGTCCATTTTATGAGTGCAATGTAGCTGTACTAACTTGAACATGGATCTGGACATCCATGTTGTCTCCATACGTGATTTCTTTTCACTGCATTATATTTTCAATGTTATAACTTATGTACTCCATTTATAAAATCGATCAAACGTTATATTACTGTACCAAAAACTATTGCTACTTGCTATCGCTGTTGTATGTTTGGATATACGGAGAAAGAACTGGGAGGTAAGTATGGAGGTGGATTTCTTAATAGTATGAGTTTATAGTATAAAAAAATTACAAACAAATTGTGTATATTGATAATTTGTATTCAACTTATTCGTATGATGTAATATTTTGTAAAATGCTTTCTTAAAAGTGGGACAGAAAAAATAAAATTAGATATCCATAAATAATTTAAAAAATATGACGCAATTATTGATTTCTGTTTATTTAGTGAACGGTTTAAAGTTCAAAAACCCTTATTTTGGTCCAAAATTTAAATATTTGGGTTGGTATGACATTTGAGTATTGAAAGATGGAAGGTAGTGATGAGTTTTTGGTGATCCCACGATGGCAGCTTTGGATTTGATAGTCATTGTTGAGGCGGCTGAGTTTTTCTACTTCTATCCAAACACCGGAAAAGCAGAGTCACTCTGTTTGCCCTTATCAACAAACACACAACTAACCACCCATTTACTCGACACTTGATAATGATGTATTTTGATAAGAAATACACATTTATTTTATTAATACAAAATATATATTTATTTATATAAATAAAGAATGAATACATTGTTCATGTAAATTACATTATAAATATATAAAAATATTAATAATTAACGTCCATAAATTTTTATATTTTTTTTTAGATTCTCTTCATCCCCGTCCCTTCTCGTCTCACACATAACTCCTCCTCTGTGCTTAGACGCTAAGCTATTCATTCAATGGCGGTTCACGATGACCCCATGGTCGTTCCCACCCTCTCTCCGCCCAACACCTACGAAGCCGTGGTCAACGGTGGAACCTTTGACCGATTGCACGACGGCCACCGCCTCTTCCTCACTGTCTCTCTCTGTTCCATCTCTATTATCTCTTCTCCTTTCTTTCAAAAATTTCAATTTTTCTTAAATTTGGATAATGTGAAAGGGTGAAACTTGTGTGCAGGCTTCAGCGGAGTTGGCTAGGCGCCGGATCGTAATTGGTGTTTGCGACGGCCCTATGCTGGCAAAGAAGCAGGTTATCTTTTCCATTTTTTACTTTTTATTTCTTATTTTTATGGTTTTGGAATAAAATAAAGAATTCCCTTGGTCTATTAACTGCTAAACTAATTAAACAGAAACCTGTATGTATTTTAATCTTCTTTTTAATCCGCTTAGGTGTTTGAAGAATGAATTTTTATGTAGCCACAATTATAATAGTGTTGCAGCTACAATTTTTTAGGTTTTCAACTGAATAGCTTAAACTCCACTATGCAATCCCTATTTCAGTTCAACAGAGTTGCGTTGATAGATTTCACTCTTGTGAACCAGCGGATTTTTTTTCTTCTTTTTTGTCTTTTCTTGAAGAGGAAAATTGTTGCATAGAATGACCTGCTTAGTTATATTGAAAATATTCACTTTTAGGTATTAATTCTCTCTGTTCCATCCATCTGTTCTGCTTTGGCCGGTTAAGTTTCACATTTGTTGACAATTCAAGTCATAGTCTAATGCTGAAGTCTGAACTTTGCTTTTATTTTCAAGAGTCATATTCTGTTGCTGAACCCTTACCAACTTCAGTCTATTTGCAGTAAATTAATTTTATTGTGGATGAAATTGACAAAGGAGCCCAAATCGTTTATAAGAGTATTTTATTGTTGAAAATAAGGTCAATATGTACCAGTTAGTTTGCAGAATTTCAAACAGTCAAACTGAATTTAGCCGAGAACACTATTGAGTGCTACAGACGAAATGCTTCAAGTGTTCTGCTCTTAAAATTCACTGATCAGATTTTTCATCTCTATCAAAAATATCTCTAGCAATTTGGGAGCTAGCTAAATTTAAGCCCTTGTGCTAATTGATCTTGTTAGTTGAAGATTTTCGCCACATGCTGAAGATCACCTTATTTCTGCATGACAATCTAGTGGCTTGTGGATTCTTATACATAAAGGAGCCCCTTTCTATCTTTGTGTGCTACTCTAATGTTTGAATTTGAAATTTTACTTATATGATCCTTCTACTACTTTTGCAGTTTGCTGAGCTGATACAGCCCATTGAGGAACGGATGCATAATGTTGAAACATTCATTAAGGTACTAGTCCAAGCAATGACAGTTTGTCTTCTGCTCTAAATATATGATTTATGAAAAGAATCTCCTTTGTTTTGTTGTTTTTTATTTAAAAAATTATTTATAATTGTTTACTAGAATACTTGAAGCTTTCATTTTTGCATGTTAATGTAGAACATGAGTGGTGGATTGTAAACATCTTTTATCATCTTTTTGACAACAACATATATTTTCAAGTAGCATTATATAAAACCATTTTTTGTGTCTTGAACTAATAGCTTAAGCTTTTTGAATAGTTCTATGGCCAAATGGTTCAATCTTGCTGCTCTAATTCTTCTACTAAAAGCTTGAATTGAAGCTCAAGATAGATGGGCCCCTTCACTCTTCACACACAAGGTAGATGAGCCCATGCATTATTCATGCTTCAAGTCTAAAGGGTTTCATTTGTGAGGGGGCATGTTAGAGTGATCGAACACAAATTTAAAATAGATAGAAATAGGATTAAATCATACCAGATTACATGAATTATAACAATCTCCTGCTATCTCAGAGTTTAAGAACTCCTACAAAGATTATCTCTATCTAACACATGATAAAAGTGCCCCCCTAGCACAACCACACCAATGCAAATGAAAATGAACTACCGTTCCTTATAGGCACAGTTACGTAGCAGTTATTAAAACCAAGTCTGAACATGGCAGTTATTAAAACTGTAGTAATTTTTAAAACTAAATCCCATATTTCCTAGTTCCAAATTATTGGTCTCTGTTGTTGGTTTGACTCCTTATCATAGAGTTATGATATAAAACCTTTCATTTGTCTTCATCCACTAACTTGAGCTTTTCGGAATAGTTGGTTCATAACATTATGTCAGTGAATAGGTGAGAAAATAAATGATATATTAATCTGTGTCTTCAAACATAGTGGTCCATCAAATGTGTAGTAATTCTTTAAGCAGGATTTAAATGAAAATGCTTTTTTCTTATCAAATTTTTTATTGATATTTTTGAAACTTAAATGCAGTCTATCAAGCCAGATTTGGAAGTGCAAGCTGTACCAATCACAGATCCGTTTGGCCCTTCCATTATAGATGAAAATTTGGAGGCTGTGATAGTAAGGTTGGTAATAAGGCGACCTCGTGTCTGTGCCATCTTACTATTTGGTAGTAGTATGAAGCGTGCATTCGATTATATATCCATAGACAGCATATAAAAAGTAACTTATGATTATCTCATTCCTATTGGCTGCTTTCAACTATCGGCGTTCATGATAATTAAAGTGTTGTTTTGGCAGCAAACTTAACTGGGTATCTTCTTTTATTCCTTGGTCCACTGTTGCCATGATTTTGTTATTTCTTTTCAATTCTATTTGCAGTATAAACACCTGAACAGAACTTTGTATATTTTGACTTTAAGAAGTTTCATTATTTAGTTAGTAACTTACTAGTTTTTGGTTATCTTACAGCAAAGAGACATTACCGGGTGGATTGGCAATAAACAGAAGAAGAGCTGAAAGAGGCCTTTCACAGTTGAAGGTCTCAATTTATTGTTTATGTGATTTGGTTATAATCTATGATATAAAAAAATTGGGGAAATGTATTTCCACTTATCAAAATATTTTGACACATTAGAAATTGTTTTCGTGGATCTTATGCAGATTGAAGTTGTAGATTTGCTTTCTGGAGAATCAGGTGAAGTTAAGCTGAGTTCATCTATGTTACGAAAGCTGGAGGCTGAAAAGGCCAAACAACCAAGCACAATATCTCAGACATAGTACGAAGAATTTGTTTAACTTGTTTGTTTTTTCTTTTTAATATGTATTTAAAGATGAGTTTAAGATGTCCCTTAAAGCAATGACATGCGATTGGATGTTATGGCATTGTTTTAGAGTTTAAAAGGCAGTCAAATTCTTTCGGGAAAATATTGAAATGATGCATCGTTTTATTTTATTTTTAATGCATGCAACAAAACCATTATTAGGTTGTTAGGATAAATATGTGTTGTATATGTTTTTGATATTTTCCATATTTTTCAAATTGCAATAAATTAAAATTTGAAGCAGTTATTTAATTGTAAATCGCGTTATTCAAACAGATACCCTTACCTGAATTTATATAGATAATGTCAAACTAAAAACATAGAAATATAATAAATAAAATATGTAGCTATTTGTCAAAGTAAATAAATTTTCTATAAGTAAATTATAAAATATAATTGTATTTTTTTTTTATCAAATATTAGAAAATCAATGTTCAAGTAAATGTTGTTTCATTTAAAAAACTTCATTGTCAAAGGAAAAAAATCAATTGCTTGCTGGGTTAAAATGTCATTTTTTAAATACAAATTATTTTCATTAATATTAGTTCTATCAAAATTAATTATATTAAAATCAAAGAAAAGCGAGCAATACCAATTAAATTAATTGGTTTGGATTTCTTTTTCTTCCTTGAAAAAAATAAAATTAACCCGTGAACTGTTATTTATACTTTAAGTTTTGTCAACTTGAATGAAATTCTAGTAATATTTTTCTCGAGTTTGAGTAAAAGATTTGTTCGTTCTTTTTTACTACAATTGTGTTTCAACTTTCTGCTCAAACGTTGATGGTTTAATAGACTAACACATATGCTAACATTACTTTTTAAATATTTGAAATTAGCGAATTTTTATTAAAAATTATTACATTAGAAATATAAAAATATAAAATCACATCTTTAGATAAAGTTCATTGATACTTCATAAGAGAGAATTTATTAATAAATAATAATATGCAAAAATAATTAAAATTTTGTGCAATTAATTTAGTGTATTTGAAACAAAAGAAATATTAAACAAAAACAGATTATTAACTTTGCTTTCCTTTCACTTATATTTTGAAGAAAGCAAAAACCTTCTTAAACATTCTAAAAATTGTACTAAAAAAAATTCTGATAATAATATAAAGTTAACTTTTATTTGGTCCAATTGTGTTTTCTCACTTTTAATTGCATTTCATTTACTATTATTAGATCCAATCATAGATTAAAATAGTGTTTGTTTAACCTTAGCACTTGACGGATTTAAGCTCAACATCTGTTTAGTAAGAATACTATTTTTCTTCTTCGTTTACTCATATCCAACAAGTATTTTTCTAAACACAAAAATTTCGAATTCTAACCGGTAATTATGGTCAGCTTTTTATACACAATCATTTTTAATAAATTTTTATTAAGTATAATTCATGATTAATATTTTATTTCTATTTTTAATATTCCATAGCCATCAAGGTGGAGCTCTTATAAATAATGAATTCTAATTAATATTTTTAAATATAATTTATAAGTAATTTTTTATTTTTAACATTTTATGACCATTAAATAGTTTGAAAATTTTTATCTAATTGTTTCTCATTAAATTTTTAATTACTTTTTTTATTAAATTTTAATAATTATAATTTAAGTTTATAGATAACAAGGTTATTTCGTTATAAATATAAATACGTAAAACATTAAACATGTTTTGTAGTAAATTTTACATAGATAGATAAATATAAATAAATAGATTGAGAGTCAAAAGCTCAGATTGTCATCATCTTCTCACTGAATTGTTAGCACTCTAAGAAAAAAAAAAGATAGTTGGTTTCTTCAAGGTTCAATCACACTCTTCTCTTCTTCACCCATTCAACGTTTCCTATCTTTTCAAAGTTTTACCACTCGGAAACTGCAAGACTAGTTCTTTCATTTTTTCTTTTGTGTTTTGAAAATGGCGGTTATTTTCTGGTCGCTGAGTTTGTGTTATTTTTCGTGTAGATCACTTGGAGCGTTGTTTCATGACAAAAACTTAGCGTCCATTGAGAAATTGACTCATTTCTTGAATCTGTCCAAAAGGGTATGATATTCTTCTCTTTTTCTTTTCCTCGTGACATTCACAAGCATTCCCTTGCATTACATCTTAGAGTTAGAAGTTCTCATTTCATGGATTCATGCTTTTGTTGCTTTTGCAGGTGCGTTTTTGCCAAAATTTGCAAAGATGAATGATTTGATGACAAAATCGTTCCTAAGTTATGTTGAACTGAAGAAGCAGGCAAGGAAAGACGTTGAAAACGATCTTGACATTGAATTAGGGAAACTCAACCCCACGGAAGACCATAACCTCTCTCAGTTCTTCCAAGAAGTTGAAGTAACCAAGGTTGAAATGGAAGAGATCACCAATCTCTTATGTGATCTTCAGCAACTGAATGAAGAGACAAAGTGCACACACAGTGCCAAAGTTCTACGTGGTCTAAGGGACCGCATGGAGTCTGACATGGTTGCCGTGCTTCGCAAGGCAAGGTTTATCAAGGCAAGGCTTGAGGCTCTTGACCGATCCAACATAACCAATCGCACTTTATCAGAATCCTACAAAGAGGGTACCTCCATTGATAGAACAAGATTGACTGTGACGAATGGTTTGAGGGTCAAACTTAGGGACATGATGAATGACTTTCAGTCCTTGAGAAACAAGATTCTATCGGATCACAAGGAAGATTTGAAGAGAAGGTACTATACGGTAACGGGTGAGGTTCCCACTGAGGAGATCATGGAGAAAATGATCTCAGGGAGTCTCAAAGTTGAGTTTTTGGCTGGGAAAACGGATGCTGATTTGGGCACTCAGGTTAGGCATGAGGCTGTGATGGATATCCAAAGGAGTTTGAAAAAGCTTCACCAGGTCTTTCTTGATATGGCTATTCTGGTGGAGACCCAAGGAGAAAACGTGGATAACATTGAGGATAATTTAGCCACTGCGGGTAACTTCATCCATGGGGGAACTAACAGTCTTTACTATGCCAACCAGATGAAGAAGAATAACAAAAAATGGGTCTGTTGGGTTTTTGCTGTGGGGCTGATTATACTACTGGTGTGCATTGTTTCAATGTTGTCTTCTTGACTGGTGCAATTGTGAGTAAGTGGTTTAGAGTTGAGACTGTAAAACTACTTTTCCTTCCTTTTTAGCCCGTCAATGGTTCTTGGATTGTAGGGACAGTTACTCTTAATTGATTCAAATTTGTTCTCGGGAAACTAAAGTTGGCTGAATAGAATAGATTGATAACATGCCGGTATTATTTTCTTCCTTTGTTTCACTTTTGTTGTGTTTGTTTGTCTTATTTATGCTTCCAGTGAGTTTTTCTCTCACTACCTTAAGTAGAGTGTGAAAATAGAACTACAAATAGGCAATTACTACAACGCCTTGTAATATCTTAAACTTTGTAATTTTCAAAGTCTGTCGTTATAACTGGTTAATACTGATCGAAATGGCTACCAAGTACATAGAAACACCCAAAGGAAGTCTAACATTTTGGCCTTTTCTATCTAAAACAGGATATTGTATTCCGTCTACAAATATCTTATCCCAAACTAGTGTAAACAAATTAAAGCCACTAATTTTGAACAACGTCTTCTTCTCTTTTACCCAAATCATTTCAACTTCTCTTTGGAGGATAGTTCGATTCCTTTGCACTATGATGGTGGCCATGCTGCTCCAGCAACCAAATGCGGAGCAGACCCAGGCCTTACTTGAGAAATGTTCAAATATAAAAGAATTGAAGCAGATTCATGGCCAATTGTTGAAGAAAGGCGTAATCAGGCACCAGATAACACTGAGCAAGCTTTTGGCTTCATATGCATCAATAGAGTTGGGTAACTTGGTCTATGCACGTATGGTTTTTGACAGAATAAGCTCACCAAATACTGTCATGTGGAACACCATGATCAGAGCATACTCAAATAGTAATGACCCAGAAGCAGCGGTGCTTTTGTACCATGAGATGCTCCATCATCCAGTGCCTCATAATGCTTACACTTTCCCTTTCCTCCTCAAAGCATGTTCTGCTCTCTCAGCCTTCGAAGAAACCCAACAAATCCACGCTCATATTTTCAAAAGAGGTTTTGGTTCAGAGGTTCATGCCACAAATTCCCTTCTTCATGCTTATGCAATTTCAGGCAACATACAATATGCACAAGTACTATTCAATCGGCTTCGCTCACGTGACATTGTTTCATGGAATACAATGATTGATGGATACATAAAATTTGGAAACTTAGACATGGCCAACAAGATTTTTCAAGCTATGCCAGTGAAGAATGTCATCTCTTGGACAACCATGATTGTTGGCTTTGTTAGGACATGCATGCACAAAGAAGCTCTTTCTCTTCTACAGCAAATGCTAGTTGAAGGCATCAAACCTGATAGTATAACCCTTAGCAGCTCTCTTTCAGCATGTGCAGGCCTTGGTGCATTGGAGCAAGGCGAGTGGATTCACACCTATATTGAAAAATATAAAATAAAAATAGATGCAGTTTTGGGTTGTGTTCTTATAGACATGTACGTTAAATGTGGTGAAATGGAAAAGGCCCTTTCAGTGTTCAGTAAGTTGAAAAAGAAAGGTGTCTGTGCATGGACGGCTATAATCGGTGGCTTTGCAGTGCATGGAAAGGGAAAAGAAGCTATAGATTGGTTTATCCAAATGCAGAAAGCAGGAATTAAGCCAACTTCAATTACTTTCACTGCAATACTGACTGCATGTAGTCATGCAGGACTAACTGAAGAAGGAAAGTCCCTCTTTGAGAGGATGAATGTTGTTTATAACATTAACCCTTCTATGGAACATTATGGATGCATGGTGGACCTTCTGGGTCGCGCAGGGTTGTTGGAAGAAGCAAAGGAGTTCATAGGGTCCATGCCCATAAAGCCAAATGCTACAATATGGGGAGCACTGCTCCATGCTTGCCACCTACACAAAAATTTTGAGCTTGGTAAAGAGATTGGAAAAGTTCTGATTGAATTGGACCCTGATCATGGTGGCAGGTACATTCATTTGGCAAGCGTTTATGCTGCAGCTGGAGAATGGAACCAAGCGGTCAGAGTGAGAAGCCAGATCAAACATAGGGGGCTGGTAAATCTCCCAGGATGCAGTAGCATCACTCTTAATGGGGTTGTCCACGAGTTCTTTGCTGGGGCTAGTTCCCACCCACATATCCTCGAGATATATGACATGCCTAATCTTCTTCCAAATAGATAATAGAGGAGAATGAAAATGGATTTAGCGAATATGGGACGATAGAATAATTGTTTTTCTCCCCCTGTTTGGATGTAATTAAATTGGGAGGAATGAAATGAGAAGAGGTGGTTTCCATTGCGTGGAAACTAGAGATGAAAGAAAAGGTTATTATTGGTTTATTTTTATGGTACAATCATGCAGCGTACGATCTCTCGCAAACTATCAAATGCATCACCACTAGCCTATTATTAGTGGCTTAAAAAATTATTAGTACAGGAGATACATATTGTTGGCAAATCAAAATGAAAAAAATAAAAATAAAAATGTAGAAGCGCAGTGACGATCATGCAATGCTAAGATGCTGCACAGCTGTCCAAGTTTGTTCTGGTTCTAGCTGGACACTTCCAATCTGATGCAATTATGAATAGTAGAAATTATAATTCAGAAGAATCAATAGAGAAGACTTGAAAGTCATTCAGCAATCAGGATACAGCATTACTGGAGGATGTTCAGAGGTATATTAAAAAATCACTTGTCTACATAAATTCAATAGCTTCACATTGTAGTCAAGAAAAATACAAAACCTAGCACGGTCTTTTTAGAACGTTTGAAAATTCATTACCTTGGCATTTTCAACGCAAACAAAATCTTTGTAACATGCTTCCATTTGAAGATATGGATTCCACAGCACAGCATCTGACCAACTACATGGGTAAAAGGCAAATGAGTGTAAGCAAATGACTTGGGCAAACCAAATAATAAATTTATAATAGAAGCTTAAAATTACATACTTTGTGTTCTTGATAGATATTAGATCTCCCAAGCCATTGTCGAATTGCAACTCATCGGAAGCATCAAGATAAATGCAATCCACAAATCCAGGGAAAGTGACCTCATCCCTGCATTATAAAGATTACTTTCAATTACGTTAAATTAAGAAACTTAATGCCAAGATTTGACTCTATTATTGAATGAAATTTTGGTTTTACATGAATTATATTGAGACAAAATATACATGTCCATTAGATGAAAGATGAATAATGAGAAAGAAATGTGAATTGAAAGAAACGAAAACAGAAATTGGTCACTAAATGAATGTAATGTTGCAGAATTCTAGTTTAAAATAAGGAAAAATGAGGGAAATAAAGTTGGACTTCAGGTAAATACTTGAAAATGTTAAGTTATCAGGAATGAACTAGAAAAAGCATGTTAGTTTATGTCTTGCACGGTAGAGATCATTTGAAATACTAAAAAATTAGGTAGCACCGCTTGTTCTGCAACCCCGGGACTGAGGTCAAGCAAACTTTTACGATGTTTTATTTCTATTTAAGAATTCCCAGACAAAAATTATGATACAGACCTTTCTTCCCTACCCTCTACTGGATTTTTAGGATCTGGGTCTTTGTTCAGAGATTTGCAACCTTTCAACCCCTTTACTGATGCACCACTCACAGAAGCCTGCATGACAATGCTAAAATGATTGCTTCTCCAACTTTAAGCAGCAAATGGAAGCAATGAAATTAGTTGAAAAAACTGTGTCAGACTATTGAGTAATACTAATTGATTCACAATATTATTGAAAATATAAACGCTTGTTAATAGATTGGTTGCTGAGTTTTGGTTCAGATCTCCAGCAAACCCTATAATGTTAACACTATATTTAAGCACAAATAGAAAACCTCATTTTAATTATGCCATGGTGATTATTCAAAATTATGACCTTCGTCACTTACTCGAAAATATGTGTGCAAGGCAGTACTAAATGAGAATGCCTTATTGTCTGTATTCTTAACTGTTAACTCAGTCAAAAGACTTTTAGCATTTAGCGTGACCTGTAGAAAGGAAGCACGATTTTGCAACATCATTAGGTAGCAGAACATGACAAGCACGAATACAAGTAGTTAAGCAGTATTGCAAAGGTGAACTGTGGTTGAAGAAAATAAGCATGAGGCCTAGACCTTGTATAAAGCATGGAAGCTGAAATCCCACATAGCACGACTGTAAGGAGCATCCTTCAGTTCCAGTGTTACAACAGGATTTCCTTCCACGTCTTCAGAATCAGCAACAGTCCAATCCATATTCCGTGCAAACCCATGCTGTCAAATACTCAACCAAGCAAATGATTTAAATGAAAGTGTAGTACACAACAGAAAAGAAGAGTAGTGTAGTCAAGCCATCACACCACTCGTGATTTTACTGAAGAGCAGCAAGTTTTACTAACCAAAAAAGATGTAACATTTAAGAATCAGAATAACATAGCAGTCACAGCATGACCTATTACCCAAGAAACCAATGGTAGTTCACCGATATTTCCCTCATGTTTTTGTCTTTTTTGTAAAAAGATAAAACATGAAGAGCAAAGAAATAGCATTGATACCTGCTGAATTGGACCAGGACCAAACTGAGGAAAACAATGTGGGATTCCTCCGCTGCCCCAATAGAAAATGAATCAGTGCTGGGGGATCCAAAATTAGTAAATTCCAATCCAATAAAAGAACAAAAACGATATGATTTGCATGAGATTGAACCTAATCGGTTTTTTCTTATTAAAAACAGCGTCAGGGCGAACAAAGAGGAGGTCCTTGCCATCGGGAATCTTCCAAGAGGTAATGCAACCTCCGAAGAGGTATATTTCAGCCTCACTGCACAGATTCAATTTGACGATGAAATTCGTGCGCACGCATGCTTGTGAATGGAAAAAGAGCTATAGAATCACGCACCTCCCGGCCGGTGAAGTAAGCACAAGTTTTGGCAAATTCCCCTCTCCTTCTGTAACTCTCACTCCCAAAGACGCGCTTTCTTTGCCGCCCAAACTTGCAAACGCCATTCCATGACACCTTTTTTATCACATCCAAACTTTAATAAATCAAACTACAGATCAGTTTCCATTTTCAGTTAAACGAGAAATTTAAAATTTGACTCACCTGTTGATTCGGCCAAGGTTCGGAAAGTTCGCAGTGAATGGCATGGAAACCATCGCCATTTGTTTCCAACTCACACTATTCTGCTCCCACCGCCACTAACATTTTTCTTTTCTTTTCTTTTCAGCGGAAATTCGGATATTCCGATCAGATTCGGCAAGAGAACCCGAACGGGCCCATTACTATGTTTGGCCCAATAAAGCCCGAACATGTTGAGCCCAAGATACGAATAACGAAATCCAGTAGGGAATCAGGGACAAGCGACGAAAAGAAAGAAATGTGGCGGTCACTGAAACTGGCGAGGAAGGTGAAACCGAAAGTGGTAAGTGGGGTCCATTTGAAATGGATGAGCACAGTGATGAGTTTCGGAGATGGAAGCCATGGTGCGCTTGGTCTTGGATTACCCGCCGGTGTGGAACCAGACGCATACGAGCCTACTCCTGTTCCTGCTCTACCTTCCGATATTGTTAGCGTCCATGCCGGCCATTATCACTCTCTCGCCCTCACTTCTAATGGCCACCTCTGGGCCTGGGGCAGAAACAACGAAGCCCAACTTGGCCGTGGCCTTATCTCTTGGTAAGTTAAAAAAAAAATTACTAATGTGCATACCCTACCCCTCTACCCTAAATTAATTGTTAGTAATTGATTTTGCGTAGCGGAGAAAGAGAATCATGGCACGAGCCTAAAAGAGTAGAGGGATTAGAACATGTGAATGTGTGTGCTGCTTTTGCGTCTGGGGTTGTTTCTGCTGCTGTCGGGGATGATGGTTCGGTATGGGTATGGGGGAAGTCTAAGCGTGGCCAACTTGGCCTAGGTAAGAATATTACCCAGGCTGTTGCACCTACCAAGGTTGAAGCACTTTCTGGACAAAACGTAGCCAAGGTACTTTAATTTGATCCCCTTGTTGTCACACTCTCAATTCGTAACTAACGTGTTTGTGTGGTTGAACAGGTTTCGTTTGGTTGGGGGCATGCTCTTGCCCGGACTGTGGATGGAAAGTTGTTTGGGTGGGGGTATTCAGCAGATGGTAGGATTGGGAAAATGGGGAATCACTTTCAGACATCTCCGTTGGAATCCACGTTTTCAAATAATGCAGAAGAACTATCGAGTTCAGACGTGGAAGTTGCCGAAAAGAGAGTCTTGGAAGGAATGGAGGAGGAGAATAACATGCCAATAATATGGGAACCTACATTGGTAGAAGAACTCCATGGGGTTCATGTTGTGGACATTGCTTGTGGACTTGATCACTCTCTGGTTCTTTGCCGTAAGTAACACCAACACTCTTAACACATCAACTCAATTCTTGTGTTAAAAGATGCAATGGGGTTTCTTTCCTCTTAAGTTTTGATTACACTGTGTCAGGCGACGGTGCACTCTTGAGCTGCGGGAGCAACGTTTATGGGCAGTTGGGACGAGCTAAAACGGATTTGGGAATTTTCCCTGTTGATACGAGTTTGAGTCCTGTTTCTATAGCAGCAGGGCTTGGGCATTCTTTGGCAATATGTCAGCTCGCTGAATCAGATGGTAGTGTTGGTGTGGGGACTACAAATGTTGCTTCGTGGGGATGGAACCTCAGTTCTCAGCTTGGAAGGGAAGGGGATGGGAACCTCCCCTCTTTGATTGATGCATTGGATGGGGAAAATCCTGTCTTTGTTTCAGGAGGCCGTGCCCATTCCCTTGCTCTCACCTCAAAGGGAGAATTGTGGGCATGGGGCTCTGGTAAAAATGGCAGACTTGGATTTCCAAGTTCTGCTGACCAAGTTGACCCACTTTGCCTTGATTCTTTAGAGGGTTTTCAAATTTTACAGGCTGTGTCAGGGTTTGATCATAATCTCGTGCTAGTTGCTGGCTGATCTGGTTTCAACACATGCCTTGCTTTTTAGGTTCCGAAAGTTTAGTTTCGGGGGAAAGAAAGGAAAAACAGATTATTGTGTAACTAGGAAAAAATGTAGAGATGTCTTTCAAGCTTGAACTTAAAGGTGGAGCTTATCCGTCTAAAGACAAATCTAAGCACCCCCCTTGGTATAAATGTCAGATATGTTTATCTTTACGGTTTTATATGTTTCATTGCATAAGCTTAAACTTCATCGTAGTGTTGTAACCAAAAAAAAAAAAAACTTCATCTTGGTGTTTCAGACAAACACTCGAGCTTGTATTTTTTCTTGATAAATAGTTTGATCTGTATAATAGAGTGAATTAAATATTGCATAGAAGGTGAGGACAGTAAGATTATCACATTTACGAGATTAACATGGGTCCTTGCTTTTCAGCGGGTCTTGACCGTGAATTCGTGAGGTGTTTTAAGACATGTTGGTCCAAATAGTGGAAGCGAATTTAAGAGATATCTGAAAAATGAAAAAGGCAATACTCTCGGAAGTAACATAAAAAAATGAATCATATTTTAGGAATTTAGTTGCAAGAAATCCTCGAAATCTCTCCTTACATGTTTCCACCCATTTTGTATAACAACTAAAAACCTTTTGCAACTTCAACAGAAAGATTGAGCAGACGAAGACACAATACTGAGAAATCTCAAATTCAAACTCTTTTGGCTATACTATGTGGATGGCTAGCAAGTTGGAAGGCCCTTAGGTGGAGGCAGAACAGATTGATCTTGTCCTGGCCCATCTTCCACAACAAAAGCCGTTTTCAACCCCCAACCAGTGTGTAGCTCCAAATGACAATGCATGAACCAAACACCTACAATGAACAAGAACAACATGACATTATTGCATAATATACCTGTCAAATATCAGTCAACATCAGGACATGCTTAGATTGGCTTTACAGTTAAAAAGTTTATAGAAGTTTTGGACTAGTTCACGAAACATGCCTGGATTATCTGCCCGAAAACGAATTGCTGTCCAACCACCTGTAGGAACCCCAACTGTGTTCCTCTCAATAGGATCTACCAAATTGTACTTAGCGGGGTCTTTTGCAGGATCAAAGTTACCAATCCCGGTTCCAACAACAAAAAAGTTATTGCCATGAAGATGGAATGGATGTGACTCAACTGTGAGGAGATTAGTGTCCTGCAAAACTAATTCCACTGTGGAATTGAAGGCAATCTTGCTAACTCTTGTGCCTGTTAAGGTGGCAAGATTGGCGGTTAGCGGTGCACCAGTATAATTGAAGGGAATTGGAGGACGATCAGGAAAATCAGTCCTGAAAACCCCCTTGATGTTGAAGTAGTGAGCTTGAAGAAGTGCAGTTTGAGGCATCACAAAAGATACATTGTTCAAGGAAGCAAGTATCCGTGTTCCATTTACACATGTAGGGCAAGAATTCTTGCCTAAACCAATAGTGTACAAGAGGTTTCTATCAACTTTGAGAGGAACATTAGCGGGGTACTGAGCAGAGTTTAAGCTCCTTAATTTCTTGTTGTAACTCAAAACAAAACCTGTGTCATTGCTAGCTGGCAACTGTGGAAGGATAGGGAGGACAGTGCTTGGGACGCCTTTGTATTGGAGTATAGCCGTGGCAGTTTTGTTGTCAACTTGAATTGGAGCATCCATAAAAGCCTTGGTTCCCACGAAGTATCTGCTTGAAACTTGGTTGGCTTGGACCAGAACGTTTGTGGTTTGACCAGGTGCAATTAGTATAGCCCGAGTAGTGAATGGTTTTGTATAAACAGCATCAACCTCCACCACTGTCAAACTATGACCCGCTATGGCAAAGAAAAGATCATCATTGAGGGCGGCATTGATGATTCTCAGGAGGTAAGTCTTCCCTTGTTCAACCTCCATTGCAAATGTGTCTAAAAATTTGAAACAGAACTAAAGTTAAACAAAAATTTCATTCTTTCCAAACTACAATCAAACACTAAGCTTGGGCTAATTGTACTTACGTTTCTCAGAACATGGAAATAGTGGTCCTGGTTTTCCATTTATCGTATGTGCATCAGACATATTGGGTGGCAACCCCATTTTCTTCCCTTGCTTTTCAATCTCTTCTACGTCATTGTTCCACCATTCACCTATTGCGTGCACAAACAATTGTTATGACTTATAGCAAATTTCTTCCTTTTCATCTTTAGAATACTAAGAATAGTGACAATGAAATTTACCTAGGAGAATTTCAAATTCTCTGGCTGGCTGTGGGAAAGGAAATGTTGTTCCAGGTTTAGGCATAATTACTATTGCACCATACACAGAGGCCCTCAGCCAGAAAATGTGTGCATGCCACCATAGTGTTCCCCTCTGCCCAGTAACATTAAAATCGTAAGTATAGCTGCTTCCTGTTTGTATTGGACACTGTGTGATATAAGCTGGCCCATCAGCCCAACCATTACGATATTGTTTAAGTCCATGCCTATAATACGCAACATGTTAATATCAAAAGCTTCATCTATGTTTTTGATATTGCAAAATTGACCTACCAATGAATCGACATGTTGTATTGTGCATGGTTGGTGACATTGACCAGCACTCTATCTCCTTCCCTTACATATATAGTTGGCCCTGGGAACCTCCCATTTACTGTTACAATGGGTTTTGCATGGCACAGTCTACTCACATTCTTCACTTGAATCTGTAGAAATAACAAAATGCTATCAAGGGAACTTTGCATAGTTAGGCATGTTGATTATGGTATCAATTAATAATATTGTTACTCACATCAAACTGGTATTTCTTGAGGGCAGCTTCAGATGAAGAAGACATTAAGCCAACAAAGACAAAAAAGAGAAAGGTTAAGACACACATGAAACAGCCCAAGCCTGCCATTCTCTTTGATATCTTGGCTTGTATGGTGCATATATATGTTACAAGTATTTATAAGAATAGTGGGAAGGTAAAATGGGCTATCAGTTTGTTGCATGAAGAATTAAAAACATCTTAGGCTTATTAGGTAGTGCTTTAATGAGCTGTGCGTAAAAGCTTGTAAGCGAAATGTGAGATAAAAATTTGAAGGCCGTGGCTGAGGAAAAAACAATATTTAGAGATGTTATAATTTTTATACTACACGTTTCCAATATTTGAACTGAAAGTGAGAGGTACATGAAACCAAACCTTGTAATTTACCTTAATATACTATGGCTACATAGGCTTTATCGTTAAGGAGAAGTAATGGCCTATGGGTGAGTGCTAATGCCAAATCCTTGTGCCGCCCAAGTGCCAGAAAACTGCTTGCATTCTAAAAGAAATGTTTATTTCAGTTATTCAGGTGATGCCATTATGGTATGGTAAATTATCACTGTTAAAGGCTGCTTCGGGTGAAATTTTGCTTAAACTATATTTTTATTTAATTATTGATTTCTACCAACTCTTTTGCTTGTTTTAGGCCATGCATCGTTAGTTCCATTATACCAAAAAGTTTTGTCTACGGAAACCAGAATCTCAGTTCTTTTTTACAAATAAAAAAAAAAGTAAAGATGTAGCAGCCTTTAAGAAAAGAAGTGTAAAGTCCCTGGACTGTATCTTCTGCCGCATAAATGAACTCGATTTCTTCAACTCTTATGACACGCTTCTTCTGTTCTCTGCAGGTGCATTATCAACCATATGAGTAATGACAGAGAAACCCGATGCTGTGAAGCTTTAAAAACGAATAATTAAAAATGCTTATTCGATTTGAACTTATTTAGAAATAAATCCAAATTTAAGTAAGTTTTATACGCGCATAGTTAAAAAAAATAAAAATCAAACCAATTCATATGTGAACTTCTCCAAAAATTAAAATTAATTCTCAAATTTGTGATTGCATGTTGTACGGAAAAATCTCGGCATGTAGAACGGGACTATGATCAAATGGACAAGCTTACAACCTGGATTTTTTTACACATTAAGAAGCTGTTTCATTGTGAATCGATTTCTACTGCTTCATAAAGAGTTAAGATTTATTATACTTCCACAATAATTGATTCTGCATTTCATAGAAATAGGCTCTTCATTTTACATTTATTTTAGATTTTCCTATTACATTATTCGTTATATTTATCATTTCTTTTCATTCTCTTTAATGGTCTCTCTTTCTTTCTAAGATATATATACTGAGTCTGTGGGTCGATACTTCGGTTCCCGCACCCCAGAAGCAATTTGTTATTAATACTTTATATACAATTTCAATCCAATCCAATTTTTTTCTTCCAACCACTCTTATCTAATTTATACTTATTTGTGTTAATACATATGCATCTTGTCAGTGTGTCGAAGATATTAGTTAAATAATTGAAAATGATTTATTATTAAAAATCATGCTAGTTTATATTAAAAATTATAATATTTATAGTCAGTATTAACTTATTAATTAATGATTTTTATCAATCTCAACTTTCAAGATTAATTTAAGCTATAAAAATAATAAATTTTAATTAAAAGATATAATATTTATTATATTTTCATATTTTAAAATAATATTATTTTTAAATAAATGTTTAACATTTTTAGTTATTTATCTTCTTTCTTAAAAAAACTTATGTTAATAGTTTACTATTTAAATTTGTATTTATCATACATACTCATTTATTATTTTTTGTCTTTTATTACATCAAAAGCAAAAAAAAATGTGGATATCATTCGGTGGCTCACGAGAGGGTAGGTAAAGAAATATTTTTTATTCTAAATATGTGAAAGCATTTGATTTTGATATTGATATTTTATAACGAGAAATATTGGAGATATACTATTTTAAGTATTCTTTTTTAATATTTTTTATAAAAAATTAAAATAATTATATTGTTAATTATTTTTAAAACTATTTCAAATTTTTAAAGAATTATGTAATTAAAACATAAAATATGTATTTAAAAAATTATATTTAAAAGAATGTAACATCCATCTTCTAGAATATATCATACTTTATTAGTCTATTGCCTCCAACTCTGATTAATGAGCAATAAATTTTTTAATACTCACAAGACAGCATACTTATAAAACAAATAAATTTGTTAATGTCTTGCATGTCAAGTTATCAACGTCAGTTATTTGATTCTCAAGAATTTTTATTTTCAACTTTTGAAAGTCTCAAATTGGAGACTTGTAAAATAAAACTGTAACTCGGTGTAGCTGGAGCCGAATTTGGATCCAAAAGAAATATTTAGTTTATAAGTCATAGTAATAAAGATTCAAAGTTTATACGTGTCAATCGAATAGCGATAAAAAGAACAAGTAAATTTTATACATGTTCCAAACTTTGCTTACATCGTTAACTCGTAATTAAAATTCACTGCAACTTTTGCAGGAAGTATTAACAGATGATAGAAGTTAAACAGAATAGTGTTGTTCCATACGATACAAATAACAATCCAAGGTCGTTGACAATTTCTCTTTCGGCTAGCATGCTGGAAGGTCCTTCGGTGGAGGCAGAACAGATTGATCTTGTCCTGCTCCATCTTCCACAAGGAAAGCCGTTTTCAACCCCCAACCAGTGTGGAGCTCCAAATGACAATGCAGGAACCAAACACCTACACAACCATATGTGCAAAAACATATCATCATATATTAATCGGATTTGTCAATATAATGTCTTAACTTTATTAGTCGACTCACCATAGAAATTATTTATCCCATAATATAGTTTGTAGTTACTTATAATATCTCACTCAACACTTAGACAATCCTTAAATATTGCCTTCCAGCTTAATATTTTAGCAGTTTTTAAGGTAGTAGATGCACTTAACGAGCCCTACAAACCTGGATTATCAGCCCTGAAACGAATTGCCGTCCATCCACCAGTGGGAACTCCAACAGTGTTTCTCTCAATAGGATCAACCAAGTTGTATTTAGCTGGGTCTTTTGCAGGATCAAAATTACCAATCCCAGTTCCAACAACAAAGAAGTTATAGCCATGAAGATGGAATGGGTGAGACTCAACAGTGAGGAGATTAGTATCTTGCAAAACTAACTCCACTGTAGAATTAAAGGGAATCTTGCTAATTCTTGTGCCTGTTGAAGTGCCAAGGTTAGCCGAGAGTGGTACACCAGTATAGTTAAAAGCAGTTGATGGCTTGTCAGGAAAATCAGTTCTATAAACCCCCTTGATATTGAAGTAGTGAGCTTGGAGAAGTGCGGTTTGGGGCATCGAAAAAGACACGTTGTTTAAGGAAGCAAGTAACCGGGTTCCATTGATGCATGTAGGGCAAGAGTTCTTGGCCAAACCGATGGTGAAAAAGAGGTTTCGCTCAACTTTGAGTGGAACATTAGCGGGGTATTGGGCAGAGTTTAAGCTCCTTAATTTCTTGATGTAACTCAAAGCAAAACTTGTGTCATTGGGAGCAGGAAGTAAAGGAAGAGAAGGGAGGACAGTGTTTGGAATGCCTTTGTATTGGAATATAGCTGTTGCGGCTTTATTGTCAACTGGGATTGGAGCGTCCATAAAGGTCCTTGTAGCCATGAAGTATCTTCCAGCTACTTGGTTGGCCTTGACTAAAACGTTTGTGGTTTGACCAGGTGCAATTAGTATTGCTTGAGTTGTGAAGGGTTTTGTGTAAACTGCGTCAACCTCAACTACTGTCAGGCTGTGATCAGCAATGGCAAAGAAAAGCTCGTCATCAAGGGCAGCGTTGATGATTCTCAGTAGGTAAGTCTTGCCTTTCTCAACCTCCATTGCAAATGTATCTAGGAAACAAAAGAAAAAAAATTTCTAGTAAGGGATAGCGAATGAAATGTGCTTCCAAGCTTAGTTTTCTTTGGAACAAAGATATATACTTAAATTCCTAGGCATATTTACCCAGACGATATACTTGTGACTTTTTCTTTACATAATCACAAAGTTGAGCAAATTTTGCTTACGTTTCTCTGCGCAAGGAAAAAGTGGTCCTGGCTTCCCATTGATTGTATGTGCATCTGACATATTTGGTGGCAACCCCATTTGATTCCCTTGCGTTTCAACCTCTTCCACGTCATTGTTCCACCATTCTCCTGTTATACAGTTAAGTTACCAAAATTATAATTTGTTTGTATTAATTTATCAGATGTAAACTTGGACGTGGTTGTTCCCTTTGCACAATTATGTATTTCAGAAACTGAACTGACCTAGCAGAATTTCAAATTCTCTGGCTGGCTGTGGAAAAGGAAATGGAGTCCCTTGTTTAGGCATGATAACAATTGCACCATACACAGTAGCTCTCAACCAAAGAATATGAGCATGCCACCACAATGTTCCTCTTTGCCCTGTGACATTGAAGTCGTAAGTGTAGCTGCTACCGGTCTGGATTGGACATTGTGTAATATAAGCTGGTCCATCCGCCCAACCATTGCGATATTGTTTAAGTCCATGCCTATAATATAAACAACAATTCATATGCTTGTGAGAATATCCTATTCATAATTGCATGTGTAGACACAAAATTGTCAACTTTGTGTCTGGTAAATACAATTGTCCTACCAGTGAATTGACATGTTATATTTTGCATGGTTGGTGACGTTAACTTGTACCCTATCTCCTTCTCTAACATAAATCGTTGGCCCTGGGTACCTCCCATTTACTGTAACAATGGGTTTTGCATGGCATAGTCTACTCACATTCTTCACTTGAATCTGTAAGTAGAATATATAATGTCATCAACAATTAGTTTATTTCAAATAGATAGTCATGCAAGCTGATTTTGACCGTATATGCATATATATACAACTCACATCAAATTGGTATTTCTTTATGGCTGCTTCAACTGTAAAGGAGCATAAGCCAACAAAACCGAAGAGAATTATTAACAAAGATGTGTGACTGCGGAAGCCCATGCCAATCATTCTAGCTTTTCTCTTAGACAACTTCACTTGAGTGTGTATCTTTGATTCTGTGTTGATGAGATAATGTTGGAGAAGAAAAGTGGTGACATAGTATTTATAGAAAGTGCTGCTGAGGTAGGTTGGACTAAGCAGTTTATTAAAGACGTGATTAGGTAACGAAATTGTTTAACATCAAGGCTTGTAAGCGATATGTTGTTGATAAGGACTTGAAGGTCTTTAGAATGCCGTAGAGGCTGAGATTGCCAGGCCAACAAAAATATTCGCACGCACGATTCAGTTTTTTTTTAGTGAATTTGTGGTATGTTGAAATGTGGACTGAAAGTGAGGTATACGGGGGACCAAACAAGCCTTATAAATTGGGCTAATCTTTTTCGTTAAAGGGAAGTAATGTGTTAAGTGGTAAAAAGTAACTGTAGGGAGAGAGCAAAGATATATATTCTATGTGCTGCCAACTCAATCTTTTGAAAATTTAGCATATGCTATCTCTTAATTGATAATTACTAATTAGCATGTGGTTGAGTAACTCATGGCCGGTTTTAGTTGTAAGCATTTTGTTTATTAATGATAATTTACTTTGCTATCGTAGAATATTCACCTAACAGAAAGTTTTGCTTGTTTTAGGGCGTTCATCCTTTCTGTGAATCCTTCATTTGTGGACTTTCTATTGCTTGGGACCAGACTAGAATGCCGTTGCAAGTAAATAGCAGAAGTTTTAAGATACTGCTACGTCAAACCCAAGTTAAGAAGAGTGGCAAGTCTAGTCATTGATGATCTGTACATAAATTTACAGAAACAGCTTACAATTAAATTTAATATCTTAATTATTCATTTTTAAATGTAATTTGTTTAATTAAACATGGGCTTGATTAGAGTTACAAATCATATTAAAACAACAAACGTATCATAGTTTATATATACACCGAAAAGATGACACTGATTTTTATTATTATTCTTATTTTCTCTCACTGTAGTTCTTTTTAGAGAATAAGTATATATGTTGTCAATGTGTCATAGTGAAATTAAGCTGAAAATTCAAAATATTTTCCACTGCCTTAATTCCAAACTTTTCTGTATAAGTGAAAAAAATTTAAACATAAGCAAACCTTGGTTTCAAAAGGATTCAACGGTGGCAGTCTTCTACAGTTATTATAAACACCCAAACAGTTGCATGTTAAATTTGAGTCAAGACAACAATACAGTCAAATAAGTTAATACATTTTAACACTTCTTATTATAACCTCATGATTTCAAAAGATTTTATTCAGATGCCGAAATTAAATTATTTTTAGATAATGGTACTCCAATGTTTAATTAATTAAGGGATTCAAATAGATAATTTTTAAAAAAAAAACTCCCTCTAAATATAAATATTTTAAAATAATTTAACCTTTATTACACATTTATCCTATATGGTTATGAATATTAAACCTTAAACTGAAAATATTTAGATAGATAAGCTGTAATATGAGAAATAACATAATAAAAAATGATATTGTAAACTAGTTTATTAAAGACCTCTGGGGTAAAAAAAATTACATAAATTTTATTTTAATAGAAAGGTTAAGAAATAAACTAAAAGAAGGAAATCATTAAAAATATTTTTTTTTTAATTTCCGTAGATGGTCGTGGTGTCTCTACAAACATGGTAACAAAGTGCTGGGTTATTGGGAAACTATATGGGTTGGGCACAGTTTTGTACAAATTACAATTCAAATATTTAGTAGCCCAACCCACCAACTGGGGGGTCCAACACCACGTGCACTATGCCTCACCCCCTGCCATTTTTCATTTGTTATGTACGAAAGAAACCAAATACGCTCATTAATCTATAAATATATTAAAAAAAATTTAATGAATTGTAAAATTATTTAATGAAACTCTTATCTCTAAATTAATGCAATTTTCTATTTAGCCATTAACATAAGGATAGCGCAATCAAAATTAAGCTTTGGTTGTAACTATTTTGCCTTTTTTTTTTCTTTCCTTTCTTAATTGTATATTCTTTAATTTACAATAACAAAAAACGCATAATAATGAAATAAAACCGGCCCATCTTGAACGGCCCAACACCATTGAAAACCGTCTTTTTCAAAAGCACATGATGTCAGTGCCAAGTATATGTATTGTCATATCTATCATCGTCATCTGAGCCCACGTGGCGATCTCATGAGCGGTGATGATCTCGTTGCTGCACTTGGTTTTTCAAAAATTTTAAAATATTGTATCATTTATTATTTGAATCAAAAGTTCTGGACTTAAAAAAACTCGAAAGTGTTTATGAATGATAAATTTGAACCCACTAGTCTTGATAAAAAAAAATGAGGAGAAAGAAAATTAAACATTTATATTAAAGTCTATTATTATTTGTAAAACTCGCTAATTTAGTATTTAATTATTTATTTTTAATATAACATTATCATATTTTAATACGAGAGACGAGAATGTTGATGCATGAGTAGTTAAGATTATTATAATTATTTTATAATTAAAATATATACAGGAAAAATTAAAGCACCCAAACAAAAACATGAATAATAATAATAATAATAACAACAACACTGTATCCATACACTTATATTTTATTTTTATAATTTTTCTTCTTTTTATTTCGTACATTTCAAAATAAAATGTATCAAAATATTATTAAAAAAATGTTGTATTATTATAACATCTTTTTCAACACGTGCTAAAATAAATCAATCCTTTTAATATATTTGCAATGTCTATTAACTTTTAACTGATAATATGGGAGCATGATTGTAAAAACACAGATTAGCTTAGACTAGAGCATAAAAAAGTTAAGAAAAGTTAAATATCATGTTTTTGTTTTAGATTTATGAAAACGATTAGGTGTAGGAATTAATCATTAATATATATTAACAATTAACAAATTTGTTATCAGAATTTCTTTTTGTTCTCATGCTGATTATATATTAATAAAAAAATTATAAACGTTTAAAAAATAATTTTCAATTAATTACAAGTATAAAAACGTGAAGTGAAGAAGAATAAATATATTTAATTTTGGTGGAAAAAGAACAAATATTATCCAGTGGATGATTATTTTGAAAAAGAAAGACTAGTGTAAAGAGAAATAGATGATGCCAGCTACAAATTTCCATACACAGTTTAAAACATGAGTACTGAATTTGACGAAGCCCCACCACGAGGAAGAAGGGTCTATCTTGAAGAGCGTAACGTGAAATTGATAATTGATGAACATATAGAAAGCTTATTTGCATAACAAGAGAAGTGAGAAGTGAGAAGTGAGAAGTGAGAAGAGGCATGTGCATGGTTCTCTTGAGAAATGGATATGATCAGAGTCATGCATTGATGATTGGTGTTAAAGAGGGCAGTGGAGAAGAGACGGTGGAAGTGGGAAAGGTGTTCTTTTGCTGACTCCATGTACGTCTCCACGCTCCTACACCCCATACTTGGTTCCCTCCTCTTCTTCGTCACTACTCTTTGTACGTCTTCATGTCATGTCAACGCCCTTTATAAAATCATATATACCATTCATTTTTATTTAATAAAATAATCATTCTGAAAAAATGAAGTTGGTATATACTAAAACCCAAAAATCATGTGAATTTCTTCAACGTTGTATTTTTATACTTTTCCTCTGTCTCTGTCTCTGTCTCATTCTTACTATTTTGAAATTATAATCTATTGGGAACTCATGATTAATCGTGTTTAGCATTGATCCTCTTTCTATACACGTCTATGATTAGATATCGCTGCTGAATCACCACCAATGCTTTGGCAACAACCAGCTCATCACTTCCATTTATATTTATATTTTAAAAGCTATTTTGCATATTCTTGTTCGAGAATGCAAGCCACTAATATCCAGCTGTATAATACACTGTTCACAAATTTACTTTGTGATGGCTAAAAGCCTAAAACTGCTTTTGTTTTCCTTCTCCAATTGTACGTAGGAGCCATCGTTTCGTATACCTGCGGAGGTAGAAAGAAAGTCATCAAAATATTGGCACAAAATAGCAAGTATTCAGTATGTTATAAGAATATTTATAAATAAATGTAAAACATAATATAAAATTTAAAATTTAACCAGTTGTAAGAAATTTATATTTTAATTTTAATTTTAAAAAGAATCAAATTAAGTTTAATTAATAAAAAGTTATTTTAATAATGATTTGTAAATATTTTATTATATTTAATACTAAATGAAGAAATTTACATATTAATTCAAATAATTAAGAGAAAATAAAATATATATTTAGATTAAATAACTCACTAAAAAACTTTGATTTCATTTGATACCGAGATCCATAAGATGTGTAGTAAAATGGATAAGACACACATAGCTTGTGAAAATGAGAGTAGATATATAGATTGTATTGTCTTTGAGAATGAAGACTCTAATTTATAATATTAAATAATATTATACTTTTATCTCTTTGGGTGTATTTTTAGTTCTTGCAATTTTTTTAAAATTAATTAAGTTTTTACTAATTTTTAATTTAAGTAATTGATTTTACTATTAATCTTTTTACAACCCTTGATAATTTAATCAAATTAATTTGTAAAAAATTAAATAAAGAAAATAGGAATTTGGAGGCAATAAGATGAATTTTGTTTAAATTTCAAATTATTGAAACTTTTTTTTCTTAAAAATAAATTAAAAGAGTAAAATCAAATACAATACAAACAAAAAAAAAGGAAAAAATATACAATTAAACCTTTGTTTATAAAGTCTTAAAAATAATAATCAATATAATTATTTGAAATTAGACAACTGCAGATAATGAAATTATTCTATCAGATAATCAATATAATTTGACATGGAATTTTATTTTTTAAAATGAAAAATCAATTTAAAAATTATTTTATATTAAATCATTCTCATATCTAGTTATATAAATACTGTTTATTTTAAGACGTAGATCTTAATTCATCTTCTTTACTATATAAAGCTATAAAGAATCATTCATAATTGTTTTCTTCAGGAAATGTCAAGCTGAACTTAATATATATTTTATATTAAAAATCTGTAAAGAAAATTTATTATCATGTAAATTTTATATTTATTAAATAAGTCATCGATTTTTTTTTCTCATAATTTACAACAAAATACACAAGATGACTAATTTGAATTTTTTTAAAAGCTACAAATATCCTGAATTAAGTATATACTTCTAACAGTCTCCTAATTTTAAGTTTTATCTAATAATATCTATCCATGATTTATTAGTTGGTCGTTGAAGTCAACATCAATCAATATAAAAGAAATATATGTATATAGTTTAAATATCGTGATTTGTGCAATACTTAATTTTGTAATTATTATATTTCAAAAGGAGAAGTTTATTTCTGCGAAACACTCATGAATCACGTATACTTTAAATTGAATATTTAATTGATATTAGATATGTGTTTTACTGGTTAGTCTCAATTAATTTAAGATATCTTTAGATTAGATTTTAAAAATGTATACATAATGGCGATATACTATAGTGAATAGGTGAATTGTAACACGTCTTGTCGTGGACAGCGATAAAAGCTTATTTATGAAATAGCAGTGTTTTTATTTTAATGTAGCATTTACATTTAACTAAACACTGTAGAGTTTAAAATTGAAAAAATACAAGAAGTTAACAGAAAACATATATATTGAAAATATAAATTAATCTATTTTTATAGAGTTGAGAAAGTGTATAATGAGATTTGTTATGATTTGACAAAAATAGCGTGAAGGAAAAGAATTGTGAGTGGATATGATGTACGTTTTTTGGAACGACAGAGCAATGTGGATTGGTAAAACCAAAATTAAAATCCTTAACAAAGGAGATAACGATGATGAGTAGTACTTAGTTGTAAATAAGATCATACAAACAAGAGAGACAGGATGAACACGTGTCGAGATACAGGAGCGAGGGAGCAGTGTGGGTGGAGGCACTGGATTCCCTCCAATAAATTATGGTTCCCTTTCTGCAATGAAAATTACTAAAATAAGATTTAACATAAAAGGCTGGATCCGATTCATGCCACACCATTCCGGTCCCGGAATACCTTTTTTGCGGTGGTGCTGGTGGCGGAGATCGGCGCCGGACCTTGCCACGCCTCCTCCGTCTCCCTAACCTTTTTCGCTTCAGCATTCTAAATCTAGCGAAAAACGTCATCTCGTGCCTCTCTTTTACTTTCTACGATTTGGTTCTCCCCGTTTATGGATCCGGGTTCTAGAAGCTTCCTTTCTCATTGCTAGTCCTCTTTCTGGCGGTTTTGCTCGCGAGATTCTGTGTTTCTTAGCTGATTTGGTTCGATTGATCTGTTCCTTACTCGCTTCAATTTTCCAGGTGTTGGTTCGTTTTTTTTCGCTAATTTATTATTTTTTTAAAAATTATGGCATTCTGCATTTGGTTTTGTAACGGAATTCATAGATCGCTGAGGGATGGTATATGCAAGTGAAGTGCTATCTTTGTTTTTTAATTTTAAAAAATTAATATTTTTGGGGAGGGAGCAGATAAATTAGGTTATGGCTTTGTTATGTTGTTGCTGGATGGCAAAAGTTGTTGACTTTTTTGTGGCGCAAAATGCTTTGAGAAAGATCAGTTTAATATATTAACCTTGTAAGTAATGACGGTACATCTTGTAATTAGTGGATTATGATTAATGAATGTGACCCTTCATAGTTTTCAGCTGGGATTGGATTGTTTGTAGAATTGGGTTAGTTACGCTTTCGATGCATTGAATCGAGAGCTACGTGTGCTTGTGGTGCATTTGTGATGAGAGCAAGTGTTGGCATAAGAAAAATGTGAGGAGTTCACATTGTCATACATATAAGCATATTTTTGCACCCTCAGAGTGGAGAATTATTTTGATTCTGGTTCGGTTGTTGCAGTTTTGTTGCGGAAGGAAGACTGGTATGCTGTGAGAGAATGTCGTTGAAAAGCATAGTAAGAGAACTCAAGGAGATGAGAGATGGGATAGGTAGCATGTCAAGGCGAGGTGCTGAAAGCCGGCGTTGGCACAGTCGGACAAAGTCACACGTTGTTCCTGATATCACTCTAACTTCAATTGAACCTATTCAGCAAGGACAATGGGCAAATCTACCACCTGAATTGCTGCTGGATATAATAAGGAGGGTTGAAGAGAGTGAGACTACTTGGCCTGCACGGGCTGTTGTAGTTTATTGTGCTTCAGTTTGTAAATCATGGAGGGCTGTTACGAAAGAGATTGTTAAGACTCCTGAACAATGTGGAAGACTCACATTTCCTATTTCATTGAAGCAGGTGATAAATTCTTCACCCATTTTCTGGCCCGATCCTTTTTCTCCTTTTCACTTTAGGTTTTTCTGTTTCTGATGTTGTCTTTCCTGTTGGATGTATAGCCGGGTCCTCGTGATTCTCCTATACAGTGCTTTATCAGGAGGAACAGAGAAACTTCTACATATCTATTGTACATTGGTCTGTTTCCATGTAAGTTTCTTTCATTGCTGATGCATTCCATTTCTTTTTTCTTTGAAGAAAAAGGGTGTCAAATTTCTTGTTTTAAATTACACTTTCAAACTTGGAATGAATGGCTTTTAATGCTGAACTGCAAGTTTCTTGCTCTGAATATGTGGGATTCATTCATATAAAAAGTTTGATTCTTGATGTATTATTATTGTCATTTACGCACAAAGGTCATCATCGTCATCTTTGGAGTTAGCAACTTCTAACTTGGTTGTATTTGAATTAAATCAAAGTTATAAACTGCTAACAAAGATATTACTCGTGTTCTTGAAATGATATATGATTAGATGTTTTGATATTAATTATGCAGCGGAGAATGAGACTGATAAGATGTTATTAGCTGCCAAAAAGATAAGAAGGGCAACAGGCACAGACTTTGTCATATCTTTGGTTGCAGATGATTTTTCTCGGTCCAGCAACACATACGTTGGAAAACTCAGGCAAGTTTTGGTGGACAGAAACTTTACTTGCTTTCTTTTCAAATTTTCACCTTGCTCCTTACCATATCTGTAACTTGATGACAAACTTTTACAGGTCTAATTTTTTGGGTACCAAGTTCACTATTTATGACAGCCAACCTCCACATGATGCTGGAATTCAACCAAATAGTCGGTCTAGTAGGAGATTTCATTCCAAACAGGTATCTCCTAGAGTTCCAGCATGTAACTATGTTGTTAGCACCATTGCCTATGAGTTGAATGTTCTCCGCACGAGAGGGCCAAGGAGAATGCACTGCACCATGAACTCCATACCTGTCTCAGCCATTCAGGAAGGGGGCAATGCTCCAACTCCTTCTTCTTTTCCTCAAATAATTGATGAGCAATTTTCACCCTCACCAGCTCTGAAAGGAAAAGGCCCAATTAGAGATTTAAGCAATGCAAACCTACCGGAGCTACCAGCACCGAGCCAAGGTTCAGCTGAGCCTCTGGTACTCAAAAACAAGGCTCCTAGGTGGCATGAGCAGCTGCAATGCTGGTGCCTAAACTTCAAGGGTCGTGTGACAGTGGCTTCTGTTAAAAACTTTCAACTTGTTGCTGCTGTTGATCCATCTCATAATGTTTCTGCTGCAGAGCAAGAAAAGGTAATCTTGCAGTTTGGAAAGATTGGAAAAGACATATTTACTATGGATTACCGGTATCCGCTCTCTGCCTTCCAAGCTTTTGCCATATGTTTGAGCAGCTTTGATACCAAACCAGCCTGTGAATGAGACCTGCGTCACTGGATCAGCATCTGCGGGTTTGTCTCATATATATATATATACCGTGCTACCCAAAGTTCATCAAGCATGGTGGGCATGCAGCTGCTGACAATCTTCGCTATGCAGTCATTAGTATTTTCCCCTTATGCTAGTTGTTGATTCTGGAATTTAACTTTATGCTGTTTCATAGCCCTGCAACTAAAAGTAAGGTTTAGTGAATCTTCAATTTTATATAAAGTCGCTTGCTATTCCTCGCCAATAATTCTTCTTTTCTTTCTTAATATTGAATTTTTAGTTGTATATATTATTTTCTTATTATTGTTGTTCTTCCTTCGATGATCATTGGTTGTCATCCAATCATGCTGGTGACTTTATATACACGCGTTTTGCAAGAGCTCAATAACAATTTTTATTAATTTTTCAATCGGTATTTCCCTGTTAGACATCACTAATCAATTGAATCCTGGGATGGTTTTTGGTCCTGCCTCTGTATTTTGTGTTTTTGTTACGAGCATATCTCGGACGGTATGTCCATGGGCTTATAAACGATAATCAAGATGAAGGGCAACTGAATAAAAACATTTTCCCAGAGTGGAGGAAGTAAATGGTAATGCCCGTTTCATCCATTGAAACATGAGTCTTTACTTCGGTATTAAAAGAAATGTTTTTAGTTATATTAGTGCAAAATTTATAAATTTACCCAGTTGACATTTACCCAACAGCTGCTGCTAATCGGTTCCTCGCTAAATTTTTATTTTTGTTTTAAAAATTATGTGACTCATTTTAATTTTTGACTTCATAAAATTTTCACTTAATTTTAATTTAGTAAAATTTCTGTTATTCATTTTTTTTTTTTGTGTATTAAAAGACAGTAAAATTTAAAAACACAAAAATCATTGTAAAATTAAAGATTAAAGTAATAATTTTATAAAATCATTTGTCTAGAATGAAACACAATTTTAATTCGTCTAAGATTTGATGTTGATCACAATAATTCTTGAAAGATAAAATCACTATTTTCAAATAAGATAGATGAAATATTGATCAATCAAATTTTTTATATTAAATTGATAAAAAAAAAGATTAAATTAATCACTTTTTCTTTTCTTTTTTGAGACAAAATCACGATTTTCAACTTGTAAGAATTAATATGACCAATTTTCAGGATCAACATGACGTTTTCTTCTATGTAATACTTTGTGCTAGAGTTCGCTCCTAAAAGTATTTCAGGAAATCTTAGGAAGTGAATCTTCTTTTTGCACTCTTAACTTAGAGAGTTAATTTTCGTATTCTTATAGTATTTATTTCACAATGGTTATCTCTTTTAGTTTGTCAGTTTTTTATTTAAAAAATTAAATTTAAAGAAAAATAATTTTGCATATCAATCAATTCTACTGCGGTGATAGTTGCCACATTGGAGGGATTTCACCACCAGAGCGAAAATCAGGGATGCTACTTAGATCTTCACTTGGTTCATGCAGATAATTTTTACTTAAATACTCGATTTTTATGGGATTAGATAGTCAAATTTTGTCTCATTCATTTCATTAGATAGTTTTAAATACTGACATCGTTTTAACATTAATTTTGAGGCTCCATTTTGTTTTTTAAGTTCCAATTGGATTTCCTACATTTACCGATTCGGTATCCACTCACAGGCATCATTTGCGAGCAAGGAATCAGCACAGCACGCCCGTGGTTTTAACAACAGATTAACAAAACCACTTGATATGACCAATCAAAAACAATTTATTCCCTAAATTTGCAAAAGCATGATTAGATTTACCAAATTTATCCAAGATCATAAGTCAACGAGGTTTTTTAAAAAATTATTTTTTTTCTAAAGTTAGAAATTATAAGATTGACATACAATAATATTTTAATACAAAATCTTCTACTAAATAGATTTGTTGAATTTTTTAAAGAATATTAGGTAAGAAGCTTTATAATGCTGAATTTTTTTTAGAGTATTAAGTAGAAAATCTTATAATAAACAGAACATCATAATACAACTCTAAAACTTTAAAATAATAAATATACGTTTCCATCTCTTTATAAATTCTTAATTTACTCATATACCATTTGACGTGTGGCTCACTTTACACTTTATTCCAATGATTAACCATTCAACTTCAATATAACAAATATAAATTCATAACTATTCACTGTACAAATAAGTCATGAAAGACATCTGGGGGCACGGAGACAGACCTTGCATGGTGTTAACTCTCATCAAGCCTGAAATCCACATGAAAATAATCAACAGTAACAAAGCTAAAAATAAATTCACCAAGTCAGTATATTAACGCACGTAGCAAGTTGAGTTTTTTTTTTTTTTTTGGAATGTCCACACTTGAAGCTTATAAACTTCTAAAATTAATGGTAACAAAATGAGGTTGAGCTCCTTGAGTTCTGAAATCAATGGCAGTGACTGAGTCAATGGATGAGAGAAAGAAGGAATGGAACTTACTGCCAATAGGTTCCATTGTCAGTCATGCAAAAGCTGAGGAATTGGGTTCGCCCTATGAGACCCCTCTTCAACGTCTCATGATTCTGACACTAGTCTCTGATTGGCATAAGCAGTAAGCAGAGATGGTATTACACTCACAATAGCTATATGCTTAATTTCACTGCTACTAACATCAATTTTTCTCAACTTTTGATGACAAATAGCAGACATGTACCCAAAAAGAAAAACAAATCCCCGGCTTTATACATGGATTTTCATTGAACAATTTTTTAAGGTATTCACAGCACAAGCACATATAATAAAAATTTATAAATAATTTTAATTAAAAAATAATATTTAATATTATTAATGTATTGTATTTTATAAACAAATCTATACGATTGCGCAATCATTAAATATGTAATAGTACTCACAAATTTTTTTAAAAAAAAGTTTAAAATATTGTCAAGCACCTTCGTTACACTGATATCTATCTATATTACATTCAGTACTCAAAATATTGAAGTGTTAAATATACATTTACAATAGGAATAAACAAAAAATGTGTAATTGCTAACTGGTCTCTAGTATGTATAGGGAAAAGAGAAATAAAAAACTATTAACTATCAAATGTCAAAATAAAAAGTCCTAAGCACAACTATATACATCATCACACAGCCTGCTGTTACAGTGCAAAATTAAGCAGCAGATGCATTGTGAATGAATATTTAAAGCTAAAAATGCCGCAATTAAGTGCTGGAAAAGGCAAGACCCACATATGACATAACCACAAAGATTAAGGCTCCATCTACAGAACTTTCCTGCTATCCAGCAATTCAAAATGGCTCTTATCAGGCACGTGATCAATTGTCCCCGTAATAAGATCACAAGGATAATGTGGGCTTAAATCATTTTCATCTTTTGGTAGTGGACTTTGAGAAAGGTGATAATTTCTTCAGAAATGATGACATCTTTGATGATTTATTTTCTTCATGGTGACTATTAGAATCTTGAGAAGTGTTGTTGATACTTGGTTCAGGGGAACCTTGATTCTCAACATACTTAGCATCTCTCAAAAGATTGAGCAGTTCCAATGCACTTTCCTTTGCTTTATCATTACCATTCTGGGAGATATAGAAAAGAGGAGTGATGATAACCTCATCCATTACCAACTTACAATGATCCACACGTTGAGAGCATAAAGAGACTAGAACATCTAGTGCATGTTCTTGTTCCTCATTATTGCCTGTTTCAAGTATTTCAGCAACAGTAGATATGCATCCCTTTGTTTCAGTAACAGAATTCCTACCCTCTTCAGTTTCACAAAGATTTTTCAATATATATATACAGTATCTCAAAAGGGTCCTATCTTGAAAAAATGGCAACAATTTTTGGATGCACTTGAGAGATATCAAGCGGGGACAAACTTCAACACTGAAGGACAAATTGAACATTATTCTAATAGCTTGTTGTTGGAAACCTTTGTTATCGGAATCAAGTATATTTAAAACAGAAATGAGAGCACTGGATGCTGCAATTTTAGCTTTACTAAACCCATATCCAGAGAGTTCTTCCATTATGGTTAGAGTTTCTCCTATCACATCTGAATCAAGAAAACTTGCTAACATAATGAACGTATCTTCATTCAAATTAGTCTTGCCATTTCTGCAAGAAAATCACCAGAAAAAAAAATTAATAACAGAAGCAGATGATCAAACAAACAATTATAAGGTAGGAAGGAAAAAAGAAAAAGGTTGAAGGATACAGAGTCACTAAATATGATCCAGATATCTATAGTCCGGTGAAAATAAGCAGGGTTAAGCTAAAAATTGAAATCTTAGGTCAACTACAAATATAATTACAGTAGAGCTTATAAATGATTAGGTGCTTCTCATTTTATGAATTAACTTTTAAGATCGCATAAGGCCTAAACCAAAACTCAAGACTAAGTTTTGCGATCGGAGCTTAACCTTTTTCTCGTATCTAAAGTCTAAGTATAGCCTGTTTATCTTATATAGGCCTTTTTTCGAAGTCTGGCATTACCTTTTTAAAAACTTGTCACGATCTAAAAACTTATTTTAAAATCTATAAATAAAAAGCTTTTTAAGTAGGTTAAAAATCTATCTCTAAATATAATAATGGATCTGTAGCCCCAGTGATGTGACCTAAAAAGTATAACAATATATTGGATAGAGAACCAAAAAGAGTTTTGTTTTGAACATGAAAAAGACTACACAAGTGAAATTGTTTTGAAAGGATAGATCATAGATGTCAAATAATTTAGACGAAACTCGCCAGAAAAAAGACATAGAAAAAACGTTAGCAAACCAAAACAACAAGCAATATACAAAGAATGAAATTGAGAAAGGGGAAAAGAAATCATGCCTGCAGTTGTTCACAAATTCCAACAGAAGCTGAGTTCCAGCTATTAGCGCTTTAACATCATGCACATGATATGCATTGCTCAGAAATTTGACCAGTGGTTCAATGAAATTTTCAGGAGACACAGAAACAACAGCTTGGCAATTGCTTTTCAAATGATCTTTAAGATCTTCAATGACCTTGCATTGAGAATCCCATTGAAGATCATGGAGTTTAGGCAAGAGCATCAAATCTGTATCATGTATCTCTGTATGAGCTCGATTTTTGTGAGACTTGTCACTGCTCTTCATCAACTCCAAATTTGAGCCACGATTGGTCCTACCATGTGAGGCATCTGAATCATAACTAGCATCCAGTGATCCAAGTGACATGTTACTTAGATCCACTGGCACATTAAAATCATTGAAGTAACTTCCTAAACTCTTAATGGAAGTGTTAGAAGTTTCCCATGAACGTAAATCTTGTGCTTGTCTACTTGGGTCAGGTATGGAGACCCCATTATTGCTGCACCACTTTGATATTAAATCCTTCATTGCAATGTTTGGAGTTAGTGCCATATGGGGTAGTTTCTTTCTGGTTTTTGGGCATATAACATTACCCTCTTGAAACCACTTTTTAATCCACATCCTTTCATATGTTACTCCCGAAGCAATGATAACAGGATCATACATCAACCTTGATGATATTGGGCACTTATATTCCTCAAGGGGTGCAAGTGTAACTCCACCCAACTCATTGGTGTGAATTCCATTCTGACCATAGTTCAAGCATAGGTCTGACTCAGCATTATGGCTTCTTAGAGAATCGTGACTAGAGTTCTCAGTTGCAACTTTTTCTTCAGAGCGAGAATAGTCATTCTCCACCCGTTCTCCCACCATGAGCTTTCCATGCTTTTTCAGTAGATGCAGAAGATATCTCAGTATCTTTTTTTTTTTCAGGTCATTTGGTCCAATTTTATCTAGTAACTTCTTAATAGATCGTTGCTCTGTTACGATGGCCTTTTGGGTTGTTATATTCAGTCGTGATGCCGCAAATTGAAGGGCTTGAACTTCAGAATCATTGACTGAATCTGAGGTTGAAGTAAGCACCTCTGTCACAACCCTCCCAGCCTCTTCTTCATCAGGGTCCAAAACAAATGTTGCACACTCCAGATCATCAATTATTCTAGAAACCTGCAAGTGACATTTCAGTGCCAACTGGATTATTAAAATGACTTCCATTTGGATATATTACACTGTCTGTTTCAGTGTTTAAGTATATTGCTAGTTATTTTAATAAACAAGCCACCATTTTATTTAACAGCTTGATGATATGCTCCAGTTAAAAAAATCAAATAACTCAATAGCAGCACCAAGAGGACTTCTGATCTTTGAAAAGCACTTGATTCGGGGTGTTGTAATAAACAAATAAATTTAGGCAGGGTATCGAAGAAGGGAAATTGAATAGAGAATATAATTTCACTAACCTCTACAGCCAACATAACTGGAACCATATCCTGCATCTGAATTAAGCTTTTCTCTAATGATCTTGTTACCTTTTGGCATCTAGAGAGTATAGATTCCGCTGTCACAGCCTGAAAATCATATTAAAACCAACCAAACCATCTTCAGTATCATGCATCCTCCTAGTACAATCATATTAAGATCATTTGTATTTTTAGTCCTCCATTTTTTTCCTTATAGTAATAATAAGGTTGATGAACGATAATGGAGCTCCTTTTTCCCTGAATTGTTTTAGACATTATTGATGTACATTACAGAAAGCTATATAATTCGATTGTTTGATAACAAAAGGAATACACACCAGGTAGAGTTTACTGCATTCGGAGCAATGTTGCAGAAGTAGTTTGGCTTTACCAATTGCATTATTCAGCAAACACAGGGACTCGATTCCTGATGAGCATCGTGGCCGTGCTGCCTCTATTTCTGGAAATATCTTTGAGATTCTATCCATTAATTTCATGAGTTCTATGCACATTTTACTATGTACCTGTTAACATGAAAGTATAAGCTCTTAAAAACATCCTCATCGAACCTAATAGTGAAATTCAATGATATTTATGTACCTGAAAGGAGCGGGGATTTGGTAACGTCTCCCTTTCTTCACCAATACCTGTTCTCATTTGGAGTGTTCTAGAGCTACAAATTGGACAGGGAAAGAACATTAATTAATCTAGCAAATACAAAATTGTTCATACTATTCAAAAGAATAAGTGATAGTGTGAAACATCAAGCTCATGCTAATTCATGCTTCGCTCATAATAACTTGAGAACAAATGACTGGCCAAAACTACTCACTGCAAAGCTTATGTCTAACATTACAGTAAAATATATCCAAAGAGAATAGTACAACAGGTAAATGATTTGTATCACTGTATATTGCTAATTTAACGTGTATCTATTTGTGTGAAAATGGATCCTCTCCATTTCCTACAAGAAATGGATATAATTTTGGTCATTGAAAGTTTTGAAAGTATTAATAATTTTAAAACAAAAATTCTATTATAATAATGTTAATGGTTGAATAAAAAAATTGACAAAGAAATGGAGAGAGAAAAATGGAAAGAATATGAACTCTATGCATGTAGTCACATGTCATCTTTATACAATTTAATATATTTCATGAAGCTAAATAGTGGTAGAAAAGATATTTTAAAATTTATGAAGATAAAAATTAAGACAAATAAAAGAACAGAATTAAAGAAAATTATATCTATAATTAATAAAAATTTATATCTAAAATAAGAGAGTAATGTTCATCATCTAAATTGAATGTTAGAAGCGGTGGACTTCCAATAACATTCAAAATACATCGTTGAATAAACCTGCGATATAGCTTGCTCTATTTCTGCCCACTGTTTGGGTCCACCTTGTCCTAAAGCATCGCTATTGTTTAATTTTCCACATGTAAATACAATTCAAAAGGTTCCCAACAAAACTAGAAAGGCTACAAGAAAATTACAAGAGGAAAAAGAGCTTTTAAATAAACACAAAAATCTTCTTGACTCTCATTTCTCAGTAATTATTAAAATTCTAATGAACTTGAGTTAGGAGGTGCCCTGTTTACGACATCAAGAGAGCAACAATTTAATCGACTCTAAGAAATGGAAATTGATCTGATCTTGTTAAATTTTTACATCACGTGAAGATTTTATATTTATGCCCTTTGATAGATATTAAACAAGTCATGTCGAAATCAATAAAATTTATAAATCCATGAAAATTTTAAATTAGTCATGTCAAAATCTGCAAAATTTTATCCACAGAAAAATAAATATAAAATTGTAATGTGAAAAATTAACCCTGGAGACGGTGGTTCCATTCCCGTCCAACACCTATACGGTATACGGTTCGTAGGATATTGAGAACAGAGTTTGAACATATACACTTGCTGATATACATCCAGAGATAAAACGAGGAGACGCAAACATAAAATATATGATACATAATATAATATACTAGAAATAAAATTGTACATGAATATTATTATTGAATTATGAAATATAAGGTTTAAAGTAATTCCAACCACGCCATAACAAAAGCTATATAGGGGAATAAATTACCTCGAATTACGATGATAATTAAGAACCAAATCCTCCTCTGCCAATTCCTTTCCTTTTCCCTTTAGCCAAATCAGATTACTACGGAATCATCAAACATACTAGGTATTGAAAACACATAGGATTATCTTCCGAACCACTACCGAGTGCTAATGAACACCCAGTTCATCAACCAAAGTGAACAAAAAGCAACGGGTAAATGGAATCTTTGTTGTGATAAAAAAAAGTAGCTTGTGTCTTTCCCAGCTCATAATCACTATTATGCAGAATTGACCATCACGAACGGTGTCCCATACCCACAAAAACTAGCACAAGAGAACAACAAAACTGAGACTTGAGAAGAACAAAAGAAAAACTCACGAACCAATAAAAAGGAAAAGATAATCTTTAGTGAACGCAAAGGAAGCATGCCCATGAAAAGGATAATCAATTGTAGTAACACTCATGAAAACAACAACAGAAGTCTTACAACGAAGGAGAGAGAAAGAGAGACCCGTCAACGTTAAATTCCTCGCAGAGAGTTATAAGCATTTGGGTGTTGCATTTTCAATGACCAAGTCGACCATACAGGAAATCTAACAAGCCTACCATTTATGTGGCACAGAAATTAATATGTTTTGGCTTCTTTCACTTTATATCAAATTTTATTTTAGAAAATTAACAGACAAGAGTACAGTAAATAAATAACAAAGAAGCCTAAGACTAAAGAATTTTAAAAAATTAAAAATATCATAAACATAATTTTAATAAAAAATATTTTAAGGAAACTCGTTACAAGACTCAAATAATGCTACTAATACTGTACCCAAAAAATAATAATAATAATAGTAATACAAGCAATACATGTATAATAAATTATATAATTGATGTAATGTATAAACAAATTATCTAGTTGTTTTTAATATTATTTGAATATAAGTCAGTATGTGGAAAAGTGTTTATTGGATGACATGGCTGTGAGGGCTGTGATGTTTATTGGCCATCCATTGTGAAAAACGAGGTGGGTCCCAGTAGGGGTCTAGCAGCGATCAAGGTGGCTGTGACTAAGTTGGGTTAGTCGTTGACTGGGCAAAACGCTGACGTTTGAACCCGCAGACTCCGTTGAATGCCGCAACAGGCATTGCATACGAGTCAGTAATACATATTTGAAGTCAAAAGGCAAATCGTGTATCGTGGAAAAGCACGTTCGTACCAAATAATTTTCGCACTATTTTTTTAGCAGCCTATAACCTATACCTATTCATTTATAATATATACATACATATATATATATATATATATATATATATACAACATTGTATTTTTATTCGCTTAAAATTATGTATAAATATATTTATTTAACAATAGTGTAAATTGATTATTGAAGGAGTCAAGCATGACTTACAAAGAATAAATGACAAACAATCATTTACTCTACAATTCAAATTATGTATAAATATATGTTGGTTATTTTTTTCAATTACTAACATATCAAATGTCATTATCACGGTTAAAAGTTGATATTAATTTTAGAGATAAAATTTTAATTAAAAAATCAATAAAATTATTTAAACTACTATATATAAAATTTATTCTCAAATAATCTCTTTAAAAAATATTAGGAATATAATACTATCATATTTTTTACCAAACTCTTAAATATTAACTTCTCATACTAATTTTTATAACAACATTATTTTAGAAATACATTATTTAAAGTTAATAAATTACTTTTCATGAACTTATTTTAACATGTTTTGATGTAAAGTTTTATTTTGATTTTTTACATAATATATATATATATATATATAGAGAGAGAGAGATAGGATCTTCTTACACTGGTGTAAGTTTAAAAACTTTTACATTCAATCTGAATTTTTTATTTAACTTATATCTAACGGTCAGTGAAATAATAAATTATAATCTGTTAGATGTAAGTTAAATGAAAAATTTAAATTGTGTGTAAAAATTTTCAAACTTACACCAGTGTAAGAAGATCCTTCCCCTTTTATATATATAATGCATTCTTTTTTTTATGTTGATCCTTGTAATATAATTTTAGTTCACATAAAAACTAGAATAAAAAATATATAATGTATAAGGATTGTAATAAAAATGTGTTAGGTATAAAGAAGAAAATAAAGAATATTTAAATATGCAATAAAATTTTTATACGAATATTAATAGCATAAATTATTTTAAAAAAAATATTTAAGAATTTGTTTATAAACTTTTTTTGTTTAGTGACTAAATAAATAAAAAAACTAATATGAGGATCAAAATAGTATTTAAACATTGTCAAATATTTTTTTGCAGTTTTCACTTTTATTTAACTTTTTAATCTTGAACTATGATTGGTTTTAAACTAAAAAAAATGTTTTAAAATTTGTAAAAATTTAACTACAAAATAGAATTATTTTTGTTGAATTGAGATGTTGACGTAGATTAAGACATTATTCTAATTACTTCTTATGAAATATCAAGTGGGCGGGGTTGCATATGTTAATTTTTCCACAAGTTGGCATGCTGATATGTGGCTTTGCGTATGTTTATTTTAAAATATGATTTTTTTGCAAATACCATTTGCATAAAATGAAATTAGCTTTTTGTTAGTTTTATAATTTGCTAACAAATTTTATTTTAATGCAAGAAGTGGTTGAAAAGTATTAAAAATAATAATTTTTAATTAATTAAGCCCAAGCTTTGCATTCTTACGGATTAAGCATGTTACATCATTTTGAATAATTAGGTGTAAATTTTGTTTTATTTGATTTAATCTGATTTTGATTGGGCCACACACTTGAAAGGCTAAAAGTATAACTGAAGATTTTTTATATACACAATAACTTAAACTCAAAAATTTACTTAACAATGCTGAGTCGTTTACCATTCATATCAGAAGTTAGTAATAATTTTTTTTTTAACTTATTAGAACATAAAATATCAAATAAAAGTTAAAGTACTGTATAAAATAAATTCAAACATTAATAATCTTCAATATTCTTAAAAGTGACAGGATTTTTCATGTCTAATAATCAAATTTAAAAGATTTTCTCAAAAATAAAAGATTGCTCAAAATATTAATTTATAAATAAATAAAAACAAAACCTCCTCACTTTCATCAATTAAATGACGGTAAGTATATTATTTTCAGGAAAGTTAAATAATAATGAAACATTTATAAACTCTTTTAAGAATCTTATTATTGAGAATTTCATGCTGAAAAAAGTGGTTCAGTTGAAATGTAAAAAATTGGCAAATTTATTATAATATTGTAAATTAAAAAATAATTTATTATTTTATAGTAAATTTGAAACAATTTCTTAATCTGGGGTTTTTTTGCCATGTGAATCAAATTTTTGCCAAACGACTAGAGAAAGTATTAATTTTTAAATTTTTTAATATTTATTTCGCCACAAAAAATACGAAATATGACTTCTTAGAGCGGTTAAATTAAAACCGCTCTCATAAGTCTATTTTAGAGTGGAACCGCTCTCATTACTCCATTTAAGAGAGCGGTTCCTCTTGAACCGCTTTTAGAAGTACATATTAGAGAGCGATCCTGCGAAAACCGCTCTCTTATGTATAATTCTTTTTAAATATACTAACATATATTCTATACATATTATAACTAAAGATATATAAATTTTTAATTATTCTAAATACAAATCTACATAAATTTTACATACAAATTTTATATAAATACAAAACTCTAATTACTAGCATAAAATTAAATTACATTTTAATTTTTTCATATTTCTAATTTAAATATACATAAATTACATTTAATTTATAATTATATAAATACTATTACATTTTTTAAAGTAAAAAATATTATTATTTACATACAAATTTTATTTAAATACAAAACTCTACTTACTGCCTAAAATTAAATTATATTTTTATTTTTTTATATTTCTAATTTAAATCTACATAAATTTTATATAAATACAATTTTAAAATTTTACTTCAATATAAGTGTAAAAATTATTTATTACAATCAAACTAAGTATAAATTATTATATTTAGTTTTATATAATTATTTTATTTAACTCAATTTTTATTATTCTGTATTTTAATAAATATCTATAATAATTCCTGTAAACAAATTTTATAAATCTTAATTTAACCTATCTTCTTAACAATTAATTATAATTTTATATTTTAATTAACTATATCACATTTCATTTTTTCTAAAAACATATTAATCTATATATAAATAAATAAAAAACTATTTAAATTTTAAATTTTTTTTTACTAATTACCAAATCACTTACATACGGTAGAGACGGAGAAAAGCAAAATGGAAACGAAGGAGGACCGTCACGGAAGAGGAAGAAGGACGTCAGTCAAACACGGTTTCGCTAACTGCAGGGCGAAATAAACTTTTACCAGTAGCAGCACGAATCATCTCAGATGTTGCTACGTGTATCAAAATCTCTCCAGCCGTTCATTTTAAATCTAAGAGAGCGGTTCCTGCAGAACTACTCTCTAAAATTGAGTTAGGAGAGCGGTTCAAAAGGAACTGCTCTCTAAAATAGACTTATGAGAACAGTTTTAATTTAACCGCTCTAAGAAGTCATATTTCGTATTTTTTGTGGCGAAATAGATATTAAAAAATTCAAAAATTCGCCAGTCGTTTGATGAAAATTTGATCCACGTGGCAAAAAAATCCCAGATTGAAAAATTGTTTCAAATTTACTATAAAATAATAAATTGTTTTTTAATTTACAATATTATAATAAATTTGCCTAAAAAATTCCATACCAAACAACACCTAATAGTGGAAAAAATTAGATATTATTTTTCTTTGTTTAATTAAAAAGATTAGCAATAATAATAAAGGAATGGTAACAGGAATTATCCAGTAGCATTGGGGGTAATGTTTTGTTTTATGATGTGAGGCCAGAAATGATCAAAGTTAATAATTGGAGAAGAAGCTAAGAAAATGAGAGGAAAGACTGCGATTAATTGAGTGGAGTTATTTGTAATTGTTGAAGCATTAGGGTTCCCACTTTTGTTGGTATTATTAAAATCATTCTCAGTTGGTTTCTTGGCTGACGCATTGAAAAGAACATCAAAGACCTTCGAAAGAAAATATAAAAATTGAAGTGACTGGTGACTGGTGACTGGTGACTGGTGAGGTCCCCCTCTTACGTTATATTTAATTCCTCATTTCCATATGCTATGCAATAAACATTATGAGAACCTTTTTTATTGCCAAAACCCTCCCTCAAAGTATTTCCCGTTAAAAACATACTATCATATGTCGTTTATTTCTTCGAGGCTTTTAAAAAAAAATTATTTTATTAAAATATAATTTTTTAAAACAATTCTAGAATATCTTTTGCTATCTCGACTCATGTTTTGTCAATGTAACTTACGAAGTTTATTATTATTATTATTATTATTATTTTAAATTGTCATTAATAGTATCACGTCCAAAGAGTTTTGCCAGAATTGTCAGAATTTGAGGCGAAATTGAAAAAATAAATCCATTGGAATTGTCACGTGTTACAATTCGGAGGAAAAAAAATGTTTATAATAATTCAAACATCATTATCTATAATATTTGTGATTTAGATAAAAAATAAAATCTTATTTAGACTAAAATTAATTTAAACTAAA